GGTCGTTGAGCTTGCGCAACGCGGCATTGCGCGGGAGACTCTGGATGTCCTTGAAGAGGTCCTGAGCCTCCATCTCAAAGAGGCGGCGGTTGTCGGCGATGAGCAGCGGCTGGGACCAGAAGGAGCCGATGTAGACGCGCACCACCTCGGGCGTGTTGATGATCTTGCCCAGCGACCACATGAGGGCGCCGTACACGCGCATCAGCTGCTGCGTCTCGACCTGCAACGAAGGCAAACAGCGGGACGCTCGCACGCCGCAAGAAAATTGTGCCTACCCCCGAGAACGAGGGATAGGAACCCCCCCCCCCCTGACGCTGTCCCCCCCCCCCCCGGGGCGAGGCCTCACCTGGTCAGCTTTATTGAGCACCACGCGGATCTTGTCGTCGTGACCCTTGAGAGAGCGGATGACCTCGGAGAACTCGTCGGAGATGTCCAGCTTGTGCGCGTCAAACAGCAGGATGATGCGGTCCACGCGCTCCGCGAACCACTCCAGCACCGCCGCAAAATCATAGCCTGGGCGCCCACGCAGACGAGGTCGTCGATTCGAAACAAGTCGGTGATGCGCAGCCGAGTTAGCGGTTCCAAACAAATATGTTACACGTCTGCCCAGGTTCGGCCTTTGGAGCCCTGTGCAAGTGCTGGAGAAACTCCCCATACCCACGTGGGATCCTCCCTTCGCACCTCCATTTTTGTTTGCAGCCTTAATCGCCTATTGAAACAGGAAGAACGTGTGCACTTGGGCTACAGTGCGCAGTCTTTGAATGCCTTAACTTTCCAAGAACGAACTGTTACAAATTATAGATGTTTAAAATAAACTGTACAAAACAAGTAGACAAAGTTGCACCTCTCACCCAAGTCAAACCTCTCGACGAGCCAGGCCTCAGCCAGCCCTCACGCTGAGCCAGCCTCACCTCCCAGACACCCTCACCCTAAACACACCAGAATCCTACAATCCATTGTTTTTGGATTGTTGTTATTTTTTTTGCTGTAATCAGGCTTCTGTAAAAAGGTCCCCATCTACAATTAGCATTTATGGCCCAATGGGTTTTACCTGGGCCAAAATAAAATGTAATAAATAAGTAAGTAAAAATCTGATCCCTCAGTCCAAATCCAGCCCTCAACTCTGACTGACTCTCACTATGACCCACCCTCACCCCTGCCAACCTCACCATGACCTATCCCTCACCCTGACCCACGCCCTACACCATCCTTTTCGATTTCACGCCTCTCTCACATCCACGCATCACTCAAAGACCGGCCCTCACCCCGGCTAATGCGCTGTTTCTCTCCGGAGAGGATTCCGGGGGTGTCGATGACACTGATGCTCTCCAGGACAGGGTTGGGCATCTGCGAGCATTGGAACCTGCGGGATGGAAGCACACGCCGTGACGTCACCGGCGGCACTCCTGCTCGGCACAAGCAAAACCAACAAATGCTTAGCGCCCCAAGCAGCACAAGGGGGACCTGGATTCATAATTAATGAATTAATGTGGGTGCATTAAATAACACATCAAATTCCAAACCCAATCAACACAAAAAGCTAATCAACATCAAAAAGATAATTCATCTCTTTCATCTGTCTTTTTTGCATCTCCATTCTCCCGTCTCACTACATCTCTTTCTACATTACCATGTTCTCAGTACAACTGTCAATATATATTCTGTCATCTCACGAGGCTTTACAACTTGATGCAAGCCTCCCCTGCCTCCACTCCCCCTCCTCCAGTGCTCCTGCACCATCACCGGGCCCGCGGCTCGTCGTGCCAAGTGGGTCCGAAAATGGGCTGTCGTGTCGGGTATGGCGGGGGGAGGGAGAGGGCTCTCGCACGAGTCACCAGCTGGCGCGTCTTGCCGACCTTCGGCCTCCTGAGCCCAGACTTGTAGCGGAAGTGATGCCACGTGAATGAGCCCGACCCTAACGCTCACTCAAGACTCCTTCCTTGATTTCAACAGGAGCTGTCTGGGGCTGAGCTCCAGAATTTAATCCACCCCCCCCCAACCCCTCCCCCCCCCTACTCTCGGGGAGAGATGAAGGGGAGTTTGGGGACCTTTGGAAAATATTTCATGAGAAATTAAGCCTCGTCAGCTCTGATTAGCACGGTTGGCTATGGACGGTGCGAAAGAAGTTCAACAAACATACGTCTATAACTGCTTCTCATCCTTACTCTGACCCCTAAACCAAACCTTACACATGACCTCTAACTGTATCCACGTACCAACCAGAGATTCCCTTGGGTTGATCCCTTTACAGGCTTTTGGGGTGAATACCTGTTTAGGCCGGCACAGGGCACAAGGCCTTGGTGTGGCCAGGTCCACGCCCTGCCGCTTTTGTCTCCCCAGTTCTAATGTTTCACTCAAGCCCAGGGCCGGGTTCAGGTATCACTCGCCACCGATGTTGGCCGTGGCCAGGAATCGGGGTTTGTTGTCAGCAAGCGATAGAGAGGAGCTTCTCACCGCGGCTCATAAAAGGCCCAAGAACTATTATCCAAGCCATGACCCAGGATAGGTCATATGAAGGCTCAGACTATGACTCTGAAGAGGTCAGGTAAACTATTACCCACGGTGTGACCAAGGTCACACCAACCACTTTGACTGTGACCCAGGAAAGGTCAAAGCAGCCCCTCAGAGCAACGGAGAAGGGAGTTACAAGGAGGCAGAGCCTCCAGCAGGTGGGGGATCTTAGCCCTCTCTAAATTCCTAGAGTCAAGGCAATCAATGTTGGTCCAATACATACACAGGGAGTGAGAGAGCAGAATGCGGATCGTCCGACTGCTCATTCGTCGTTGGTCCGTCTGTTTGACATTGGCCCGAGTCTACGCTTGCCATTCCCCCCCTCTCCCCTTTTTATTTTTAAACAAGGTCACGCTACCGGCCTGGGTCAATCAAGACTGTGAGCTCATGACCCCGGGGGGGGGGGGGGGGGGGAAGAGGTGAGCTCTCGCCTTTTGCCCCCCACGACCTCAAGACACTCTCCACGACGTGCCCTGCTCCCACCCCACCGTGTCACCCCTCATCACCACCACCCGCCTGTTGAGGAAGGCGTTCCCGAACGCGTTGAGCTTTCGGAAGGGCTTCTTGGGGTCCACCACGAGCGCGTTGCCCGGCACGACTCCCTCGGTGTCGCCGTGCATCACGGCGATGAACGAGTCGGTGGTGGGCTCGGGACCGATGCGGATGCCGGGGAAGTCCTGCTCGAGCAGGTAGCGGATGAAGGTGGTCTTGCCCGTCGAGTACTGCCCCACCAGGAGCACCATGGGCTTGTTGTCGAAGTCCGCATCTTCGAGCGAGGGCGAGTGGAACTCGTGGAATCGGTAGTGCTCCTCCAGGGGCAGCAGACGGGTGCGGTAGATCTTCTTCAGGCCCTCGGTCACCGTCTGGAAGACTTCGGGCTCCTTCCTGCGCCGCGAGTCGCTGCCCATCCAGCTGAACATGGTGCCTGGGGGCGAGACAAGCACCGGGGTTGAGAGAGGAGGCACGGTGAGGAGAGAGACACGGTGAGGAGAGAGACACGGTGAGGAGAGAGACACGGTGAGGAGAGAGACACGGTGAGGAGAGAGACACGGTGAGGAGAGAGACACAGAGAGAAAGACACGATGAGGAGACACGGTGAGAGACACGGTGAGGAGAGAGACACGGTGAGGAGAGAGACACGGTGAGGAGAGAGACACGGAGAGAGACAGGGTGAGGAGAGAGACACGGTGAGGAGAGAGACACAGAGAGAGAGACACGGTGAGGAGACACGGTGAGAGACACGGTGAGGAGAGAGACACGGTGAGGAGAGAGACACGGAGAGAGACACGGAGAGAGACGCGGAGAGAGACAGGGTGAGGAGAGAGACACGGAGACGTGAGAGAGAGACACGGTGAGGAGAGAGACACGGTGAGAGACACGGTGAGGAGAGAGATGCGGAGAGAGACACGGTGAGGAGAGAGACACGGAGAGAGACACGGAGACGAGAGAGAGAGATTTAACACGTAGGCTTTCGCGACCAACAGAGACACGGCGAGGAGAGAAGACGCACACGGGGCGGGGAGACGGACGGAGAATCACTCGGGCTGTGAGAGCGGCGGGGAAGATGGGAGAGAGACACGGTGAGGAGAGAGACGAGAGATCAGCAAGCGAACAAGCAGGGGAGCTGAGGCGAGGAGGGAGAAGAGGACATTAACGTTGGGCAGCAGACGGGGGAGGCGGCGGCGGGGGGGGAGAGGCGTCGATGGGAGATGCAGGAGAGTCGCGAGAGGGAGCCTCTGGACGGCGACAGGGGGAGCCGCACCGAGTGAGCTGGAGCCTCTGGAAAGGCGATGGAGCCTGAAGGAGCCTCGCTGGGAGCCACCGGGAGGAGAGTGAGCGGCAGCACGCAGGAGCCACGGTCCGCGTCCCTCCCGGTCCCAGGGTGGAGCCGCACGCCCCGCCCCCCTTCCCTAGTGACCCCGCCCCTCTCCACCATGACCCCGCCCCTCTCCACCCAGGGCCCCGCCCCCTATCGCGCCCCCCCGCCCCCCACCACGACCCCCGGACATGACGTCCCGCGACACAACAACCCGGACGTGGTGTCACGTCGCCCGCAACATGGCGGTGCGCGTGTTTGGTGGGAGACGCTGAGGAGGAGAGCGAACCCCGAGACCCCCGCCGCCACAGGGGCCACAGGGGAATCTCGACTAGACAGGGGACGCGGGGGAACCTCGACTAGACAGGGGACGCGGGGGACCTCGACTAGGCAGGGGACGCAGGGGAACCTCCACTGCACAGGGGACGCGGGGGACCTCGACTAGACAGGGGACGCGGGGGACCTCGACTCCACACTCAACCCCCCGGCCATGAGCGCCGTCGCCACGTGAAACCCGCGGCCCCCCCCCACCCCACCCAGCCCAATAAGCCGTGACGGTAGAGGCCGAGCTCCGCGGGACAGCAGGCGCCATGGCGTCGCAGCCTCCGCCGAAACCTTGGGAGAGGAGAGCGGTCCCGAACGGCGGCGTCAACCCCGCGTTCCGGTACCGCGGCTTCGGCTCGCGTCTCCCACCCCGCGTCCGCGTCGCCCTCCTCCCCGCGGGGCCTCTGCCACCTGGCCCCGCGAGGCGGTGGCTGTGAAAGTCGGAGGGAGAGAGAGAGAGAGAAGGGGGTGGGGGGGAGAGTTGAATGAGAAACGCTCGAGATGGGGGGCCCACAATCGGGAGTATTTATACTGGAGGAATCCGATGAGCTACAAAGCAATTTTTCACTAGTGTGCAGTACTAGCGTTGGTCAGAACGTTACAACAACAAATAATACAAACACACGGTGGGAGTGCAAAGTGTAGGAAAGGCACTCGAAATACACAAATCTAAACAATGTTTTTTAAAGCCCACTGAGGCATTAACTTTTTTTTCAGAAGCGACCTGGCCACAAATGATAGCTCAACAAAGTGGCTTATGATTTTATCCCTTGCATTCCATTACATGGACAACGAAAGTGAAAAGCCACGTGGTTTTACATTTGAGAAATTAACTCAAAGCGTAAATGCAACCGGCCACTTTGAGCTAGTGCGGGAGCTTCGATGTCGAAGTGTTGACCTTTCAAACAGCTGCGGTAAGGAGAAGAAGGCAACAAGCGATGACGATGTTGTGGCGACATCAACCTGTAGTGGCCGTGACAACCCGTGTACTTGCAGGACCAGTGCCGCGAGGTACTCTATGGTTAGATATTGGGAGAAAGTTCATGCAAATGTTGATTGATTAACAATGTCTTTAGGGCAGGGTTGATATCGAGAGCTGATTGACTCGTGTGATGAGGGTTAGGATTGCATAGTGTGCATAACACCATGATTAGGGGCTGGGGGTCAGGTTGTTTCGTTAGGGGTAGATTGAGTCTCTCTCGCGTGGTAGAGTTAAGAGTAATTATCACTGTCACAGCGCCCTGCTTTGGTGTTTGTGTTTTTTTTTAAATCACAGTTAAGTATAGGTGCAAATACTCCGTATGCAAAGCGGCCAGAAAAATAACAGCACTGACATTAGTTTAAAAGACAATACGTTTCTTGAGTTGAGCAAGCTTTATCGGAATTTGGGAAACGAAACTGGAGTGCGTTTCAAAGTGGAGTAGTGCAAGGAAAAAGGGAGAGACAAATGTTGCGTTCTACAATTTGTTTAACACAGTATGGATGAGAGGAATCTTTTTGCTACAACGACCCCATGAGGGCACCTGCCCTGCCCGCACCATGGCATTCTATGTGACTCCTATTTGTGGACAGAGCTCCAGAGGCCCCGGGCGGAGAGGCGTGGGCTGGACAGGGTGGCCCAGGCAGGGCGGCTCCACCACCCCTGCCACCTCGCCCCACCCAGAGCTCGTCGGCAGCTTTCACTTCCATGGGGTCTGCCTACCGCCCGGGATTTTCCTCGTACACCTCCCCGCACGCCGGCAGCCTCTACGGGGTCTCCAGCCCCTACTACAACAGCGGCATCGGGTACCGTGCGCAGGAATGTTGTTCACGAATGCATCTTACATTGTGGTGTGTGCATGAGGTGATATACTGCGTGTTGAGTTTGTGTGTCTGCCTTTGGGCGTATGTCGGTTTTTCTGTGTCTATATGTGTACGTGTATTTATATCGGGAGTGGTCGGGTAATGGTTAGTGCTCAGCGTTACAAAGCTAGCAACCCAAATTCTACTCCTGTTAAAATAGCAACATCAATAGCAAATATTTGAACTGGTCCTGGTCGACTCAGCCTTAAATTAGTACTGGGGAGATAAAGTCTGCTGGACGTCGTGCTGGCCACACCATGCCTGCCTTTATAGGTGCTCACAGCACTTGCTCCAGGAGCCTGTGTACGCTACATAGGAGGGGGGTCTTTGTCTTTGCTCTCTTTCTCATGGCAAATGTCTCTGCAGGTACGGCCTTGGCTTTGGTGGCAGCCAGTATGGCGGTTACGGCTACAGCCGATTCCGCGAGCAGAATACGAGCGGGCCGAGCCGCTTTGTGCGCACGGCGGAGGAGAGCAGCCGCACGGCGTTCCAGTCGGTGGAGAGCATCGTGCACGCGTTCAGCTCCGTCTCCATGATGCTCGATGCCACCTTCTCGGCCGTGTACAACAGCTTCCGCGCCGTGCTCGACGTCGCAGACCACTTCAGCCGCCTGCGGATGCAGTTCACAAACGCCCTGTCGGCCTTTGCCCTCGTGCGCACTATCCGGTAACCACAGCGACGCCAGGGCGGGAGGGACACATACCAATAGTACCTGTCTTGCACCAATGCATTTCCATTAAATGCTGAAATGTGATGCAAGAAGACGTGTTTGGTGACCCCCATGCTTGCTGTGGGCAGGGAGCCGCTCGGTAACTACATGTGTGCTTGTTACCGTCAGGTTTCTTTACGGGCGACTCCTGGCGCTATTGGGGCTTAGGAGCAAGAGTGAAGTTGACGCTGCCTGGGTGGAGAGCTGTGCTGCTGGTACAACCCAGCGAACCTGCAGCACCTGCATGCCCATTTTGATACATTCGTGGCTACTCTCCTTTAAAATAAAAGTCTTGCCTTTCCCCACCGATTGTTTTGTACTGTTAAGCATAGCCGTGACTGTGGGGGTGGGAATTTCAGCTTGGTGTGTGGGTGCCTCCCTCTTCTCCAGGAGCCTCTATAGAAGGTGCAAGTGTCTCCGGAGCTGGCCGAGCTGGCCCCAAGTCCTGGCCCATCCTACTGTTTTTTGCTGTGGTACTTGGCGGGCCCTACCTCATCTGGAAGCTTCTTAGTGCTGCTGCACAAGAACCTGAAACTGGTGAGAGTCTGGGATTTATGAGAGATTATGAGAGCAGAGTTCACAGGAACGGGGTGGGCACCTGAACGAGAGTGGTAGTGAGTGTCTGTGTAATTTATTTTATTATCAGGGTGTGAGTGGGCGAGTGGTGAAGATGACCACATTGTGGCCCGGGCGGGGTACGACTTCACCGCAACGTCCGATGAAGAGATCTCCTGCCATGCAGGAGATGTGCTCATCCTGGCACCCAAGGGTGCGTCACGCCATGCACGCACTTCCCCTGGGTGGTACCGCTGCCCTCTTTGCTCCCACCAATGGTACCACACGACCATGAGCCAGGAAACATTGACCCATACCACCACAACACACCACCACAGCCCACACTACCATGCTCTATACCACCAACCTCCAAGACCCATACATCACAACCCAGACCAACACATCCCATATATAACCATCTCCCACGCCACCTTGACACACAACACCATGCCACACACCACTTTTATTGGGCCAAACCACTATAACTTATTTTGCACCATACGTAGCCAACCATTTTAAATATGTACATCCATGACTCACGAGCTGGTGGTGCTTGCGCGGTTACAGAGCAGCAGCCGAGGGTGCGGGGCTGGCTGTTGGCGAGCCGCGATGGGGTGGCCACCGGCCTGGTGCCTGCCAACTACGTGCAGGTGCTGGGCAAGAGGCGCGGGCGGCGGACAGCGGCGGGAAACCCTCCCCTGAGTGCAGCAGCCGTGGGCGCGGGCCCCCCTACTCTGGGAGTGCCGCAAGCAGGACCGAGCACTCCAGCCGAAGTGCAGCATGCCACCGGCTCCAGTGCCACCACGCCCCAGCAACAACAGCACACGCTGGGGGACATGGAAGAGCTGTTCAGTGCTGTCCAGGCAGACGTCGGCGCAGCAGCACTTGACGATCAAACACAGGCAACAATTGTTGCTGTTCCAGATTATGTGTGAGCTCCAGGCTCTGGTCGTCATGCGCAGGTGACGAGGAGCTGCTGCCATGAGATTCGATTGAGGCAGGAGGCTGCGGCTGTGTTTGCTGACTCGGGTTATCTCGCGGTGCCTCTTGTGTGTGCTGCCTTAGCCTCGTGTGTAATTCTTCCAATCTCACCTCGGAGATGGACGTAATTCATTTTTTCGGAAATTTACATATTTCATCGGTGAGATGAGCAACTTGATTTAGTGAGCTTGATTGTTTTTGAAATGCACTTTAAAGTGCTTACGAAATGTCGTTATATAATACACTGTAAATAATAAACACCTAAAAATCTGTAAAGTTGAAATAAAAGATGGTGAAAGTAATGGTCACATGGTGAATGGTTACGGCGCACTTTAAAGGTTGGATTTAGGGTTTGGTGTTTATGGTTGGCGTTTGGGATTTTAAGAGTTATCGGATGGTCCCCAGCACAAATGGTCTGGAGCCATCATTGCAATTTATGGTAGAAGACTTTGACTCCCGTCCTTGTGACCGCCTATAGACCAGTCGCACCCAACGGGGGTGTGGAGTTGAGAACCCAGGGCCAACGAACCCCTCCATAGGGAAAGAGACCTCCAGGAACCTGTGCTTGTGGCAATAAAACTCCTGATGTGTTTTTTCCCCTCCTCTTGACATCTATGTATAGCCATTGTCTATCTGCTCTTGGAAAAACGTCTCCATTCTGTTGTCATTGATGAAAGTTCTGCAATCCCAGTGTTCTTATCTACACTTAAAAAAACGGCATTAATCCATATGAGTATCAGTCAAAGCACTCGAGTCACGTGTGTACCAAAGAGTCGAGGTCTCATTCTGACTGATAGGAAACAGACTTGTATCCATAATGAGCTATGTTAGACATATGACCTTTGACCTAGAAACCATATAACATTACCCTACCTTAATGGGTTTTTTTTATTTAAGCTCGTAAAAATAATGATTTTGGACTATGGTAAAATTAAGAAAAACCTGGGTAAGAGTCAAATAGTTTCAAGGGGAGGCCACTAAAACCATTTAATTTTAGAGTACAGCGCAGCTACTAAGATGTAAACTAAACTATTTTAACAGCTAAGGCCCGCAGCTATATAGCTCTTTTTCAGAAGCAACCTGGCCACATCTCAACGAAGTGGCTTGTGGGAATTTATACCAGACATGTACTATAAAACGCATGTTTTTAAATGTGGAGGGAAAAACCGGAGGCCCTGGAGAAAAAACTACGCGACCACGGGTAGAACATGCAAACTCCCAAATATACAGTCAGGGTTGGGATCGAATCCACGACCTGTTTACCAAGCGAGGTAGTTAACATCTCAGCCACCGTGACGCCCTCGTGCGCACATTCGAGTCGATATCCAAGCGTCACAGTTGAAGCTAAACAACTGTCCTATTGCCCTCCGTCTGCGTCCACCCAGGTCGCCTGTGGTTCAGTGAAGTGTGGAGTACGACTCCCTCTTCCAAGACGTCAGGCACGCGTTGGGGGGTGGGGGGGAGTAAGGCAATTGGCCTCTAGAGGGAGCCCTTCTGCCGGCAGTGGCGTAAACAATTGCAGTGATCCACCATTTCTACTGCGGTATTAATTTAAACGGCAAGCTGTGGCGAGAAGGAGTTCCACTGCGCGTGGTTCATCATTCGCTCGCAGAAACTCGTCCGTTCAAGACGTCGCTCCCGTTGGCTCTCGACTGGCTGACCAACATCAATCCAATCGCCCTGCCGGGTTAACAAACAAACAAAAAAATGGTCATGACGACTAAGAATGAGAGCGCTTACGGCCCTAAGCCTGCGTGGCCACCAGGGGACGCCCACGCCCAAACAGCTGACGCGGGCCCCGTCGAGTTGACGCGGGACATGGGTCCTGGCATCCAGGCGCTGGCCGGCACCGCGGGTTGCGGCCTCCTGCTGCTTGTGGTCCTCCTCGCCGCGGCGCGCCGCCGCCTGCACGGGCGGCCCTCGCCGCTGGCCCTCGCGGCCTGCAGCATGCGCGGCAAGACCGTGGTGGTCACGGGGGCCAACTGCGGCCTGGGCCGCGCCACGACGTTGGCGCTCGCCCGCCTCGGGGCCCGCGTCATCCTGGCCGTGCGCGACTCGGCGCGGGGCGAGGAGGCGGCGGTGGAGCTCCGTCGGGAGCTGGGCTCCGAGGAGGCCGAGCTGGTGGTGCGCGAGCTCGACCTCGCGTCCCTGGCGTCCGTGCGCCGCTTCTGCGCGCGGTTGGAGCGCGAGGAGGAGCGGCTGGACGTGCTGGTGAACAACGCCGGGGTGTTCCGCTGCCCCTACGCGCTCACCGAGGACGGCTTCGAGACGCAGTTCGGAGTCAACCACCTGGGCCACTTCCTCCTCACCGCGCTGCTGCTGCCGCTGCTGGGCCGCTCGGCGCCCAGCCGCGTCGTGGTCGTGTCCTCGGCCCTCTACAAGCAGGGCCGCATCAACTTCGACGACCTGGCGAGCGAGCGCTCCTACGACCCCGCGGCCGCGTACGGCCGCAGCAAGTTGGCCAACGTGATGTTCGCGCGCGAGCTGGCGCGGCGCCTGCGTGGCCAGGGCGTCACGGCCAACGCGCTGCACCCGGGCGTCGTGCGCACCAACCTGGGCCGCCACGTCTCCATGCCGGCCCTGGCCCGGCCGCTCTTCAACCTCCTCGCCTGGGCCGCTTTCCGCACCCCCGAGCAGGGCGCTCGTACGGCCGTCTTCCTCGCAGCCTCGCCCGACGTGGCGGACGTCAGCGGCGCCTACTTCGGCGACTGCCGCCAGGAGGAGCTCCTGCCCGTAGCCACGGACGACGCCGTGGCCGCCAAATTGTGGGAGGTCAGCGAGCGCCTGGTGGGCCTGCGCTCTGGGGGGCCCGATGGCATCCCCCTAGCCCCGTCCGTGCCCGACTCGGAGCCCGAGGAGCGGCCCCACCGGGGCGATCCCCAGCGCGGCGACGCCAAGACGGCCCCCTGAGCCATGGGCCGCGGCCGTGATCATGCGCGGGCCGATGCTGCTCCTATTGTCTGTTATCTGCTCTCGGCTGCAGGCTGAGGAGGCTATAAATTCACGCCTTGGGTGACGTGTGTCGGTGTATTCATTGAGTGACTTTGAGCGCGATGGCAGTGGCTTCATCGTCGGCCGCTTTCTCACATTGAGACCATAGACTCACATCGAGACCCATGCACTCATAGAGACCCTAATAGACTCACATCGAGACCTTTAGACTAACATGGAGACCCATAATAGACTCACATCAAGACCTTTAGACTCGCATTGAGACCCATGCACTCATAGAGACCCGTAGACCCCCATAGCCGGGCAGTGATGGCGCACGTCTGTAATCCAATGCTCTGGTGGTTGAGGATTGGTGGATCACCGCATAAATGTTACGAAACTCCCTTCCCGTGGGCGTCGACGAGGAGCCCGTACTCCTGACTCGCCAGGAGAAGGCAGTACAGCAAAAATGTGGGCTCCACCTGGGTCAGGGTGGAAAATTCCCCCTTGCACGCGTGCGTTTTCTCCGGGTGCTCCGTTTTTTCTCCGACATGTAAACACTCATTAATTGGTCGATGCCACCTTAAATTATATATAGAGGACTGCAGAGCTTTGGGAAATTGTTGGTACCGGCTCGTCGCGTTGGATTCCTGCTTGTCTGTGGTTTCTCACGCGCTTCTGAGTCGTTCTCTCCGTACGAGATTAAGTGAATACCGTGCGCGTTACGAGGTGACATTCTTATTAGGGACCCACTTAGAAACTGGAATGGGATGGCAGTGGTTCATTGCTAGCTCCCTTCCTGTACGTACACCACACACAGATACACATAACAGCACACGCCCAGTTACGCACACGACTATGCACATGAATGCACTTGAGAACATTATAGTCGGAGAAAGCATTAATACAAAAGCCTATTTTTCAAGGAAGGTGATGCATTCCATTCAGATTTTCAGGAAAAACTGTGGCAAGTCACATAAATAGCCTTCGTAAACATTTGTTGCTGCTCCTGCTGCGTTGGTAGTGGTGCACAAGCAACGAAGAAGCTCTCCAGCAAATTCGGTAACGACACTGTTTGGCCTGAAAATAAAAAAATGTGACGTTTCGGTCAATGGCTGTTCTTCATAGTACACAAAACTACGTGATATAAAGACAGGCCAATGGCCAAAACATTGCCTATTTTATATTTTTTGTGTATTTTTTCTTTAGTGCCACAGTGTTGTTGACGAATGTGTTGATGTTTTTATCCCTTAATTGATACGCTCAGTTTAGATTGCAAACTCTCCATATATACCACGATAATGTAGATGGGAAGCTTCAGGGAAGGTGTCCCTTTAATTTAGATAAACAAAGATTTCACTGGCTTTGTGCGAGCCAAGCAATTGTTCATCATCGTCATCATCACGTGCTGCCATCACGATGCAGTCGTCAACGACCCGAAAACCCGGGGTGGAGTTTGTACCGTCCTCCACCTGGAGCCCGGAGTATACTTGTGTGAAGGTGCATGCCCTCGCAAATTGTTTGCTGTGCCCACGTCTCCCGCGCCGCACTGACCGGTTGTTTCTGTGGCCTTTCACTTGGTCAAATAAAGGCCTCCCGATGGATTTTCTGTGAGCAGGAGTGAGCAGCGTGCGGATTTGTGGAGGCGCGGTGGAGAGAGAGAGAGAGAGAGCGTGCGTGGTGCGAGCATAGCGTGGAGGTTGGAGGTTGTGCATGACCAGGAGAGTGACATCGCCAGAGGGTCCCTGTCAGGGGGAGACTGCCAAATATTCACAGCCAGAGAGTGTCACTTTCAGAGGATGCCACTGCCAAATTTTCACAACCAGAGAATGTCACTATCGGAGAGGGATATTTTTTCACGACCAGACTGTCCCACTTTCCACAACCAGTCGGTGTCACGACCCCGGGGGTAACCTACTCCAACGACTCGCAATTACAGGGACTCGTATAGGCAGCAGAGTTCTGTTGTGAGTAAACCTGAGAGGCAGAGCCCCAGCTTTTGACACAGGCTGGGCACAGACAAGCCCCCCCCCCCCCCCCCCCACACACACACACTTGCGCAGTGCCAGGGAGCCCAGCCCATTCCATGGTGACATTGCCAAGTGGTAGCGTATTTTGGGTCATCCTGGTTGGTTATGCGGGTGCATTTACCGTAAAAGTCTTCGTCATCTGCTTCGGAGCGGACGTTAAAAATCCCGTGACGTTATTCCAAAAAATAGGCCAATTGTGGAAATATATATACATAGCCAACATCAAATACTTAAACATCACCCCCCTTACCTCTCTGCGAATCTCAGCAGGACCCTGCTGAAAAAGGGTCTTAAGACAGGCTGTGGTGGGCAAATGTTCATCATGGAGATGTGTTAAAGGGGGTAAACCTTGGTTCGGTGTCTCCTCTGCATGGCGCGAGGAGGGCGAGGCTTGAACCACAAGCCCTGAAGCCCCAAACCGCTCTGACCTGCATCAGTGCCTGGTGCCGCTGGGGGGGGAAGTGGGTAGGGTTTGCGCCCCCCCCCCCCACCTGTCCCTTACCCCCAGCTCCCCTGGTTTGTCCTGCCTCCCTAGGCCCATGGTCTACCCAGCCGGGCACTGATTCATCCACCCATCACACCCCGATTCCCGTTGCTGCTGCTTCGCCTATAATGTACGGGCGCGTCTCGCGTGACAACAGAAGCAGCTTCTCCCTTCCCGCGCTGCGGATACATTCGCGTCCCGTGATGTGTTTATTTATTTATCCGGCGAAGAGTGGGAGAAGCGGGGTCACGGGGTCAGGGGAAATGTCAAGGTGACGAAGCATGCGGACGCTCCCTCCTTCCTCCCCCATTCCTTCTTCCTTAGAGACTGGCTCGTCGCACACACATTACAAATATGATACATGCGTGATACATACGTGGTGTCTAATGGTAGCATCCATTATTAAAGCACTATAATTAGACAGCATTTTCAAGTAGGTCAATAACACTCTACACACACTGGAGGATTGTATCGTGCGAATTTATTTTCTCTAATCCTCCACTGTCCGCCCTGATGTTAACAACACGTCAAATATAGGTTCGAGAGGATATATTTTCATGGCAAGATTGTATTAATGTTATATTTATAGTCCGCTTCTAGACATCTGAATAGATCTATATAGTCCATTAGCACAGGCCAGATATAGTGTTTCCAATTTCTTTATATGTCCATTAACAGTCAATTATGAGAATCATTTGAAATGCCTGAGTTATCAAAAAGAACGCTCATTAGGCATACATAAACGTGAACATTAAGAAATATGTGCTTACTTTAGATGGAACTAATTTATGTTCTGACCCATTGACTAATGTTCTGAAGTCTGGGCGTTGGTGCTTTACACTTGGTGTTGAAGTCTGGACGCTGTCCTTGGTGCTGAAGCATGGCATGCCCCGAGTGCTGTCTTCGCCCCTGGCCGCTGCTGCCCAACTCCACTAGCCCAGCATGTAATCTCTAAACGTAATGAAATATTCAAACAAAAATACTTTAATCACATAACCCGCACTACCGAGATCTGGCGGTAATGAGGGAAGGGGGACACCATTTGCACGACCCCCCTCGCCCCCGCTGCGAATCGCGGGGCGGGTGAGCTGCACAGAGCAGTGGGCCGTGGAGCCCCCGCAGATTGTAATTTAAACCCTCCACTCGCTTTGCTTGTAACGCCACAATAGCATCGGCATTAACAACAAACATCAATAACGTCAAGAACCCCAACAGCAGTAACGTAAAAGCTGACGGTGTTGGTTCGAGGGTCCGAGCCTAAGCAGCGTTTTTCGGGGTTGGAGAGGTCAGGTCCGGTGGGTGGAAAGCGACTGTCCCCACCCCAGCACCAAGTTAAACTACCCCCTACTTGCCCCCCCCCCCCCCCCCCCTCATCGAGGCAATGTGAAGTTGATCAAGATTGGAGCAAAGAGTGAGCAGCAGACAGGATGGGAGCGGTGGTGGATGGCAGTGAGCTGTGGGAGGAATCAAACGATGGATGAGAGTGAGCGGCGAGTGAGGGACTGAGTGCCGGGTGAGTGAGGCGAATGAGAGTGGACCACGTGATTGATTGATAGGTGGAAGGAGTTGAGCAGTGGGTGAGTGAGGTGGATGTGAATGATACGTGGAAGGGATCGGTAGGTGGGAGGAATTGAGCGGTGGGTGGTCGTGATAAGTGGCTACAGGAGCCGAGGGGATTGGGGTGAAGGGGAAGAGAAGTTGGGTTTGGGAGGAGGGTGTGGGTGAAAGTGGGGAGGTATTGAGCTCGGAGTGGGGGGGGGGGCGAAGCGAGTGTTGATTGTGAGCGGAGGGGCGGAGGCGTTGGGGGTAGGGGAGTCAGAGTTGAGGGGAGGAAGAGCTTCGTCATCACAAACGGAGCTGGATTCATCTCTGCCGCCCCCACGCCCCCCATGCAGCTCAGATTTACAGCCGCGCGATAACGAGGATTTTGTAGCGTCTAAGCGAGCACCCAATATAACAGCGACCATGTCCGTGTCACTGTGTGGCGGGCGGTAGTGCGAGTGATTGTCGCACTGCGCTACGAACCCGGCGACGCGAGTTCAATTCCCACTCGCGATGAAATTACAGTGGCGAATATCGAACAGGTCCTGGGCCTGCCCCGAGGTCGACTTAAATGAGTACCTGGTGCGGCGTTTAAGCATCAGCACTGGGGACACAAAGGCGGCTCCGAGCGAGGTTTAAGCCACCCACCCTCTCGTGTGCCGTGCCGGTCTTCATACGTGTACGCTAAAAGCAATTGCCCCGACAGTCTGTTAAAAAGGTTAAACGGTGTCTGTGTTTGTGTCATTCTGTCTATGCCAGTGTGTGTGTCACAGTGGATGTGTCAACAGTGGGGAGCGGTAGTGTAGCGGTTAGCGCGCTGCGCTATGAACCTGGCCACCCGGATTCGATTCCTGCTCACGGCCAACACCAACAGTGACGATTATCTGAACCGGTCCTGGGCCTCCCCTAGGTCGACTCAGCCTGACATCAGTACCTGGTGCAGTGTGCAAACATCGCCACTGGGGAGACAAAGGCGGTCGGGCGTGGTGCTGGCCACCCACCCCCTCGTGTACCGTCCCGGCCTTCATAGGTGTTCGCAAACAGCACTTGCCCCTCCAGTCTGTTAAGGCTATACGGGGGAACTTTGATGTCAACACCCGGGTCTACCCTGTGACCTGCCAGAAAAATGCACCTAGCATGGCACATCGCCTCGATGACGTCACCACCATTCAGCCTTGTTGCTGTGTTATTGTCTACATCAGTGGCTATGTCGCAGTGTCTATTTTGCTGGCTTTAGTCGTGGCTGTGTCACAATAGCTACGTCGCATCGTCTGCGTTAACAGTCATGGAGTGGACCACCGCCTCTCCCCTCCCACCTCCAGCCTCCCCCTCCCCTCGCTCCCCGCTCGCTCGCTCTACTCCGTCCTCTCCCCGTGGACCTGGTTGGAGGCCGTAAATCGCAACCACGAAAATAGAAGAAGCGCCCCGATGACCATTACCGCCAGGCGTGAGGGATAGCTGCTCGGCTCGTCCCCATCACCCCATCCACCCGTCTCATCCGGCCTCATCTAGCACCACCCATCCTTTCCACCCTTTCCGTCCATCCATTTCACCCTGTCCTACCCACCCATCCCATCTCATTTTGTCTCATCCCATCTCATCCCGAGCATGGTGTGACCCAAAACGTGTTTTTAATCGTGTTCTGTGCTCCATGAGTCGTGGGCGTGGGTAGGGGAGGGGAGGTCAGTGGGAGCTGTCCCGCGTGTGCGCTGATTGCAGCAGAACCCGGGACCCAGCTTGCCCCCAGGTGTTGGTCCACTCTGGTGCGTGTGTACGCGTGTCCCCGTGCCCCTATGTTTTGGCTCCTCGCGTGTCTGCCCGTGTGTGTATCCGTGCGCGTGTCCGTGCCTACGAGTGTTTCGCGTGTCTCTCGCCATGGTAGCGTGTTGGTTGTTAGTGTACCGCGCAGCGAACCCGACGTCCCTAGTTCTATTCCCGTTCACGGCTATCATCGGTGACGATTATCCGAAACCATGAGATGGTCCTGGTCCTCCGTTTGGGTAGCCTCAGCCTAAAATGATTACCTGGAGCGACGCGGTCAAGATGCGTGCTCGGGAGGCCGAGTTCGGCCGGGCGTGGCGCTGGCCGTACTACCCCCCTCACCATGCCCGCCTTCGTAGGTGTTGCTCGCGAACAGCACTTGCCCCAACAGACGGTGTGGGCTACAGGGGCGGAGCCAGGGGGGGGGGGGGTGACAGGGGTGACATTCTGCGTATAAGTGTACGACACTCGGTCTGGCGGACTCCGTGCAACTGCATTGTCAGAGTGTGTCGCCAACCGATGGCGTCTAGTTCAACTGCCTGACTCTCTAATCATTCCTGATCTTAAAATTTGTTTAATGTCACCCCGGCCTGAAATCCTGGCTCCGCCCCTGGTGGGCTACCAAGGAGGGATTTGCCTTTGTCTCTTCCTCCGCACCACAGACAACCCCGGGGCGGTCGCCTCGTACCGGTTGAGCACTGCGGATGTGGTGGAGAGAGGGGCGGTGGATGTCGGGCGGGCGGTAGGGGAGGGGGTAATTGTCATCTCACTCCACGGGGGGGGGGGGGGGTCTGGTGATAGAAGCGCTGACCGCAGGGAGACTTAGCCCCCACTAGAGATCGCGACGACCCACTCCGCTCCTTTAATGGATCATTAATAATGGACGGAGCCACCCGCAATTGGCAATTAGGGCGCATGGATGGGAGCAGTCGCGGGGGCGTAGTGCACGAGCCGTGGTCAACACGAGCTCGGCTAAACACGGCTGTGGTTACTATAGGACCCGTGTGGTCGCGAGAGGGTCCTTGCCGATTATGTCTGGCAGTTCACCAGCAATTGCTTCAAGCAAAGCCTGTGACTGCTGATGAGACAATGGTTGTCGAAACTGGTCCAGGCTCTGTGCTTGTACTGAACCAATGCTGCTGAAATTATGCACTCCCAGAATGCCATGTGGTCGAATGGGATGTGTAAAACAAATACGTTTGTATGTTGCGGGACATATATGTGAAGCGGGCATTTTTTGTTTGCTTAGTTATATTGTTGCTTACAGCAAGTCCTTCTTTAACGGAGTAGATGCATTCCTGAAAAGTGCCGCGTTAAGCTAAAAACGCGTTAAGCGGCAATTTTCAGGCGTAAACACGGGAGAGTGAACGCGGAGGAGTAAACACGGGAGCGAAAACACGGGACAGTAAACACGGGAGAGTAAACACGGGGTGTTTATTGTGGATTTGGTGTAAAATCTGTACATCTCCTCCGCCGCCACTCGCGACGTGGGTCAGGACGGATTGTGCTTCTTATCGGGCGCGACGCCTGGAGGGGGTGAGGGATGGGTGGCGGTGTCTGGGCAGGGGTGGGTTCGCGATTGCGTGGTGAGTAAGGTTGGGGTTTGGTTGCTAGGCTGTGGTGTGGTGAGTACGGTGTGCTGGTCTAGGTTGGGGTGTGATGTGTGGCGAGTCGGGTCTGATAGTGTAGTTTTGGGTGTAGCGATGCGGTGGATGGGTTGTGGTGTCGATGTGGATGTGGTAGTAGAGGGTGTGGTGTGTGGTGTAGCGAGTCCGGTGTTGATTTGGTGGGTAGGTTGTTGGTGTAGATTCGGTTGTGGTGAGGGGGGTTGTGATGGTGCAGTGTAGGCAGCCTTGTGGAAAGTGTTGCAGCAATCCAGAGAGCGAGATAAAGAGGTGAGGCAGAGATGAGAGGGAAGATACGTGAGAGGAGAGATGCAAGGGGAGAGATGAGAAAGGGGGAGGGGAGAGATTCAAGAGAAGAGAGGGTGAAGATGAGAGGGAAGGAGGGGGTCCCCCCCCCCATCGCAGTTAATATTACAGACGACGAGGCTCAGGATCAAGCGGTCGCTCCAGGATGAAGATGCGAGACTCGGGTCGCACCCCTAGTTCCACTGGGTTCACTGGATTCCACTGGGTTCCACTGGATTAACTGGTTCCACTGGTTCCTTGTTCCACTGATTCCTGGTTCCACTAGGTCCCACTGGCTCCTGGTTCCACTGGATCCTGGATCCACTGGGTTCCACTGGGTTCACTGGTTCCACTGGGTTCCATTGGTTCCTGGTTCCACTTGGGCCGTAACGGACATGCCCATTACGGTGCCGCGCCCCTAGCCTGTGCCACCCCCAGAGCTTCGTGATACCGGGGGTCAAGGCGCTTGGTCCGCGAGCCAATGCGCGCCCAGGCCGGGTCACGCGGCCTAGGTCGCAGTCCCAAGCTCCTGGATTCTAGGTCCAAGTGACCGGTTCCCAGTTTCCAGAGGACAGCTCCTAGGCTCCACGTCCTAGACCACAAGTCCCATGTGCGGTAGCCAGGGTGCCAGGCCCCATTGCTCTAGTCCAGTGTTCTTCGTTGCAAGGTCCGCGGGCCACTGGAGGTCCCTTGGCGCCTTTACTGCGGCCTCTCACGTGCGGCTCCCGATAAAACGCAAATGTGAAATCACCCCCCCCCCCCCCAATCATCATCGCGCTGCTGTCAAACCCCCAATGCTTTCAAATGTGTGGCGGTCCTCACACACTGATGATGTCTTATCGGCGAAAGTGCCCCCCTCTCTGAAAATTCGTGAAGAACACTGCTCTAGTCCCAAGGCCAGGTGAGTGTTGGCATTGCCATGGTGGTCTCCGCTGCCAATGACGTTCTCGCCTCGTTCCCCTGGATGGATGGGCCGAGACGCGCAGGGGGGGGGGGGGGGGAGGGGGGCTACGCGCCCGGACCCCGAATTCTCGGGGACCCCACGGACCCTCGGGAAGCTCAGGGGGGGCCCCACGGGCCACAGCTTGCCCGGCTTAGTGATGCCCAGAAGTACCAACAATAACAATAACCGTCATCATCATGGCAATACTCATAACACTCGTAGTGTGAATAATAATAATCATAGGTATGGCTTAATACTGCACTTTCATAACATGGAGGCATTGTCTCATAACAGGGATTACACTCAATGCTCATAACCGCGAGATTAATACAGGCGACGACTCCGCGGGGGGCCCCGCGTGTCCCTCTCGGACCCCTCCCACCACCACCCCCCTCCCGTTTTCCACCGCCGCCGCCGCGACTCGGAGCGCGTTTTGCAGTTCCAGCTGTGAGCGGCATCAGGCCCCGTGCTGCGGGCGCAGTGGAGCCCCCCACTCGCCCCACTGTCCACGTGGAGCCTCTCCGTGCTCCCAGCTGGTGGAGTCCCCTCGTCCTCCTCCTCCTCCAGCAAGCGCCTCCCGCACGGCAGGGGACAATGCGTGACGTCTTGAGGAGCCGGGAATGCGGGGATACTACCCCCCACCTACTCCTCCACCACCACCTCCACCTGGTGTCCAACCTCCTGGGGCTCCAGGTGAGAGCTCATCCTCGGGGGTGGGAGGCGTGAGTGCGGAGGAGCCCGGGCTGTGGTCCCCGAGCGAGGAGGGTGTGCGTGTGAGGAGTGTGTGTCAACAGGTGTGTATGCAATGTGGCTGTAGGCACAGGTGTGCCGAAAAGGTGTAGGTGCCACACGTGTTTATGGGGGTGTGTGCACAGGTGTCTGTGTAATGTTAGCGCGCTACGCTACGAACCCTGTGACCCGAGTTCGATTCTCGCTCACGGTCAGCACCAGTGACGATTATCTGAACCGTTCCTGGGCCCCTCCTAGGTCGACTCAGCCTCAAATGAGTACCTGGTGCGATGTGTAAACATCGCCACGAGGGTTTGGCGTTGGCGATCCATCACCTCGTGTGCCATGCCGGCCTCCATAGGTGCTACTTGCTTACAGCGCTTGTCCCCGGACTCTGTTAACCGACGTGTGTAGGTGTGTGTGTGTGGACACACGTGTACAAGTGTGCACGCGTGCGTGTGCATGGACGGGGCTGCTCCTCGCCATCATCTGCCGAGCAGGAAGATGCCGAGAGACCCCGCGACCACGAGCCACGCGTGGGCACGGCGGGGCCTCCCCGCGCGGCCCAGGGGACTGGCTACTCCTGCCGAGGCTTAGAGGGGACGGGAGGAGGGGGGAGGAGCAGATATGGGGATGATGGGGGGTTAAGGTGTCTCAGGGAGTCTCACACTCAGGGAGACTCACACTCAGAGAGATTCTCACGTTCAGGGATTCTCACACTCAGAGAGTCTCACACTCAGATAGTCTCACACTCAAAGAGTCTCACACTCAAAGAGTCTCACACTCAGGGATTCTCACACTCAGAGAGAGTCTCACACTCAGAGAGGCTCACACTCAGAGAGAGTCTCACACTCAGAGAGTTTCACACTCAGAGAGAGTCTCACGTTTAGGGATTCTCACACTCAGAGAGTCTCAGACTCAGATAGTCTCACACTCAGAGAGTCTCACACTCAGAGAGTCTCACACTCAGAGAGTCTCACACTCAGAGAGTCTCACACTCAGAGAGAGTCTCACGTTTAGGGATTCTCACACTCAGAGAGTCTCACACTCAGATAGGCTCACACTCAGAGAGTCTCACACTCAGAGAGCCTCACACTCAGGGAGAGTCTCACACTCAGAGAGTCTCACACTCAGATAGTCTCACACTCAGAGAGTCTCACACTCAGAGAGTCTCACACTCAGAGAGAGTCTCACGTTTAGGGATTCTCACACTCAGAGAGTCTCACACTCAGAGAGTCTCACACTCAGAGAGTCTCACACTCAGAGAGAGTCTCACGTTTAGGGATTCTCACACTCAGAGAATCTCACACTCAGAGAGTCTCACACTCAGAGAGTCTCACACTCAGGGAGAGTCTCACACTCAGAGAGTCTCACACTCAGAGAGTCTCACACTCAGAGAGTCTCACACTCAGAGAGAGTCTCACGTTTAGGGATTCTCACACTCAGATAGTCTCACACTCAGATAGCCTCACACTCAGAGAGTCTCACAATCAGAGAGTCTCACAATCAGAGAGAGTCTCACAATCAGAGAGTCTCACACTCAGCGAGGCTCACACTCAGAGAGAGTCTCACAATCAGAGAGTCTTATGTTCAGGGATTCTCACACTCAGAGTCTCACACTCAGAGAGTCTCACGTTCAAGGATTCTCACACTCAGAGAGTCTCACACTCAGAGAGTCTCACAATCAGAGAGTCTCACAATCAGAGAGTCTCACAATCAGAGAGAGTCTCACAATCAGAGAGCCTCACACTCAGCGAGGCTCACACTCAGAGAGAGTCTCACAATCAGAGAGTCTTATGTTCAGGGATTCTCACAGAGTAACACTCGGGGAGGCTCGCGGAGGCTCGCAGGGTGGCACTCACGCTTGAGGTTGACGTAGCGCTCACATCGCCCCTGCATCACGGAGATGTCATCCAAGGCCATGTCCCCCTCCTCCCCGTTCCCACGCACCCCCTCGAACACCAGCTACCGGGCGGAAGGGGGGGGCGAGGTGGGGGGGGGGTATGGTGCAAGGCAAGGGTGCTAAGAATTTAAACTCTCGTCATCTTAGGTGGTGACCTTGGGGAGGCGCAGTCGCCAGCCCACTGCGTTTGTGTTCGCGTCTGCGCGTGTGTGGATGTACAGGGTGCTTCAAAAACATGTTAACACTTCGGAGAATTTTGCAACAACACCGCGAGAAATGTGCTGCTGCCTGCGGGCTTTGGAGACCACCTGGAGAAGATTCCAGGCCACGTATTGACATCGATGGCGAACAAGTGGAGACATTTTGACATTTTGAAGCTATTAACGTACATTTGATACCATGTTAGAGTGTGTTATCTGTTCTTTTTCCATTAAAAACGATAGTCCAATATAAGTGTTAACATTTTTTGAAGCACCCTGTATACCAATGCGTGCATCTGTGTATCTGAGTGTTTATTTATAAACATATTTGTGTCTGCCTATGAGTGTGTGTGAGTGTGCGCGTGCTTTCGACACTTCCCGTAGCCTCAAAGTGCACCTAGCCTGGCACAAACGCCGTGGTGACGTCACTGACATTTAGTGGCGAGTGGCGGTTGTTGTTGTGTGGGTCTGGTGTCTCCAGGTGTGTCATGGTCTTTGTCTTTGCCTAGGTGAGGAGCGGTGGCGCAGTGGTTAGCGCGCTGTGCTACGAATCCGGCGACCCGAGTTCCATTCCCGCTCACAGTCAACATCTGTGACGAATATCTGAACCGGTTCTGGGCCTCCCCTAGGTCGACTCAGCATTAAATGAGTAAGTGTACCCGCTGCGGTGTGTGTCTATGGGGGGGGGGTTGCACAGAATGTGTCTATGAGCACCTAACAGCCCACACGCCCCACCCGAGTGTCGTTCATCACAGGTCTTCGCGCCTCACCACGTGAGGCGCTCACCACTCCCCTTGTCGAGTCTCTCACCTTTGGCGAGTGAGTGTCTCACCTGGAAGCGTTTCAGGGGCACGATGCCTACGGCGGCGTGGTGCCACGCGTTTCCCTGGTTGCCGCTGCGACCCCACACTCGGCTGTCGGGGACTCCCTCCGCTCTGACGTACACATTGAGGGCGCCTGCATGCAACAACAAACGGCCGCGTCGCGTTCGTCCTCGTGGGGCCCAAGCAAGAGAGATGCGGGGAAAAGTCGCGTCTCCCTACACCTACACCCCAGCCGGGCCCCGAACGTGACCAGTGCCGGATTATCCTCGTAGCACAAGTAGCTATGTACATTATCATTGTAGCTATTTGTGCTACATATGTAGCAGCTACGGGCCCCGCACTTTCAAGGGCCCCGCGCAAAATGCTTTCAAGCTATCAATTCAGGTTCAGTGATTCTGCACTTGCTCTATTACTATAGTACTATACTGCCTTCAACTTTTACGAACGACTGGGTGTTTAAGGTTAGCGATTTGTCGTATTATCTGGCTGTATAGCAAATGAAAAAAATAAAATTACTTTACTTTGCAAGTTAAATATTTGTGTTTTAATATTAACGTGTTTTTTTATTTATTTAAGGGCCCTTTATAATATATGCTACAGGCTCCGCACTAGCTTAATCCGGCACTGAACGTGACCTTGACCTTCTTGAACATCGCGGCCCTAACCCATTCGCTGCAGCTTGCGTAGGAAGGAAGCGGCGTCCGCGCGCGGTCTGCCGTGGCAATTGCCTCATTTGCATCTAAATGGGGGCGAGTGACGGAGCCACCGCGCACGTAACATCGTGGGGAGGAGTGCTTAGGGGGCTGCGGGGTGGAGGTCGTGCCGTGGACTCCCACGCCGCAAAGTGTCCCGCAGCCCTCGATCTGGCTCACGATGGACAGCTGCCGGCGGTGAACGGTGAGCGTGAGGGATGAGTGTGACAGGCGAGTGTGGCCGGTGGGTGTGAGCGGTCAGGGTTAGGTGGGCTGAGCGCAGTCACAGGGTGTAGGGAGGCCAGGCACGTGTGTGTGTGTGTGTGCGTGCGTCCAGGCTCAATGAACACGCGCGTGTGTGTGTACCCGAGCGATTGCCGTACGTACCCACGTGCTTGCCGTACACGTGGTAGTAGAAGATGAGGCAGATGTCCTTGTTCACCTTCCCGTAGTGGGTGCGCCACGGGGGGCTGTACCAGGGGCTCAGGAGACGCGCCCTGTCCCCGGCACGGCGCGGATTCGACGCCTCCAAGAGCATGTAGTGACCTGCAGGCGAGGTGCCCAGTCGCCCCGGGGTCACGGCGAGTCACCCAAAGTCACCCACCCTGAGTCACAATCTGAGTCACCCCAAGTCAGGCCTTCATTTCAAGTGTCCCGAACTGAGCTCTGGAAAATATTTCCCCAGGGTGTGGGGAGGAGGAGGGAGTGGGGGAGTGTTCGAGGTTTGGGGGCCCTCGGAATAAAATAATTTAAACTCTGGCAGACTCGGTGTGGTCAGTGCTGGAGCCAATGGGGGGGGGGGGGTGGCACGTGCCCCCCCATTGATCCAATCGAAATCCCTAATTTCGATCGGATCATTGGGGTTTATTAGTAATAAATCGGCATTTTGCGACCCCCACTGCCATTGTGTAGCATATTATTACGTGCCAGGGACCCCTATCATTTTTCATTGCTGGAGGGGTTGCCCCCCCACCTGAAAATCCTGGCTCTGCCACTGGGTGTGGTGGGGGTGGTGTACGTGTAGGCAAATGTATTTGGTCTGAATCTTGACTTAAAGCTTTTGTGACTGCAGGAATTCATATTCTTGGGTCTTTCATTAAAGTCACGTAGATAGGTTCAAAGAAAAAAAAAAACTATGACGTTTCGATTGCAACACAATCGGTCGTTTTCCTGAAGACGACCGCTTGTGCTGCGATCGAAACGTCGTAGCTTTTTGTATATTTTCTTTGAACCTATCTACGTGTCTTAACCGAAAGACCCAAGAATATGAGTACTTGGTCTGCTGATGACGTGCGTGGTGTGGCACGGTGCGCGTGGCTTCTGCGGTGCCGGAGGGCGGTCTGCGTCGTTGTCTGCCGTGGCCTGACCCGTCGAGGTGTTGTGGCGGTCCAGGGTGGGCCCCGTGTTGGGCGGCCTCCTGGGCCTGGTCAGGGGGCTTCGCCTCGTCCAGTTGAACGTCCCCGTCGGGTCCGCCGCGAAGCCGCAGAGATTCTCCTCAAATTGACAGGCGGAGGCAGGGGTGAGGGTTCCCGAGCCGTTGGGATCTAGGGGGTACGAGGGAAAGGGAGGTGGGTCTAGGTCGTCAGAGAAAGGCGTCGGGGGCGGGGGGCGATGGGAATAAGAGAGAGAGACAGAGATGGGGAGAAGTGAAAGGAGAGAGAGGGGACAAGGGTGGGGGGGAGAGAATGTGAGAGGGTAAGAGAGAGGGGGAGTGAGGGTAAGAGAGAGAGAGACAGAGATGGGAAGAATTGGAAGGAGAGAGAGGGGACAAGGGGGGGGGAGAGAGAATGTGAGAGGGTAAGAGAAAGATAGAGGGGGAGAAGGACGACGAGAGGGGTGGGACCAAGATAGTTAGGAGGTAAGTTCGAGGGGGAGTTGGGGGGTAGGAGAGTGTTTAGTTTATTCTCCTTCCCCCGCACCCCAGATTAGCACGGTTGGCTACGTACGGTGCGAAAGAAGTTCAACATACATACACACATACATACAAGAGAACGAGGGTGGGCGGGTAAGAGAGAGGGGGAGAGGTAGTGGGGCGAGGGAGAGACAGGGGTGAGGCAGAGAGGATCGCGGAGGGAGCGGTGCAGAGGGGGCGAGGTGGCGTGGGGGTCAGAGACTCGAGGGGATGGGGGTGTGAGCGGGCAGGGTGGCATGGAGCGTGTTGGCTGGGTAGGGTAAGTTGGCGTTGTCGAAAGATACATGGATGGGTGAGACTTGTGTACAGGGTGAGGAATGAGTGAGTCGGATGAGCAGTTTGTGATAGTTGAGCACAGTGATTGATGGGTGAGCGATGGGACCTGTAATGAGTGCAAAATACATTTGCGAGGTATTTCCTCGTGAAGACGAAATTACCCTTGCAGTGATGAGGTTACCCTTGTAGTGAGGTCACCCTTGTAGCGGTGAGGTCATCCTTGTAGCGACGTTACCCCCCGTAGCGGCGAGGTTGCCCTCTTTGTCACGACCAGTGACGTGCGGTGAGGTCAATGGCTGGGGAGGCACTGGCGAGTGTCAGAGCCAGAGTCACACAATGAGAGGGGGCGTGGCCTCACTGAAAGGGGCGTGTTAGACACGCCCCCCTCAGTGAGGCAGATGTGATAGCTGCCTCCCCTGACCGCACGTCCCTGGTCACGATGAGTTTGCCCGCATCGGCGATGCGGTTACCCTCGCGCGGCGACGATGCTCTCGTTTGCGGCGGGCGACGCTTTACCCTCTTTGTAATGGACGAGGAAGGCGGCCGTGTCTCCCTCTCCGAACTGCGAGACGGGCGTGAGCCGCACTTGGTAGGAGTGGGGCCGCTGCAGGTCGGGGAGAACGTGCTCGTGCAGCTGCCCGCGCCCCAGGGGCTGCGCCTGCAGGGTCACCCTGCGCCACAGCAACGTGCCCACCTGCGGGCACGACGGGGCGGACGGGCAGGTGGGACGAAAGGCGAGGAGGCGGGTGAGTTGGCGGACGAGGTGGTCGGCGAGGAGCGGCGGCGGCGGCGGCGGCGCCCGTGCTGCCCACGCCGATGGCTGCGGGGACCTCACCTGGCGGTACTCAAGCTTGTAGGTCTTGACGCGGTCCACAGCCTCCGGCAGCGCCTGGGTCCACTCGAGCTGGTAGGCGTACATGCCGCCCACCGTGCGGATCGGGTGAGACCGGTTGTAGTAGAACTCTGGTGCGTAGGCACGGCCTGGGTTGGGGGGTGGGGAAGTGGAGGCGGGTTCGAGGACTCGGGGTTAGGGCACGGACGCGCCCGGCAAACACGCGGCTTGTCACGATGTCTAACCCTGACTTAAAACCTTGGCGACTGCAGGAATTCATAGTCCATGGTTCTTTCGGTGAAGTCACGTAGATGGAAAAATAATAACAATACAATAATAAAAATAAAGTTAAAGTGGATAAAAAAGTAATACAATATCACGACACTTCGATCGCAACACGAGGGGTCGTCATCAGGAACAGGGATGACCGCTCGTGATATTTTTTTTATTTTTTATTCACTTTATCTTTATTATTTTATTGTTATTATTTTATCTACGTGACTTTACCGAAAGAACCATAGACGATGTCTAACCAGCCTGCAAGCTACCTTACCCATTCAAAGATGGCCAGGCACCTTCCCGCTCGATCCATGAGCCACACAACTGGAAAGTCACACCGGATCCATACACACCGGGCAGGCGTGCCCATCATGTGCACAAAACACAGGGATCCACCGTACAGCCTTAACAGATTGCTGGGGCAAGTTATGTTCGTGACCACCTATGAGGGCCGGCACGGCACACGAGGGGGTAGGTGGCCTTTGTCTCCCTAGTTGGTTAATGTTTTTACATTATCGCACCGGGTACTCAATTGAGGCTGAGCCGACCTAGGAGAAGCCCAGGACCGGTTCAGATAATGGTCACCGGTGTTGGCCGTCAGTGGGAATCGAACTCGGCTCGCCGGATTTTGTAGCGCGGCGCGCTGCACACGCGCGCGCGTTCCCGTGCGCACCGGTGACGTTGAAGAGGCACCTCGAGGACCCGGCCTCGTTGGTCACGGTGCACGTGTAGGAGCCGTAGTCTCCGGCCGAGAGGCTCGCGATGTCCAGGGACTCGACGAGGCCCGAGCGCAGCACGGGGCCCCCGCGTCGCCACTCGTACTCGAGGGGCCTCGCGGGCAACGCGCGCAGCACAGCGCAGCGCATCGACACACGCCGGCCCAGCGCCTGACGGATCTCGCTCGCCACGGGCTCCACCTGCGGGGGGTCTGGGAGGGGGGGGGGGCGGAGGGGGCGGGGACACCGGATCGAGCATCCGGGGTGAGGGGGGGGGGAGTACCGTGTGAGGCTCGAGGTGGAGCGCGGAGGGGAGGTGGGTGGAGTGGGCGGAGGAGGTAGAGATGGCGAGGGTACACGGCGCCTGCGTGACAACAACGTGAGACCGCTCCCCCGCCCCTTCCCCCCACGCCCTAAGCAATTTTCAATCGATGGCGACTATTGAGGAACACAACACGGCAGATGCGCGTACACGTTCCATAAATTGAAGATCAAAGAATCGCCCAACTGCGACTGTGGAAGAGTCCAGACCATCACGCACAGCGCCGACGAATGCTCCTTCGATGCACATCGTTGGCGGTGTCGCTGGAATCCACACTGCGTCAACCCCACATCTCATTTGACTGGATGAGGAACCTTTACATTCATTTATGACGATCGTTAAAAAAAAAAACGCTTCGCTTTTCACGATGCCATACGAAAGAAGAAGGAATAGGATGACATTTTAAACGTTCGCGCTGATGGTAGCATCTCCAGTGGCTGGAGGGGTGAGATAATCTCATTGATGCCGACTCTTAACACGCGCAGTCCTGCTGCGATACGTCGCGAGCTCGACCCTGCGGTGTGACCACGTGTTACAAGTTTTGAATTGGGGGGGGGTGCAGGGGGGCAATCATAAACTCAGGTTGGTGGTGTTAAATGCTGAACAGAAAGATGAGCGATGGCCATGTTCTGTTGGCTGTCATGTATTATCGGCTCTCGCTCTCACATCCCCATGCACAACGTTCTTCTGTGGCAACGTGGTGACGACTTCAGAGGGATTTAAGTAGCGGAGGTTGAGCCCGCGGCAGGAGTGTTGATGGATCGATTCGTCGTTCCGCTCCGACTGCCGCTTAAACCCCGCAGGTCGCCGGAGGTCGTAACTCGTTGCTCAATTTGTCACACGGACCACCCTGAGTCTCTGAGCCACCCCAGTCCTAGGCCACTTTGAGTTTTAGAGCCATCCTGATCCTGGGCCTCTCGGGGTTTTTGAGCCAACCTGCTCCCAGGCCACTCTGGGACTCTGTGCCACCCGGGGTCTTCCAGCCAACCTGCGTTTTCTGAGCCACCCTGCTCCTTGACCACCCTGGGTTTTTCTGAGCCACGCTGCTCCCAGGTCACTCTGCGTGGCCTCTGAGCCATGCACCCTGGGGTCTTAGAGCCACCCCGGGCACCGTGCCGCCGCGTGGCCTGAGCGCCGATGCTCACACTGCACGATGAGTTGTACGTTGGCCTCGCGGGGGGTGACATTGAAGCCATTGTAGCGGCCCGTCTGACAGCGGTAGGTGCCGGTCATGTTGCGCGTGGCGTTGACGAAGCGCAGGGTCCCGTCGTGGCTCTCGGTGTGCGGTGCCCCGTCCGGCATCGGAGCGTCGCGGTCGGCGCGGGACCACAGCAGCACGGGCTTGGGCTTGCCGCTCACCACGCACTGCAGCTCCGCCACGCTGCCCTCCCTCACCGTGACCACGGAGCGGCCCCTGGGCACCGTCACCGTGGGGGCCACTGGGTACGCGCCCCGCAACAGTGGGGGGGGGGGGGGGGCGGAGTGAGGAGGGGGGTGGGAGGGACAGGGGTCACACACACGGGACTCGGCACACCCGACGGGACACGCGGCGGGCCCGATTAAGTTTGAGTGGTGGGGGCCCGGAGCTGTTGTCGATTTGGGGACCCTACTTTTGTATTTTCAATTCCTGCCCTCACCCGCACCCATGTTATACCCGCACTCATGGCCGATGGAAAACGATCTATCATTATTTAACAATGTATTCGCGATGCTGCATTGGCAGTTGTGTAAAAGCACAAATAACAAACTCAACACATTTGTCAATAACTCTGCCCTGAGAAGAATATAATAACAATAATGGAGGACGTTTAGAGCGAATGGCCCTTCTTCATAATAAAAGGGCAATTTCTCTTCGATGGAGGACCATTTCCCAAAACGTCGCCTAATGTACATTGTTTGCATTTGTTACTTCGGATCTAGTTATTTTTGACGTCATGAACGAATTCCAGAGCTAAATCAAAGTAAAAAAAAAGAACCGGACCGTATTAATTTCGGCACAACTGGTGTCACTACGCACACTGCAGGAATCAGAGCGCTACAGCATTGCGTTTCAATCCTGAGCTGCAAGCAAACAATTTCATTTGAATCAAGTCCCGGGTTTGCTGCTTAAACAAACGTTGCTTATTTTTCTTTCGTGCTGCAGGTTGGGGGTGGGGTGGGGAGCACCCATGATCATCTCCGCTCCCCGTGTGTGGAATACGGCATCCTGTGGATGTATCTATACAGCGCTTCGGTGTTCACGAAATAGCTGAAGCAATGTCTGTGCGCAATAACATTTGAGCGACACTCCTCTCTGGCTCGTGTCAGCGACTCGCCGCACGAACTCTGCATGCATCGTAAATTGGACCTCTTTAAGCATAATTTTGTTTCCCCAGGTGAGAACTCAAGAGAGCAGGATTAGAGTCTCATTTGCAAGAGTGACCTGGGGCATTAGCCTGCCAGTAGGGTGCGATAATTGCTGCTGCTGCTGCTGTGTGTGGGTGCGTTTGTGTGTTATCCCAATAGAGAGACGTATTACGCAAGTGGTAGCCGGGCCGTCCAGTCTCCATCCTCCCCGTGATCGCAAAGAGAGAACGGATTATTTTGCTGCTATAAATTTCCACGCGATAAGCCATTTCGTTGAGCTATCATTTGTGTCCAGGTCGCTTCTGAAACAGACCCTAATAGCTCAGTGGGCTTTACCTGGTAAGATAAAAAAAACAGTTAAATTGTATTTGTATATATTTTAAATAGCTTACTTCCCTTTCCTCTATCATGGGACCTCCTTTGCCAGCTTCAACAAATAAGAATAGGTGTTAAAATTTTAAAACACCAAGCTGAAACCTTTTACAAGGAATTTTAACATCTTAACACCTGTTTTGTTGCCAGAAAAAAGGGGGACACCCTATTCTTATACCTTTCCTCTACTTTACACTCCTATCGTTTTTTTAATTGTTGTAACATTCTGACCTGCTCCTTATTGGAAATCTGTGAAAAAATACATTTGTAGCTCATCGGATTCCTCCAGCATAAATAAAGATGTTGAGTGCACAATGATTTGCACGCCGTCATCCCAAGGTTTGCCCACAGCGGCCTCCCAAGCAGGGTTCAGGTGCAGCCGTGGCGGCCGTCTGGAGCTGAGGTCACGCACCAGTGCTGCTCGAGATGTTCACGTCGATGCTGATGTTGGGGATGGCGTAATTGTTGAGCGACGCCACGCACGTGTAGGTGCCGAAATCGGTGAACTTGAGGTTGATGATGGCGAGGCTGGAGGTGCCCGGGTGGATGTCCACGTCGGCGGGCGTGATCACCATGTGGCCCGTGCTGGACTGCACGCGCCCGTTCTTGTACCAGGTGTACGTGAGTTCCTCCAGAGGCACGGCCTCCACCTGGCACGTGATATTCACCCCGCGGCCGATCGTGATGTTTCCATCCTCTACGTACGGGTCCGGGGTGATCCAAAAGCGGCCCTGGCGCAGAGCTGGGTGGAGGAATGTGTGTGTGTGTGTGTTCAAGGAGGTCCCGTCAGTCGGTGTGTGTGTGTCTGTGTGATGGTACATACTCGTGGTACATCCTGTGTTAAAGGTATGTGATGGTGCATGCTAACGTGTGATTATCATGGATGTTTGTACATGACTGTGCACGGTTGTATGTGATGGGGTGTGATACTGCATGCTAGAGTATGCTGGGGCGCGATGGGGCATGCGGGTGCCTTCTGATATCTGACGCTACGTGACGGTGCGTGACGGTGCGTGACGCTACGTGACACTAAGTGACACTAAGTGACGCTGCGTGACGCTACGTGACGCTACGTGACGCTGCGTGACGCTACGTGACGCTACGTGACGGTGCGTGACGCTGCGTGACACTAAGTGACGCTACGTGACGCTGCGTGACACTAAGTGACGCTACGTGACGCTGCGTGACACTAAGTGACGCTACGTGACACTACGTGACGCTGCGTGACGCTGCGTGACACTAAGTGACGCTACGTGACGCTGCGTGACGCTACGTGACGCTGCGTGACACTAAGTGACGCTACGTGACACTACGTGACGCTGCGTGACGCTGCGTGACACTAAGTGACGCTACGTGACGCTACGTGACGCTACGTGACGGTGTGTGACACTACGTGACGGTGTGTGACACTACGTGACGGTGTGTGACACTACGTGACACTACGTGACGCTACGTGACGCTGCGTGACGGTGTGTGACACTTAAGTGACGCTACGTGACGCTACGTGACGCTACGTGACGGTGTGTGACACTACGTGACGGTGTGTGACACTACGTGACGGTGTGTGACACTACGTGACACTACGTGACGCTACGTGACGCTGCGTGACGGTGCGTGACACTACGTGACGGTGTGTGACACTACGTGACGGTGTGTGACACTATGTGACGGTGTGTGACACTACGTAACACTACGTAACGCTACGTAACACTACGTGACACTACGTGATGCTACATGACACTACGTAACGCTACGTAACACTACGTGACACTACGTGATGCTACGTGACACTACGTGACACTACGTGATGCTGCGTGACGCTACGTGACGCTACGTGACGGTGCGTGATGGTGCACGAACCCCCCCCCACCCCCAAACCTCTGCGCGGGACTCACTTCGCACCACAATGGTGACGGGCCGGCGGTAGGGGTCGCCCACGCGGTTAAACGCCTCGCAGTAATACGTGCCCGCGTCCTCACGGTGCGCCCGCGCCAGGCTGAAATTCCCTCCCGAGACGCAACTGTTGGGGGGCAGTCGCCCCCCAAGGCGTGACCACGAGAGGGAGGGGTGGGGGTACCCCGCCACGGCGTCGCACTGCACGAAGACCCTGTCACCTGGGTTGATCACCAGACTCTCCGCGTCGCGGATGCGGCTCTGCGGGGGCGCTGGGGGAGCCGGCGGGTGGTGGAATAAGAGGGGGGGGGGGGAGGTGGCAGAGAGTGTGTGTGTGTGTGTGCGTTAGTATGGATAGCAATGCGGCCCTGTGACTCAGTCTCAACTGAGTACTTGGGACGGGTTATAAACATCGCCGCTGGGGAGACAAAGGCGGTCGGGCGTGGTGCTGGCCTCCCACCCCGTTGTGTGCCGTGCCGGCCTTCATAGGTGCTACTAGCTTACAGCACTTGCCCCAATAGGCTGTTAGGGCTATAGGGGGATCTTTGTTAGTGTGGACACACGCAGGGCTTAATTTTTCACTCGATATTTTCCGTAACGCTGCCATAGCGGCTGCGCTTAGAGCAGGCGTAATCGGTGAAAGGCACTACCTGCCACTAGAGTTGAGGGTACGCATGTGCGTAATAACACCTTATATGTTTGATGTGGCGTCCCATAACACATCCCATCTCGGCAAAAGGAGGCGAGATGGATGTGCCGTGCCACAATAATTACTGGAACAGCGTTCTGGGCTGTTCCTGCTGAATTCAAGCACTGTGCATATGCGTGTGTCTGTGTTGTGTGGTGTTGGCTCGGCCTCAAATGAGTATCTGGTGTGGTGCGTAAACATCGCAACTGGGGAGACAAAGGCGGCCGGTTGTGGTTTCTGGCCACCCACCCCGTCGTGTGCCGTGCCGGCCTTCAAAGGAGCTCGCTAACAGCACTTGCCCCAGCAGGCCGTAAAGGCTATCCGGGGGATCTTTGTCTTTGTGCGTGAGCGTGCGCGTGAGCTGCACCCCGCACCGGTCTTGTTTGTGAGCTGGAAACTCGCCGTGAGGTTCTCGATGCCGCACACGTTGCGCACGGACGCCACGCAGCTGTAGGTCGTGTAGTCCCTGTCCCGCATGTTCTTCAGCTTCAGCACCATGGGCTCGTCCTGCACCCCGGCGCAACCCCGGCGCCATGTGGTCAACGCCACGCGGTGCAGCGCCGCACGTCACCCACGTCCTCCCCCCCCACGCCACGCCCCCCAAACAGAAGCCTCGCACAAAAAATAATAAATATATAATGGGGAGGTGAGGGGGGTTGACCCGGGGGCCCACGAGGCATTCTAACCCCGGATCCGCAGTCCCGGGGAACCTCTTGGGATCCTCTTGTCCCATGGGGAACCATTTCTCCCGGGTTTCTGCATCTCTACGGCCTCTCGTCTCTCGCGCCAGGAGCCACGCTCAGCAGAGCGAGGGAGTAAAAATCGATCTCTTGGGAGAGGAAATCAAATAGCTGCCCCCCCTCATCCACCCCGCTCCTTGTTTCCTTACTCGTATTGACCCCCCTCCCAAACCCCGCCATCCCTTACCCACGCCGTCGTTGTTGCGAATCGCTGATGCGGCAACTGTGAATTCCCGGGGGGGGGAGGGAAGGGGGGTGGCGGAGGGGGGGGGGCGACTTCTCGGCTCCGCGGAGCGTGAAGAAGCCCCCCGACCGACCGTGTGGTTAGCGGTCAGCAGCGACGCTACCGCTGGACTTGCAAGCCGAGAAGGTTCGCCGGTTGGATTCCATCCCCCACCGCGGGGCAGTTGAAACGATGGAGGCACGTTTCTTAAATCTCCCCCCCTCCCAGCGCCTCCCCCCCCCCCGCCTCCCACACACCGCTTCTGTCCACCAGCCGCAGTGTAAATGTGTTCCAGTTGGTCGATCGGCAAGTTGCGTGTGGTGGGGAATATCTTAGTGCCGGGTACGCCCACCTCTGTGAAGGTGCCTGGCACAACGTGGAAGATTCGAACAAAATACCCTCGATGTGAGAGGGCTTCCCTCTAGCTTCTTCGAGCGGAGGCCCTACCCCCAGCAATGGTGGTGAGCGAGCAATTTACAGGGCTGCGCTTTTACCTTTTCTTTTTTACAGCCAGGCAGGGCCGCGGTTGCATAGCAAGAAATTGCCGCGCCTGCATCTTGGCCGTGGCTGGCGAAACACCGACCCGGCCATGGCTCAAGTCAGAATCAGAATATTTGTTCATACCGGTGGAATCCGATGAGCTATGAAGCTCTTTGTCACAGATGTCAAGTAAGGGACACGGGGTCAAAACGTTACAACAAACAATAGACAAACACGACAGGGGTGTAAAGTATAGGAAATGCAAACAAATCATTTTAAAAATATATATATACGCGAATAAAACTGAACTATCTTTAACCGTCCGAGTAAAGCCCAGCTATTAATTGATTTTTCAGAAGCGACGTGGCCTCAAATAATAACCGCAATTAAAACTCAACACGCATCCCCCCCCCCCCCCTGCTCCAAGACGTACCTTCACGAAGAGCGGCTTGTAGACGCTGATGCCGTCGTCCTGCTCCTGCTTGACCACGTGGCCCCCGCGCAGCCACGTGATCTGTGCGGGGGGGCTCGAGTTGGCGGAGCAGCGCAGGAAGGTGGTTCGCTCCTGGTAGTACTTCGCCTCCCCCACGTTCTGGTGGACCATGAGCACGGGCGGGTCCAGGTCTGGGCGCACGAGGGTGCGGGAGACGAGGGTGGATGGAGGGGGATATGTCCCGTCATAGTGGAGCCCCTTCACTTTAAAGTGGACCCCTCAATTCACAGTGGACCACTTCACTCACAGTGGACCCCTTCACCTAGAGTGAACCCCTTCACTCACAGTGGACCCCTTCACCCCCTTCACCCACAGTGGACCCCTACACCCACAGAGGACCCCTACACCACAGTGGATGCCTTCACTCACAGTGGACCCCTACACTCACAGTGGACCCCTTCACCCACAGTGGACCCCTACACCCACAGTGGACCCCTACACACTCACAGTGGACCCCTTCACCCACAGTGGACCCCTTCACCCAGAGTGAACCCCTTCACCCAGAGTGAACCCCTTCACCCACAGTGGACCCCTTCACTCACAGTGGACCCCTTCACCCCCTTCACCCACAGTGGACCCCTACACCCACAGTCGACCCCTTCACCCACGGTGGACCCCTACACCCACAGTGGATCCCTTCACTCACAGTGAACGTCCACACGGGAGGAGAATATGGCCGGCTGCCCGATCCCGTTCTCGGCGCGGCAGCAGTAGTAGCCCGCCTGCTGCCGCGTGATGTTCTTGATGCGCAGCGTCTCGTTGGACAGATTCATCTCCTGCAACTTGTCCGAGCTCGTGCTCGACGTCTTGGTCCAGCGAATCTGGGGGGTACGAGCGGCCAGGCCGACGGCAGGCGGAGTAAGCCGGGTGCGTAGTGCAGGTGGAGTAAGCCGGGTGCGTAGTGCAGGTGGAGTAAGCCGGGTGCGTGGTACAGGTGGAGTAAGCCGGGTGCGTGGTGCAGGTGGAGTAAGCCGGGTGCGTGGTGCAGGTGGAGTAAGCCGGGTGCGTGGTACAGGTGGAGTAAGCCGGGTGCGTGGTGCAGGTGGAGTAAGCCGGATGCGTAGTGCAGGTGGAGTAAGCTGGGTGCGTGGTGCAGGTGGACTAAGCCGGGTGCGTGGTACAGGTGGAGTAAGCCGGGTGCGTGGTACAGGTGGAGGGAGCTGGGTGCGTGGTACAGGTGGAGGGAGCCGGGTGCATGGTACAGGTGGAGTAAGCCGGGTGCGTGGTACAGGTGGAGTAAGCAGGTTGCGTAGTACAGGTGGAGGGAGCTGGGTGCGTTGTACAGGTGGAGGGAGCTGGGTGCATGGTGCAGGTGGAGTAAGCCGGGTGCGTGGTACAGGTGGAGGAAGCCGGGTGCCTGGTACAGGTGGAGTGAGCTGGGTGCATGGTGCAGGTGGAGTAAGCAGGGTGCGTGGTACAGGTGGAGTAAGCAGGGTGCGTGGTGCAGGTGAAGTAAGGAGGGTGCGTGGTGCAGGTGGAGGGAGCTGGGTGTGTGGTACAAGTGGAGGGAGCTGGATGCGTGGTACAGGTGGAGGGAGCTGGGTGCGTGGTACAGGTGGAGTAAGCCGGGTGCGTGGTGCAGGTGGAGGGAGCCGAGTGCGTGGTACAGGTGGAGGGAGCTGGGTGCGTGGTGCAGGTGGAGGGAGCTGGGTGCGTGGTGCAGGTGGAGTAAGCCGGGTGCGTGGTACAGGTGGAGGGAGCCGGGTGCGTGGTACAGGTGGAGTCAGCAGGGTGCGTGGTACAGGTGGAGTAAGCCGGGTGCGTGGTACAGGTGGAGGGAGCTGGGTGCGTGGTACAGGTGGAGGGAGCCGGGTGCATGGTACAGGTGGAGTAAGCCGGGTGCGTGGTACAGGTGAAGTAAGCAGGGTGCGTAGTACAGGTGGAGGGAGCTGGGTGCGTGGTACAGGTGGAGGGAGCTGGGTGCATGGTGCAGGTGGAGTAAGCCGGGTGCGTGGTACAGGTGGAGGAAGCCGGGTGCGTGGTACAGGTGGAGGGAGCTGGGTGCATGGTGCAGGTGGAGTAAGCAGGGTGCGTGGTATAGGTGGAGTAAGCAGGGTGCGTGGTGCAGGTGAAGTAAGGAGGGTGCGTGGTGCAGGTGGAGGGAGCTGGGTGTGTGGTACAAGTGGAGGGAGCTGGATGCGTGGTACAGGTGGAGGGAGCTGGGTGCGTGGTACAGGTGGAGTAAGCCGGGTGCGTGGTGCAGGTGGAGGGAGCCGAGTGCGTGGTACAGGTGGAGGGAGCTGGGTACGTGGTGCAGGTGGAGGGAGCTGGGTGCGTGGTGCAGGTGGAGTAAGCCGGGTGCGTGGTACAGGTGGAGGGAGCCGGGTGCGTGGTACAGGTGGAGTCAGCAGGGTGCGTGGTGCAGGTGAAGTAAGGAGGGTGCGTGGTGCAGGTGGAGGGATCTGGGTGGCCACACCTGTGGGTGGGGGTGACCCTTGACGATGCAGGTGAGCTCTAGGGTGTCCCCCTCGCGCACGGCGAACGCGCGCTCGCTCTGACCCTCATCTTGTCCATTGCACGACTGCCCCGTGGAGACGATTCTTGCCTCAGGGGGGGCTGGAGAAGAGGGATGGGAGGGGAGTTCACAGCCGTATTTAACATCAGAGCGGAGCTCCGACTGGAGATGGTATTGGTGCTGGTGATGGGGTTGGTGTTGGGGATGGCGCTGGTGATAGAGTTGGGGTAGTTATGGGCAGTGCCGGATTATCCTAGTAGCACAAGTAGCTACATATGCTACGGGCCCCGCACTTTCAGTGACCCCGCGCTAAATGCTTTTCAAGCTATCAATTCCGGTTCAGTGATTCTGCACTTGCTCTATTACTATAGTACTATTCTGCCTTCAACTTTTATGAGCGACTGGGTGTTTAAGGTTAGCGATTTGTCGCATTATCTGGCTGTATAGCAAATCAAAAAATACAATGACTTTACTATGCAAGTTCAAAATCTGTGTTTTAATATTTCCGAGTTTTATTTATTTATTTAGGGCCCCTTTATAACATCATGCTACAGGCCCGCACTAGCTTACTCCGACACTGATTATGGAGGTGATGCTGGGGATGAGGCTGGTATCGGGGGTGATGCGTGTGCTGGCGATGGGACCGATGGTAATGATGCCGGTGATGGGCCTGCTTAGGGGCCATCCATTGAGTAGGTACTCAAAAATCTGTCAAAACTTGATCCCCCCCCCCCCCCGTACGCACGCGGACTTTTTACCCCCCCTCCCCCACCTGCGTACGCACGCTTCACCCCCCCCCCACCTGCGTACGCACGCTTCACGCACCCCCCCTCCCCCCCAAGCCTATAGAACGGCCGATATGTAATCGACGCAGAAACGATCAAGGATTAATAATTTTAACGTGTTTAAGCAAACAGATAATCCACCGCCGGACTATCTAACTTATTTGAAGGCCAATGTAGACAAATTATCGAGGCTTCACCCCCCCCCTTTCCTATGCGTACGTACATTGTCAGTAGACCCCCCATACGCAAGCGTACGCATTTGGGTTAACCCCCCTCCATGCGTACGTACTAAACGGATGGCCCCTTATGGGGATGAGACTGGTGATGGGGCTGTTTTTTGCGTTGACGGTGATGGTAAAGGGGGCCGTTGATGGAGCTGGTGTCGGGGATGATGCTGGTGTTGATGATCGTACTCGTGATGGCGCTGGTGTTAGGCCTGATGAAGTTAAGGGTGTTGATGACGGTGCTGGTGATGGGGCTGGTGATGGAGCTGGGAGTGAGCGAGGTGAGCGGTGTGCGGGAGTCACCGTAAACTCCCGGGCCTGACGCGTCGGCGCTGGAGGCGCGCTGCAGCCACACGAGGAGCGCCCACGCCAGGAGAACCATGGCGCACGCCGAGGTGGGGGGGGGGGGGGGGTCCCACGCTTTCTGCTCTCCGGGGTCTCCGGTCTGGGGCTCCCGGGGAGTAGCGCGCGATCGGTCCGTCGAAGTCGGGTTCCCAGCCTCAGTCAGCGTGGCACCAGCGACCCGGGAGCGGAGCTGTTATCAAAGCGCCCTCCGAGGGCAAAGGACCTCATCTCTCGCGGCCCCCCCCCCCCCACACAACCGTGCGCGTTGGGCCTCGTGCGACGTCTCAGGTCCCAGCGGCGCCGCGATCGCCACAGTCCAGACGCAACTCGCGACCGAACCTGGCCCCTCCCTGCGCCAATTATAGCCGCGAACCAGCAGCGGCAGCAAGAGCGACAGCAAGAGCGGCCGCAGCAGAACGAGAAGCGATCTCCGGTCGCTCCTGTCCCGCGGGCCCAATTAGAATCGGCCGCGTCCGCCTCCCCCCGTGGGCCCCGCTGCCTGAAGTCGCCGCTCCTCCTGCGAGAAGCGAGAGAGCCGCTGCTGGTGTAGGGTCAGCGCCTTCATTAGACTCGAGGAGCACGTGTGGGTGGCGTGGGATCGTGGCGCGGGTACAGCGGGCACCGCCGGCACAGCGGCCGGGCGATGAAGGGCAAGGACATGAGGAAGAGCGGGGGCAATGACTGACTAGAGGGAGCAGATAGTGCAGAAGGGGAGTAGGCGAGGCAGGAACAAAGGGGTGGAGGGGGGGTAGCCGGTGCAGCAGGAGGAGGTCGCGCTGATGTCCGTTCCGTGGAACTGGGTCAACAAGGGCTGTGCGTGAAGGGGCATGGGAATGCAGCGGGATGTTCGTGTGCGTGCGTGCGTGTGCGGGTCATTGTGCGAGTGACTGCGCGCACAAGTCTGTATGCATACGTGCAAGCATGTCTGCGTATGTACCCGTGCGTGTGTACGCGTGTGAGTTTGTGTGCGTCTTGTTATGCACGCGTGTTGACGTATAACCATGACGGTGTGTGTACGCGTTCTGTGCGCGCACGTGAAGCGTGTGTTCGCGTAGCCGTGTCTATCCGTGTCCGCGTGTACACGTGCACACGCGTATCTGTGTGTGCCCGCGTACCTGTGTGTTACCCGTGTCTGCGCGTGTATCCGCATCAGTGGGTACGCGCGCACACGCGTCCCTGTGGGTCCTCGAGTCTGCGCGTGTACTGTGTGTTCGTGTCCACAAATGCAACATCCGTACCGAGGCGGGTGTTCTCAGCCCGCTCGGAGAACCGCAGAGCGTGCGATGGAGGCGAGAAGGGGGTGAAGGATGGAGCAGCGATGGCCGGCGCTGGTCGCGAATCACGGCGCTCGGCTCCTCCTCATCCCCGGCAGCTCCCGCTCTCTCGTGTCGCCATCTCTTCTGCGTCGAGTCCTCGCGTCAATCGCAGCGAACGAGGAGGTTCCGCGCCCAGAGGCGCCGGTGGCGCTGCGGACCGAGTGCGTGGGCGACGGTCAGCCAGGGTGGGGGCGGGAATATATAACGGGGAGGAGGCGGGAACGGGGGTCTCTCGGGGTCACCCCCCGCTCGCTTGGCCCGTGAAGGGGGGGGGGGGGCCTCGCCCCCGCCCCTCCGAGAGGTCCCGCTCGCTTCGACACCGCGGAGGAGAAGACGCCGCTCCGTCGGCGGAGGCGCGCGACGCGGTCACCGCGTTCGACCGGAGGAATTGGCCGTGGCAGGACGAGATGACGCGCACCATATACGCACTGGCGGGCGACTGCCGCTCGCACGCAGCACGCGAGGGTCGAAACACTGCAGTTCGCTCACGATTGCACGGGGGAGCGCGTAGTCGCGACGCAGCGAGAGATGGGGGATGGCGGGGAGAGGAAAATAGAGGTAGGGGGAGACAGGGATAGGCAGATCGGGCGGAGGAGAGGCGGGGAGATGGGAGAGGCGCAGGGAGAGGTGGGGAGGAGAGGCAAGCGGAGGCAGGAGGTTTGTTTTCGTTTCAAGGAACGAGGCCTCTCTTGACGCCAGGGTGCGCACTTCGCGGGGCTTTTGACGAGGATTCGACGGCGCGTGGAGTCGACTACGTGAACGCCGTCGCTCCTCTCCGCTCTCCAATCTCCCTCTCGCTTCGTCTCACTCCTGCGCATGCAGCGCTGGGGAGTCTCTCGTGTGGTCCCCATTGGAGCTCATTTACTACTATTGACGGCGAAGGAAGATAAGCATTCTTTTTGCGCGTATGTAAAGCCCGTCCCTGCGCGATTGTAGACGCTCACGGGCGAATGTGTAAGTGAGGGAGTAGCATGGGTTGCCGAGTACGTCGATGAGTGGTGTTGGTGAGTGTAATGATGAAGTGTTCGGTGGGTGTGTAAGTGCATTGGTGAATGAGTGAGTGGGTGAGTCGATGGGTGAGTGGAGAGTGGTTGGGTTGATGAGTGGATAGGTTAATGGTTGGGTGGGTGAGTGAGTGAGCCAGTGTGTGGGAGAGTGGGTAAGTAGTTGGATGCGTATGTGGGTGCATAAGGGGGTGGGTGAATTTGTTATGAGTGCGCTTGCGGGCGAGTCGGTGGGTGAGTGAATGGGTGTTATGAGTGGATGGGTGAGTGGAACGTGGGATGATAAGTGAGTGAGTGGGTGGGTGGGTGAGCGGCTTAGTGGGTGAGTCAGTCGGTGAGTGGATAAGAGGTGGATGGTGAGCTGGTGAGCGAGTGAGTTGGTGGGTGAGTCAATGGATGTGTGAGTCTATGTGTGAGTGGATAGCAGGCGGGTGGTGAGTGAGGAGGTGAGCGACTTAGTGAGTGAGTGAATGGGTAAGTGGATGGACGATGAGTAAGTGGGTGTAGGAACACGCGAGTGAGGTGAAAGGATAAGTTAAAGATGAGAGGCGAGTGTGACGAGTGAGTGGGGGGGGGGAATGAATTTAGCGGGGTGAATGAGTGATAGTGTAAATGAGCGTGGTGGTGAGTGGTGGGTGTCAAGTACAGACGTGGATCAAAAATAACCCTTTGGGGCAGAGGGGTCATCCCGGGGGGGGGGGTGGAATCGAGGGGTGAAGGGAGGGGTCCAGGGGCTGTAATGGAGCCTAATTGGTTGTGGCGCCGCTGGCCAGCTGCATTATTAATGCGACTGGTGGCGCGCTCGGAGCCACGATGAAGTGAAGTGCCGGGGTGGTGAGCGTGTTGGTCGACTCAGCCTCAAATGAGCGCTGTGTAAACATCGCCATTAGGGTGACACAGGCAGCCGTGCGTGGTGCTGGCAAATCACCGCTTCGTGTACCGTGCCGAGCTTCATAGGTAGGTGCTCGCCAACATCACTTGCCCCAACAGCCTGTTAAGGCTATACTGAGGATATTTGTCTTTGTGATACCAGGTGCGTGTGAGAGGGTCTAGATTTGGACACGGTCTCATCAGTGAGCTCCTCCGGAAGGCGAAACACTGCGTTTTCTGGGTCGGTTAGCCCGCATGCCCAGCCACCGCATGCCCAAGCAGCTTCTGTTTGGCCGGATAGAGGGGGGGGGGGGGTAAACGGGCGCGGCACGGGCTCGAGAAGAGATGTGCTGATGTGGTACACGGGGATGTGGAGGTGATTGGACTTGCCGATGACGGGTACCAGCGGCGTCAAAATCGGCTTCGATGGAGGAGGAGGCTCGTGAAGGAGGGTGGAGGAGCGACGCTCACAACAACGAGCGGAGCGCCGGACGGCTAAAAAGTGTACACGCACTGCGTAATGGTCTTTCATCTCTATAAATATAAATTAGATCTCCACACGGGATATACTGCGCAGTCCTTACAGGGACTCGACTTACGAACTTTCAGAGATACGAACAAACCTGTCTCGTATGTCCAGTTGGCTGTTCGGACCAAGAGTCGTAAGTTCAACCGCCGCGCAATAGATGGCGGTGGTGGCATCTACATCTGCAGAACGTGAAGAACCAGTGGAATCTACATCTGCAGAACGTGAAGAACCAGTGGCATCTACATCTGCAGAACGTGAAGAACCGGTGGCATCTACATCTGCAGAACGTGAAGAACCAGTGGCATCTACATCTGCAGAACGTGAAGAACCAGTGGCATCTACATCTGCAGAACGTGAAGAACCAGTGGCATCTACGTCTACAGGAGATTATTTCAGTTCAGTTAATGTATATTGGTATAGCCCTGTGAGCCATTCGGCTCTTGAATCGGGTGCAACCACAACAAACAAAAAACAAAAACACGAACAAGAAAACATCTTATAGTGACTATGTGACTGTGCAAATAGAAAATCCATTTAAAAAAACAGCAAAATATTCCTGAAAAAAGCACCGTACACCAACGCTGTGTGCATAAAAATCCCAGTGGGATGCAAGTCAAACAACAACAACCACAACAACCACAAGAAAACTTAGATTAAGGCTATCAGTCTAACTCCGTACTACAACAAAAAAACATGTCCAAACCAAAAAAGTTTTCGAAATCACCAAAAACATAAAGCCATAATTGCAACGTAACAGTGATCATAGGGACTGTGACCAAATTTTTACAATAAACTACATAAATAACATGTAACACCAAATCCTAGAGCCATAGCTGGCTGCATGAGTTATACAACTTTGAAAGCCATTTCCCGTGTTTAGTGCACATGCCGTAAAACATGTTTGGATTTGCGAACAAATCGACTTACGAACAGACCTCTTGAACCTAACTCGTTCGTAAGGAGAGGAGTCCCTGCATTCGGATGATCTGGATGCCCCCCCCCATAAGCCCCGCCCCCCTACAACGTCCCCCTGTGTACGCCCCGCCCCCAATACCCCGCCCCTCAACCCACCCCCTAACCCCCTGCGCGCCCGCCCCCTTGATCCGCCATGATGGACACGGCCTGCGTTGGAGGTGGACTTACGATGCAGCGGCGCTGGTGAATGAGTGAGAGAGGAATGAGTGAGAGGGAGGGGAATGAGTGAGAGAGGAATGAGTGAGAGGGAGGGGAATGAGTGAGAGGGAGGGGAATGAGTGAGAGAGGAATGAGTGAGAGGGATGGGAATGAGTGAGAGAGGAATAAGTGAGGGATGGGAATGAGTGAGAGAGGAATGAGTGAGAGGGATGTGAATGAGAGAGGAATGAGTGAGAGGGAGGGGAATGAGTGAGAGGGAGGGGAATGAGTGAGAGAGGAATGAGTGAGAGGGATGTGAATGAGAGAGAGGAATGAGAGAGGGATGGGAATGAGAGAGAGGAATGAGTGAGAGGGATGGGAATGAGTGAGAGGGATGGGAATGAGTGAGGGATGGGAATGAGTGAGGGATGGGAATGAGTGAGAGGGAGGGGAATGAGTGAGAGGTATGCGAATGAGTGAGAGGGATGGGAATGAGTGAGAGGGAGGGGAATGAGTGAGAGGGGAATGAGTGAGAAGGAGGGGAATGATTGAGAGGGGGATGAGTGAGAGGAGAGTGAGTGAGAGGGGAATGAGAAAGGGGGGGTATGGATGAGAGAGGAGAATGATATGAGGGTGCGAGAGATGGGGGGGGGGGAGAAAAGCGTGAAAGAAGAAAAGAGTGAGAGGAGAATGAGAGATGTGAAATGAGAGATCGGGGAATATAAAAGGGGATGGGGGTGGGAATGAGAGAGGGGAATGAGAGGAGGATGTGAGGGATGGGGGGATGAGAAACGAGGAGGATGGTGCAGGATGGTGCCTCCTGCTGAGTGGTTGCAAAACATCCCAGTGGGTTTGAGTTCACAGTACCCCTCGCAGTCTATATTGATGTCTATGATTGCTACGCGGTGTGTACATGACAACCATCGGAACCTTTCGCTAGTATCGAGACATTGCATAGTAACAATAACAACGACAAGAAAGTGTTGAGATGTTCAGACACTAAATAGACACCCGATTTCGAGGCGTAATCAGTACCCTGGTTAGCGATTGATGCTCCGCTAATTTCATTATCCTTTTTCCCCCCCTCCTGATGACGATTGCTTGTGTTGTAATGGAAACGTCGTAATAGTTTTTGTTATTTTTTAAAATATATTTACTTTGTTTTTTTTCTATCTACGTGACTTTACCGAAAGAACCAAAGAAGAATATTAATTACACGTGTTACTGCGCCGCCTTCTGGTTGGCCTTAGTCCAGGCCTCGTGAAGGCTTCCTTTGGGCCCGACTTCAAGGGGGTTTAAAGGAATCTTTCTTGCGTACATCACCAAAGCCACGTTGGCAAACACAGCAACATCTATCCCCCAGATGATAAGGATAAAGCCATTCTTTAACGCGTCTTTCATATTGGATGTTACGTGGTTGTCTGTCGTGGTGTGTGATGATGGGAAGCGGCAGTGTAGTGGTGAGCGCTACGAACCCCGGCCACCCGAGTTCGATTCCCGCTCACGGCCACCAACACCGGTGACGATTATCTGAAACCGGTACCTGGGCCTCCCCTAGATCGACTCAGCCTCAAATTAGTACGTGGTGCGGTGTGTAAACATAGCCACCGGGGAGACAAAGGCGGCCGGGGGTGGTGCTGGCCACCCACCCCGCTCGTGGTTGTGAGCACTCGGCATTTTCTAAGCTTGTTTGCGAGATCAGATTTCAGCTAAAGTAACATTCGACCAATTATCTTTCAGAGGCCGATAAACTTTGTTATGATCATTAACACCTGAAAGTGGCCAGTTGGTGCCTGCGTTTGTTTCAGATGAGCACTGCTCTGCGCTTGCTTATGCACTTGGACAAAGACCTGTGAGTAAAGAGTGATTTTGATTCAATAGGGGTGACGATGGAGCGTGGCAGAGGTGTGTGTACACGTGGTGATCGCGTGTAGTGAGGAGGTGTGATTTAGTGCCGGGTGAGTCGTGATGCAGTGTAGTGAGGGTGTGAGGGGTATATGATGGTGTGTGGTTATTAGGGTGTGTCATCGTGTGTGGTGATTGCATGGTGGAGTGTATGATATGTTTGGTGATGGTGTGAGGGTATGTGATGGAGTGTGGGGTCGGTTGTGGTTATGATGTGCAGTGGTGTGTGGTGAAAATGCAATTGAGCGTGTGCGATGGAATGTGGTGTGGTGAGTGTAGAGAAGGCTGTGTGCATGGTACTGAATATTCTGCTTTACTGACCATCTCTGTGGGACAGGGTGATGGAATCTGTGGAAACTACTGGACATCTGTGAAAACGAGATTTTTTAGCTCATCGGATTCCTCCAGTTTAAATAAATATTCCGATTCTGGCGGTGCGTGGCAGTGAGGAGCTTTAGAAGGCCCTATGTTCCGGTGGAGGCAGCCGCACGTGGGGGACCTGGGAAATGGGGAGCCTGAGCCCGATGACGCGGGCCAGCCGCGCTCCGAGCCCGAGGAGAGGAGCGGTCACGTAGCCGTGTTTTGCGGAACCCGCATGTACGTGTGGGGCGGGTACCTGGTAAGCAACGGACTCTGATTAGCACGGTTGGCTATGTACGGTGCGAAAGAAGTTCAACGTACACGCTTTTACATTCGAACGCTGCTAAGTTGAAATGCAACTTTGTTGATGTTGTGAAGTCTGGTTCACTTGTGACATAGTTTTGTTGCTTTTTATTCAGGCCGACAACTCTGTGGACCTTTATCTTCCTTCCAGTGAAATGTGGATTTACGATACTGAAACCCAAGTGTGGTAAGAATCGTGGATTATTTGCTTGCAGTGAGGTATTGCTTTTGTACAGCCTCTGTTTTGGAATAGATGTGCATGTGTTTAATGAGCCATGACCAAAAGGGACTCATGAGCTATGAAATGGCCTTTGTGTCCTGCCGATCAGCTTTGTTAATCGTACTTTCATTGCTCTTTCAATTATGTATTTTCACCATTTACATTTTATTTTGATCTGTCACCCCACAACTTCAAGTTGCAAAATTATGTTTTGTTATACACGTGGCTTTGAATAGTGGGGTTTGGTGGCACATGGCCAGAAATCTCAGCTTGTTTTGTCTTTCTAGATGGCACTTGAGCAGCCCAGTGCAACATACACATGCCCATAGAATTTATAAAGGGTGGTCATTATTATTTGTGATTTTTAGTTCAACAGTTTGGCTCTAAACCCCCTTGACGAGTTGGAAAAAGGTCCCATCGCAGGCGACGTGTGTCAGCAGTCTGTTTGTGCGCACATGTCTTGGTGGTGTCTTGACACTTGTGACATTTGTAGGTGGTGTGTAACGGTAGTGTGTCAGCGCAGATAGTGTGTGTGCCACAGCAGTGTTACAGTATTGACTTGGCAGACCGCACGCGTCACCGTTTGTGTCAGCGGTGTGTGCAATAGAAAATGGTGTGCCGTGCGTCTCGGCGGTTTGTGTTGAGGCAGGCGGCGTGCATCACGGCGGATTGTGTGTGTTGTCGCAGGCATCGGCGAGAGCTTGGAGGAGAGCTTCCTCCCCCAATGTCTGGCAGCTGTGCAGTGTGCGTTGATAGAAGATTTTACATGTTTGGGGGCCATCACAACCGTGGCAACAGCAATGAGGTGAACTGCCTTTGACACTTTGTTCCACTCCTGTCCTGCACTGAACACAACACGGATTATGTGAGGGTCTCCCTGGCCTGTCTTCTAGCACACTTGCCTGCTGGCTGCACCATGAGCTGGGCAGCATGGGGACATTGATCCACTCCTGTCCAGTATGAAACCCCACGGTTTCTTATGTTTTTAAATTGCTTGTATTTTGAATTGCAAAGCCATTATTATAACTAATTTAATTAAGGTCCACACCTAACCATCATGTACGGTATGAAGCTTTGAATAAAATATCACATTTAAAAAAAAAACTGTTATGAAATGTCAAACATTTTTTATTTTAATTCCGTGGCAACACTTTTTCCCACAATGTTTTCGACATTTGTATCACCTGCCTCAAGGAAAAGTAGTTCATCATTGCCTTGGTGTGATATATATTACTATGGCACCATTGGAAAAATTCACAAACAAGCACATTCCACACTGCAGTGATTGTTTAACTGCACCATGCCCGATTTATTCAGTTTTTTTCAGCATGGCTTTGTGAGCCGTGGTTGATATAGCAATTAAATTTAATAGAAACCCACCAACTGTATTCAGTTATATTTAACACTCAGAATTATTGCAGGTTGGATCACTTTGCAAAATAAAGTGGTTAAGTTATTCTTTGCAAGGAGGTGGCTGGGGGCTCAGAGGTAAGACAGCTGAGCTGGCACCGCTGAAATCCTGGGTTTCAATCCAGGCCACTGCCTGTGATTAAACCAGATCCTCAATAGCAGTGCGTTGATGGTCTCAGCCCAACCACTGATGACTGGAGTAATCAAATATGGGTTTGGTTCTTATGCCTAGAACCTCTCTCGTATGCAAAGGGAGTGGGAAGTCGTTCCCTCTACTCTGTGTGGACCGGAGGTCACTTGACCGGATCTCAGAGATTGCCCTGTGATATCCTCTATGGGCAATTTCTGTAACATGTAGGGGTTGGCACTGCTCTGCGATAGACCCGAAAGCATGTCTCTTGACGTAATGCCGATGGCACGATCGGGATTTTTTTTTAATTGAGAAAATTACAAAAACAGTAATTTTTTTGCAGTTTTACACAATGGATTTGTGTCCCCGTGGAGATTCTTACAAGTGGGAAAGGATATCAAATTACACGGGTCAGCCTCCCTCTCCCAAGGACAAACTGGGCTGCTGGACACATGGCAACAAGTGAGCAGCACACAGTACACCAGGCTTGAGCAGCAGAAGACCAACAACCAGCTCAAACAAATACAAAACCCATATCTGCTTACGTTAGCTTTTGCTTGAACTATATTTATTTGCCCGTGGTTTTTATTATCGTCACAGTTTTATTTTATTGCAAAGCACCCTGAGAGACTCTGCATGAATGCCGCTATATACAAGCATGATGTATTATACAGTTCTGACATTCTAGTCTGGCGTGTTTGTAGCTATTTAGTTTGCCTTCATTTTTACTTATCAATAGTATCGGATGTTTGCAAAGGTATTCACTTGTCCCAATTTCAACTGTGCTATCGGCGTCATATCATGAGATAAAAATGGCAAATGCGACTCTGGCATAATATTAGCCCACTGAGGATGCTAGGCCATCTATGAATACTGCAAGCTGTCTCTGAATGTTGTCAGTTTACTCTCCCAACACAACGGTGTGCTGAACTAGTCACTAGTTGTCATGTATTGTTGATGTGACAAACCTTAGTAATTGGCTGTGTTGGGTGGTGGTGGGTTTAACGACACACTTTTTGCGATCTAACCCGAAAAACCTCTTATGGATAATATTGGTCGCGAAAGCCTACGTGTTAAAGGTCTCTGACTCTTTTCCTATTTTATGCGTGTGCCCACAACAGAATTGTGACTTTGTCGGCCTGTGCGTTGTCTTCACCAGGCTCGTATTCTTTGGTGGCTATGGATACCAGCCCCGCGAGGCTCATCGAGGGACCTTCGAGTTTGACGAAACTTCCCTGTGGGTGCGTGTCTCTGCGGTGTGGCCCAATGCCTTAAGCAGCCGTGGCTTTTTTGTTTTCACGGCGCTGCATCCTCAGTGAAATCAAGCTGCAGTTCACAGCCACTGCCATGTTTCCTGTTCATATGGAATGTTACTCGGGCATTACATTTGTATTCTGTTGTTTTCCACCCTCAAAACCTTCCAGGGGCCAAATGTTTCCAGAGGCTGGAATAATCATGTGCACATTTTCGACCTGGAAACATACAGTTGGAGTCAACCTCTCACAACTGTAAGTCAGCAGTACGTCAAATCGGGTAGCACAAAGATGCCTCTTACGTGTGTAAATCACAGTATTTTCCATTTCCGCCTTCATGTAAGCATTTTAATTGCAGATAACACCTTTACATATAGAGGAACGCAGAGCTTATAGGTTGGGTGGGGGGGGATTTGGCACCGGCGCACCGCTTGTCTTCTGCTTCTTCCGCTCGTCTGTTGTTCCTCCTCGTGCCTCTCGGCCATTCTCTCTCTCTTTGTGAGTGAGCAAATCCTGTGCAGCGTGTTACAAGTTGAAATTATTTGTGTAGATGTGTGTTTCGTAATCTATATGTTACGTACTTTTCCATACAGGGCACGCCACCACTTCCTCGTGCTGCACATGCCTGTGCCACCCACGGCAACCGGGGCTACCTTTTTGGAGGCCGCTACTTGGTAGGTGCGAGGATCTTTATTGGATTACGCCGGCATGTGGTTTATGGATGGGAGAATACCAGTGTGTGCGTGTCAAAGCACTGTTCTGCACTATTTTTGGGTAAACAGTGTACGTTTGTGTGTGCCTCTGTGTGACTAGGGGGCTCGGATGAATGACTTGCACTACCTGAACCTGGACAACTGGGCATGGAGCGGCCCGTACGTTGATTGCACACTCGCTCACATCCTTAAGCCTGGTGATCGAAGCACCACGTTGGGATTGTGTGCTTTTTTATGCTTGCCACTGCGTAAGCAGCTATGGAGGACTTTGCATGGTGTGGTCGTGTGAGTGTAGTGTGCATGTGGTTGTGTTGTGTGGTTGATGCAGAATAGCAGTCAGAGGAGAAGTGCCGGTAGGCCGATCATGGCACACACTCACGGCAGCCTCGGATGACCAGCTCTTCCTCTACGGTGGCTTCACGACGGAGCGTCAACCTCTTGGTACTCCCCATATGAAGATAAAAAACCTCCCCATATAGCCTTTAACAGACTGTTGGGAAAAGTGCTGTTTGCTAGGCACACAATGCGATGGGTGACCAGCACCATGTCCGGCTACCTTTGTTTCCCCAGTGGTGATGTTTACACACCACACCAGGTACTCAATGAAAGCTGGGTCAATCTAGGGAAGGCCCAGGACTGGTTCAGATATTTATCACTGATGTTGACCACAAGAACAAATTGGTACCCCCTTACAGTCATGTTGAAACAGGCACACCTGTGCTGTTAAAGATTGTGCTTCTTGAGTGTTACTGTTTTAGTAATAGGTTTTACCCTTTTAACTGGCACAAAAACTGACACCTTTATTCAAGGCATCATGTTTGCAATAACCACAACACAAGCAGTCAAAATGCAAACAAAAGAGACAACTCTGATAATAATATGCACTGTCCTTGAATTTGATTGGTCCACACCCGAGACGGTTTTTCTTAGAGCCTCGTCTCCACTGGTGTTGGACCAGATGACGCCATCTGCCAGTTAAAAGGGTAAAACCTATTACTATATCTTGTTACTGGCAAAGGAGGTCTCATAATGTTACTGTTTTGTTTAGCTGTAGAGATGGGCAATCTTGTTATCTGACTGGGAAGAACAATCTGTGCATCTGACCTGTCTCAAAATAACCTTATTCTAGTAAAGTATGTATATTTGTCTCTTGTTTTCTCAAAGAATACAACTGCTTTTGGTATTCTTTGGGTCTTTCGGTAAAGTCACGTAGGTAGGTTCAAAGAAAATAACAAAAAACTACGACGTTTTTATTGCAACACAAGCGGTCGTCATCAGGAAAAAGGGGTTAGCTTCTAAAGGAAAAACTTTATAAAGGTTTGAAATGGGCATAGCCCAAATGTCAGCAGCATGGGCAGGGCAGCTAATGTTAATGTAAGTGGTGGGCAGCTAATGTTAATGTAAGTGGTGGGCAGCTAATGTTAATGTAAGTGGTGGGCAGCTAATGTTAATGTAAGTGGTGGGCAGCTAATGTTAATGTAAGCGGTGGGCAGCTAATGTTAATGTAAGTGGTGGGCAGCTAATGTTAATGTAAGTGGTGGGCAGCTAATGTTAATGTAAGTGGTGGGCAGCTAATGTTAATGTAAGTGGTGGGCAGCTAATGTTAATGTAAGCGGTGGGCAGCTAATGTTAATGTAAGTGGTGGGCAGCTAATATTAATGTAAGTGGTGGATGGCGACGGTGGTGGGTTTTCCACCAATTGAAGGGCTGCCAGGTAAAAATTAGCATGTTAATGTAAGATTGGTGAGCGGCCTCCACGGCGAGTGCGCTGAGGTGGCTATGTTAATGTGAGAGATTAGCATGTGAATGGAGATCGCAGAGCCGCAACCTCTAGGTCGGCGCGCGAAGGTGGCTGTGTAAGTGTGAGAAATTGAACCTGTTAATGTAAAGTCGGAGAGCCAAAAATAGCAACTAACATCGGAAGGTGGTAGGATGGGAACATCACAGCCAGTTATGACTTGAACTGGTTGATAACGTCCTTCCAATGATTACTCAGTTTGTACCCATCTTCTCGGTTGAAATTGTGTCTGTGTCTGTATATATGGATGGCTTCATGAACGATTTTTTGTTGATAGCCAGTAGGTTTGCAAAGTACCTTCGTCTTATAGAAATCAATTTCGTGTGAGCCCACCGCATTAAAACAATGATCAGCAACAGCCGAGGTATTGGTGCTACCGTGTTTCAGATCTGCCTTATGTTCACGAACACGGTCCGAGACATGTCGCTTAATTTCCCCAATGTAACTACTGTCGCAGGCACAAATTAGTTTGTAGACGCCGGGGTATTGCATGTCATCCTTCACAGATGGGATCAGATCACGAATTTTATGTACCGTGTTAAATCAAACCTGGATTTTGTGTTTGCTCATGATTTTGGAAATCTTTTTGGTGACCCCTGCTATGTATGGCAAGGTGATGGTTTTGATTGGGTCCTCAGATGGTTCTCTCCTAACGGTTTGGGTGATAGCTTTAAGGATTGTGTAGTCTGAATATCCATTCATCTTGAGAGCTTGGTGTACGTGTTCCAGTTCACTGGCTAGGTGATGATGGTCGGAAATACATCGAGCTCTATGGTGTAGAGTTTTGATGAGGGAATTCTTTTGGGATGGATGGTGGTGGGAGTCAGGTATTAGATAGGCATCCGTATGGGTGGCTTTCCTGTAGACAGTGTCCCATTGAGCCATCTGGTCTCTTTTCGATTAAAACATCCAAGAATGGTAGCTTGCCATCCTTTTCCACCTCCATGTTGAATTTGATGGCTGGGCGTATGGAATTGATGTGGTTGAGGAATTGGTTCAGAGCTGGTCGGCCATGACGGGCCAATACAATATTTGGATTTCAGAAAATTGAAAGGAATTTTTTTTTTAACAAAATGTGCTAAGGTTTAAAAGTTTTCAAAACATATATTGGCAGTTGAACTCACATCAAGATCAATAGAAAATATGTCCACGTCATTGAACTGACACTGCTGCCAAATCATGTCCATTAACTAATAATTTGCACTTTTTTGTGGTGTTGGTTGCAGGGGACGGTTGGATTTACAGTGTGAAGAGCCTGGAGTGGCGGAAGCTCTCCCACATCCCTCCCGACAGACCGAGGTCCACTGCTCCACACTTGTGCACCCTGTGTCGTGACATTGCGCCGTGTCAAGTGTGTGCGAGGCCCGTGCAAGGGGATAAAACGCAGTGGGTGTGTGTGCACGCGCGTTGCAGGCTGTGGCACACGGCAACCCTGAGCGAGGAAGGAGAGGTGCTGGTGTTTGGGGGCTGCTCCAACAATCTGCTTGCAGGAGAGATGTCTGTAAGATCGCAAGCTGGTCCATACACTCATGAACCTGCACACCCACATAATCACTCCATCATCAAACAAAAAAACACATTTTAAAAATATGATTCTCAATCAATCCCCATGGTGTACAGTGAGTCTCCAAGTCTTATCTACTTTATCTCTTACAGCCTTTCTGTTTATCTGCTATGAAGAAGGGCCATTGCCTGAAATGTCACCGATTGTATATTTATCCTTTTAACACCACAGAATATTATTGACGGAAATGTTGAGTTCATGTCTCACTCACATAGCAGGAGATATATGCATTTGTTGCATCGCAAGACTGATGAATGATGACTCGAGGAGGCCTACATCCAGCAGTGGATAATGTCTGATGCTTATTTCAGCATCGTCAACAGTGGATCATGCTTTTCAAATGAACCTGCCGTTAACTTGAGTTTTAACTGCCGTTTCCCTTTTTCAGGGCCATAAGAACGATGTGTTGGTGTTTTGTATTCAGCCAAAGTCTCTTCTACGGTAAGGTCGTGTGATGTCAAATGTGTAATGGTTATGAAAAACACTTCACAGCTGAAGTGAGGGTTCATATGCATTAAATTTTTGAGGTACTTGGTGGTCATACTTTTATTCCAGTTGATCCAACGGTATGTGCCAAGGAAACTCCAGCATATAATCTGGCACGTCTTTGGAGTTTCAGTGAACCATACATTTCCATACTCTTTGGTTCTTTCGGTAAAGTCACGTAGGTAGAAAAAATGTAAATAATATATCAGGACGTTTCGATCGCAACACAAGCGACCGTCATCAGGTGAGACAATGGCAGCAGGGAAACTGCTGAAACAGACGTGACTTTACCGAAAGAACCAAAGAGTATGGATTCCTGCAGTCACGAAAGCTTCAAATCCAGATCATACATTTCCATTTGTGTAAACTGGGCATCATCTTTGAATGTCCTGGGTGAGGGCCTCTATGAAACGCTTTACTTAGATTTTCGTGCAGAGCCTATAGTACACCTATCCCTGGGAGTACGCGTGACGTCGGGGGGGGGGGGGTGGTTATGGAGACAGTGCAATGGTAGTGGGGTATGGTCATTTGGGGTTACTTAGCGGAGCTGCTTTGTGCGTGTGCAATGGTATGTTTATAGCTGTATATATGTATTTTTGGACATTTTTATTTGTTTATTAAATGTTAGATAATTGTCTTCAGTTACGTTAAGTGTTAATGTAATTAGAATGTGATATTCGATGATTTCCAGTCTAAAAATAAAGAATCCGACTAGTTAATATATTATTTAACCTACATGTTGGTAGGGGTACACAGATGGCTAGTCGATTGATTTGGCAAGGGGGTACATGACAAGCAAAAGGTTGGGAACTACCAATGTAGAGTTGGAGCTCCACCAAGCCTTGCCTGGGCTACACAGGGTGACGTGCGTGTGTGCGTGCGTGCATACAGGCTGAGCGTGGACGCCGTGGCGTGCCATCGGGAACTACTCTGTACTCAGTGGGGGGCGCTTCCTCGCCACCTGAGCAGCCGCCTTCTTCAACGCACAGGGGGCCCAGCCTCTGGTTCCTGAAGCACCTACATGCAATCGTGTACATACATGCTCACAATCACAGGGGCACGGGCGCCCAAGTTCACATGTGCAGCCCGCAGTCAGCTAAATAAGTAGGCAGTAGTGCCACACCATGCATTTGCGAGCCAGTGCCAAGCCTACACAGGGTACAAACCTCGAGAAGATCGCCATTATTTTTTAAAGCTAATCTAGATTTTATTGGAGCAATTTTTCTGTGACTGAAGGCTCCGACCAAATCCTTAGAAAACCACCACAAGCGCTTTCCGCCTGAACAATCATGGAGATGGCTTTGGAAGGATTTGGTTTGAGCTGTCAGCGAAATAAATATGCCTCCAATAAAATAATTTCAACTGTTACAGCATTGGCAAACTTGCCAGAACGACCTAGGGCGTGTCAGCTGATGTGCTGCAAATTTCTCCCCTATCACTGAATTACTCAGTGGCAGAGTATAGCGTTCCAACCTGGTCCAAAACCTCACAAATATATCATGCCACTGATCACGCTGTAACCATAGAATCAACCATATCCTGAAGAATGCTCGCGAACACAGTGGAACAACAGAGAAGTCCAGAATAAACACTTCATTCAAGACCCAGACATCGCACCTGGCTTTAACATTACTTGAAGACACTGGTATGACCATCAACCACATCAGAATCAGATTATTTATACCAGAGGAATCCGATGAGCTATAAATCTCTTTTTTTAATAGATGTCCAGTCGGGGCAGGTTAGAACGGTACAACAACAGTGCAAAAACAGAATAGGAATGCAAAATATCGGAAATGTAAACAAAAAAGCAAATAAAACTAAAGTATTTTTATCTTACCAGGTAAAGCCCACTGAGCTATTAGTCTCTGTTTCAGAAGTAACTTGGCCACAAATGATAGCTCGACAAAGTGTCTTATGTGGGAATTGGAAGCAGAAAATCTAATTTAAATGCATGTTTATAAATGAGGAAAAACGGAGAACGCGGAGAGAAAATCCACGCGACCACGGGGAGAACATGCAAACCCCAAATAATATACAGTGAGGGAAAAAAGTATTTGATCCCCTGCTGATTTTGTACGTTTGCCCACTGACAAAGAAATTATCAGTCTATAATTTTAATGGTAGGTTTATTTGAACAGTGAGAGACAGAATAACAACAACAAAATCCAGAAAAACGCATGTCAAAAATGTTATAAATTGATTTGCATTTTAATGAGGGAAATAAGTATTTGACCCCTCTGCAAAACATGACTTAGTACTTGGTCGCAAAACCCTTGTTGGCAATCACAGAGGTCAGACGTTTCTTGTAGTTGGCCACCAGGTTTGCACACATCTCAGGAGGGATTTTGTCCCACTCCTCTTTGCAGATCTTCTCCAAGTCATTAAGGTTTCGAGGCTGACGTTTGGCAACTAGAACCTTCAGCTCCCTCCACAGATTTTCTATGGGATTAAGGTCTGGAGACTGGCTAGGCCACTCCAGGACCTTAATGTGCTTCTTCTTGAGCCACTCCTTTGTTGCCTTGGCCGTGTGTTTTGGGTCATTGTCATGCTGGAATACCCATCCACGACCCATTTTCAATGCCTTGGCTGAGGGAAGGAGGTTCTCACCCAAGATTTGACGGTACATGGCCCCGTCCATCGTCCCTTTGATGCGGTGAAGTTGTCCTGTCCCCTTAGCAGAAAAACACCCCCAAAGCATAATGTTTCCACCTCCATGTTTGACGGAGGTGGAAACAGTTGTCCTCTGAATCATTCAGATGTTCATTGGAAAACTTCAAACGGGCATGTATATGTGCTTTCTTGAGCAGGGGGCCCTTGCGGGCGCTGCAGGATTTCAGTCCTTCACGGCGTAGTGTGTTACCAATTGTTTTCTTGGTGACTATGGTCCCAGCTGCCTTGAGATCATTGACAAGATCCTCCCGTGTAGTTCTGGGCTGATTCCTCACCGTTCTCATGATCATTGCAACTCCACGAGGTGAGATCTTGCATGGAGCCCCAGGCCGAGGGAGATTGACAGTTCTTTTGTGTTTCTTTCATTTGCGAATAATCGCACCAACTGTTGTCATCTTCTCATCAAGCTGCTTGGCAGTGGTCTTGTAGTCCATTCCAGCCTTGTGTAGGTCTACAATCTTGTCCCTAACATCCTTGGAGAGCTCTTTGGTCTTTGCCATGGTGGAGAGTTTGTAATCTGATTGATTGCTTCTGTGAACAGGTGTCTTTTATACAGGTAACAAGCTGAGATTAGGAGCATTCCCTTTAAGAGTGTGCTCCTAATCTCAGCTCATTACCTGTATAAAAGACACCTGGGAGCCAGAAATCTTACTGATTGAGAGGGGGTCAAATACTTATTTCCCTCATTAAAATGCAAATCAATTTATAACATTTTTGACATGCGTTTTTCTGGATTTTGTTGTTGTTATTCTGTCTCTCACTGTTTAAATAAACCTACCATTAAAATTATAGACTTATCATTTCTTTGTCAGTGGGCAAACGTACAAAATCAGCAGGGGATCACATACTGTTTTCCCTCACTGTACAGGTGTCAGGGTATGGATCAAACCCCCGACCTGCATACCAGGCGAGGAAGAACATCACACCACCGTGGCGCTCCTTAAATAAAAGATAAATCAAGTATTTTAAGTTCGAATTGCATTGGTACATAACTTCTCAAGTTTGGGAAAGGCAGTAAAAAACAGCAAACACATTCCCAGACCACATTACGATGGTGCACAGTCACTCAAATGATACATTAAAATGTAACTATTGATACATTATAAAGAATCAAATTTACAAATCAAATTTGCAAATATGGCTGTATCCAGTACTTATCCCCTTCAGAATATTTCTTGAAGAAAGATGTATATGATATGAAGGGAGGAAACAAGGTTGTTCCAGAACATCAACAGATTGATGCACACATCTATGTAATTGTAAAAATAAAGACAAGCCACAGTGCAATTGTGATCATGCAACCCATCCTATGGACCATACAGTACTCTGTGACCTATGGTCTTTAAACGGAGGAATGGCAAAACTATATGAACTCTAGCCTGACGCTCTCTCATGGCTAAGCAGTTCCCAACATTGGTATTTAGCTCCTGAACATTGCCATACGCAATAATAGATTGTATAGAATGCAAAATCCCTAAATTTTCTGTCATCGACAAGTCTACACACTGATAACAATGCTGTTGAATGCAGGAATAAAATATTACTGTACATTTTATGACTTTTGTGTCTGTCTCATGTTTTGAAGTTGATACAGTGTCAAGTTTCCTCCTGCTCCACACAATTATCTATATCCCCTAGTGTACGCTTCAATGACAACACGGATGGATGATGTATTTAATGGAAATATTTTAAGCGCTTCATAATGGCTGTGTACATTTAAAACGATCTTTAGGTATGGTCATGTGATGTGGCAAAAGGGTTTTTTCGCGTGTTACGTCTGCCTAAAATGTCCCTTCTCATAACCCCTGCAATTGGAGACGATAACCAGGGTATACGCTGCGAGAGCACCGCTGTTCATGGTTTCCTCCCTCACCCAATCTCAAGCATAGACCGATGGACACTGGACTAATAACACGCTATCACTGCAACGTGTATAATGCATAGAATACGCACGGGATCAGGTCACCAGAGCCAATGCTTTGGATGTGGTCGCAACTCGCCATCGCCGATGACGCCCGACTTCCATGGACTTCCAAGCACTGTTCCAATTTTATCATCACTATTTGACTCTCGGTTACCGACTTCTGGGTGCCTGTGCATGTGCCCCCGCCGTTCACATTGCTCCTTTCAGATGTCTGACTGAAGTCTTTGTGCCTCATTTCATTTACAAACGTCCAAGATGTATTTCTTTTATAGTTTGTTACCATCTATTTTAGGTATGTACAAATTAACGCCTTTTTTTGGCCGACAACTCGTTCTAATACACAGTGCATTCTACGACTTTACTTGCCAAATGACATTATAACATTTATAGCGTTTGAGACATCTCGGGTGAGTCATACATTACAGGAAATGTATTTCATGTGTATTGATTTATGTTTGGGCAGCCTTTTAGATTGTTCATGCAATGCAGTTAATGTTGCCGTCATTTCTATGTGCTTCATTGCTGAACGGTATTGCTTTTTATAATCATCCCAGTAAGATTTAGAGCATTGGGCCAACGTTGCATGTGGTCACTGGGTTGGCGACCCGGGTCACTCTTTGCAAACGAGACTGTCATGCTCTCTCGAGTTTTAACCTGGTTAAACAGGTAAACGTGAACGTTAACAGTGCCGTATTTGAACCATTATAAATGAGTTTATATTTAACACGCAGGCTTTCGCGACCAATATCCATAATCGAGATTTTTTTTTTGGGTTAGATCGCGTAAATATATAAATGTGTCGCTAAAACCCTCCACCACCCGACACAGCCAACTAGCAAGGGGTTTGTCACGTAAACAGAACGTGGCCAATTCGTCACTAGTACAGCACACCGGTGTGTTGGAGAGCCGAGCCACAACATCGTTTTAAATGCATGCCTATAAAGGGCAGCATACTTCAATAGGGATTGCCGTTGGTACGGCTATTTTAATACGCACAATAGACATCAAAGGGCTCGCATAATGCGCATGCATAATGTGCGACTATTGTACGTTGACTCAGTAATCCTCCTCCCCTCCCCGCCTTTGGGGAAGAGCGCAGAAGCGTGGTCACCACATCTACGCCTCTATATAAGGAGCGAAATAGGTGGACTTCTCCACTGGCTGTCGCCTGTTGAAGCTGGTTTTTAATTACTGTCGCGAAACGTCGTACTCGGATTGTAAATGTTGTGGCTTGGCTCTCCAACACACCGGTTAGTGCTGTGCTAGTATACTACACTATACACTACTATACACTACACTATACACTACACTATACGTTACACACTAGTGCTGTACTAGTGACGAATTGGCCACGTTCTGTTTACGTGACAGCCCTTACCAGTTGGCTGTGTCGGGTGGTGGAGGGTTTTAGCGACATATTTACGCGATCTAACCCAAATCACCTCTATTATGGAAGTATTTATATGTTGTGGTGGCTCCTTTAAAATCAAAGGGCCCTGCTTGAGGCCCTACTATTGACCCCCTCCGTTAGCCTGGCCTCGGCTACAGCACGATGGCAAATACATTTATAATTTGCGTTTGCCGTGGAGAGTACCAGGAATATAAATGCCGATGTGATGTGTACGAAATACTCTTTCCTTTTGTGTGTGTGTGGAAGGATATATGGGAAGGGAGCGTATTGTCTCATTAACTGTGTTACCTATTTTCTCCACGACACTCGTGTTGCGTATTACAGATTTCCTTCGCTGTGTGCGGGTTCAGTTTTGTGTATATTTCGCGTATGTGAGGCTAAAATTTCAATACAAAATTCACCAAGTGCGGTTTGCATTCACCAATATGTGGCACTGCGATCGGACGTGGGACAACGTTGTGCTGTGTGCACGGCGTGCGTGCCCCCCCTCCTCCCCCACACGCGCCTCCCCCTCCTCCCCTCTCTAGCCCCCCCTCTCCCCCACCCACGCCTCCTCCCCCTCCCGAGCCCCCCTCTCTCCTCCCCCTCTCTAGCCCCCCCTCTCCTCTCCCCCCCTCTCCTCCCCCACCCGCGCCTCCCCCTCCTCCCCTTCCCAAGCCCCCCCCTCTCCTCTCCCCCTCTCTCCTCCCCCACCCTCGCCCCCCCCTCTCCACCCCGCCTCCCCCCTCTCCTCGCCCCCCTCCATCCTCCCCCACCGTAGCCCCTCCCTCTCCTCGCCCCCCTCCCTCCTCCCCCCACCGTAGCCCCTCCCTCTCCTCGCCCCCCTCCCTCCTCCCCCACCCTAGCCCCTCCCTCTCCTCGCCCCCCCTCCCTCCTCCCCCACCCTAGCCCCTCCCTCTCGAGTTTTGGCGGGAAGGCGCGAAGATGGCGATGAGTGAGGCGAGCGGAGCGGCTGTGGCGCGCACTGTGGCGGCGGCCTTCAAGATGCACGGCCTCATGCTCCGCAGGCGCGTTCTTCTCTCCCATTTCTCATCCCTCCCTGCTCATCCGTAACGCTCCCCCCGTTCACGCGGCACTCTTTCTTACCCGTTGTCACCGTATCGCCCTCATCTTCTCGCCGTTCAAACTCCCCAGTGCACCAGTGCTGTATAACGTAACCTGCCTGTAACGTGTGTGTGGCTCAAATGAGATGTGTGGCTCGCAAAGTTGTCTGTGTTTGGCTCACGGACACGTGCGGCTTACTTAAGTTTTCTTGGTTTGTGTCTCGCTGAGATGTAGGTGGCCGGCTCGCTGAAATGTCTGGCTCTTTGAGCTGTGTGGCCCACTGATACGTCTGTGTGGCTCACTGAGTTGTCTGTGTGGCTCACTGAGATGTCTGTGTGTGGCTCACTAAGTTGCCTGTGTGTGGCTCACTGAGTTGTCTGTGTGTGGCTCACAGAGTTGTCTGTGGCTCACTGAGATGTCTGTGTGGCTCACTGAGTTGTCTGTGTGTGGCCCACTGAGTTGTCTGTGTGTGGCTCACTGAGATGTCTGTGTGTGGCTCACAGAGTTGTCTGTGTGTGGCTCACAGAGTTGTCTGTGTGTGGCCCACTGAGTTGTCTGTGTGTGGCTCACTGAGATGTCTGTGTGTGGCTCACTGAGTTGTCTGTGTGTGGCTCACTGAGATGTCTGTGTGTGGCTCACTGAGTTGTCTGTGTGTGGCTCACTGAGTTGTGTGTGGTTCACTGAGATGTCTGTGTGGCTCACTGAGTTGTCTGTGTGTGGCTCACTGAGTTGTCTGTGTGTGGCTCACTGAGTTGTCTGTGTGTGGCTCACTGAGTTGTCTGTGGCTCACTGAGTTGTCTGTGTGTGGCTCACTGAGATATATGTGTGTGGCTCACTGAGATGTATGTGTGGCTCACTGAGATGTCTGTGTGTGACTCACTGAGATGTCTGTGTGGCTCACTGAGTTGTCTGTGTGGCTCACTGAGATGTCTGTGTGTGGCTCACTGAGTTGTCTGTGTGTGGCTCACTGAGATGTCTGTGTGTGGCTCACTGAGTTGTCTGGGTGGCTCACTGAGATGTCTGTGTGTGGCTTACTGAGTTGTCTGTGTGTGGCTCACTGAGTTATCTGTGTGTGGCTCACTGAGTTGTCTGGTTGGCTCACTGAGTTGTCTGTGTGTGGCTCACTTAGTTGTCTGTGTGGCTGACTGAGTTGTCTGTGTGTGGCTCACTGAGTTGTCTGTGTGGCTCACTCAATTGTCTGTGTGTGGCTCACTGAGATGTCTGTATCTGGCTCACTGAGTTGTCTGTGTGTGGCTCACTGAGTTGTCTGTGTGTTGCTCACTGAGATGTCTGTGTCTGGCTCACTGAGTGTCTGTGTGTGGCTCACTGAGTTGTCTGTGTGTGGCTCACTGAGTTGTCTGTGTGTGGCTCACTGAGTTGTCTGTCTGGCTCACTGAGTTGTCTGTGTGTGGCTCACTAAGTTGTCTGTGTGTGGCTCACTGAGTTGTCTGTGTGTGGCTCACTGAGATGTATGTGTGTGACTCACTGAGATGTCTGTGTGGCTCACTGAGTTGTCTGTGTGGCTCACTGAGATGTCTGTGTGGCTCACTGAGTTGTCTGGTTGGCTCACTGAGTTGTCTGTGTGTGGCTCACTGAGTTGTCTGTGTGGCTGACTGAGTTGTCTGTGTGTGGCTCACTGAGTTGTCTGTGTGGCTCACTGAGTTGTCTGTGTGTAGCTCACTGAGACGTCTGTATCTGGCTCACTGAGTTGTCTGTGTGTGGCTCACTGAGTTGTCTGTGTGTGGCTCACTGAGATGTCTGTGTCTGGCTCACTGAGTTGTCTGTGTGTGGCTCACTGAGTTGTCTGTGTGTGGCTCACTGAGTTGTATGTGTGTGGCTCACTGAGATGTATGTGTGTGACTCACTGAGATGTCTGTGGCTCACTGAGTTGTCTGTGTGGCTCACTGAGATGTCTGTGTGTGGCTCACTGAGTTGTCTGGTTGGCTCACTGAGTTGTCTGTGTGTGGCTCACTGAGTTGTCTGTGTGGCTGACTGAGTTGTCTGTGTGTGGCTCACTGAGTTGTCTGTGTGGCTCACTGAGTTGTCTGTGTGTAGCTCACTGAGACGTCTGTATCTGGCTCACTGAGTTGTCTGTTTGTGGCTCACTGAGTTGTCTGTGTGTGGCTCACTGAGATGTCTGTGTCCGGCTCACTGAGTTGTCTGTGTGTGGCTCACTGAGTTGTCTGTGTGTGGCTCACTGAGTTGTCTGTGTGTGGCTCACTGAGTTGTCTGTGTGTAGCTCACTGAGTTGTCTGTGTGTGGCTCACTGAGTTGTCTGTGTGTGGCTCACTGAGTTTTCTGGGTGTGGCTCACTGAGATGTCTGTGTGTGGCTCACTGAGTTGGCTGGGTGGCTCACTGAGATGTCTGTGTGTGGCTCACTGAGTTGTCTGTGTGTGGCTCACTGAGTTGTCTGTGTGTAGCTCACTGAGTTGTCTGTGTGTGGCTCACTGAGTTGTCTGTGTGTGGCTCACTGAGTTTTCTGGGTGTGGCTCACTGAGATGTCTGTGTGTGGCTCACTGAGTTGGCTGGGTGGCTCACTGAGATGTCTGTGTGTGGCTCACTGAGTTGTCTGTGTGGCTCACTGAGTTGTCTGTGTGTGGCTCACTGAGATGTCTATGTCTGGCTCAATGAGTTGTCTGTGTGTGGCTCACTGAGTTGTCTGTGTGTGGCTCATTGAGTTGTCTGTGGCTCACTGAGTTGTCTGTGTGGCTCACTGAGTTGTCTGTGTGTGGCTCACTGAGTTGTCTGTGTGGCTCACTGAGTTGTCTGTGTGTAGCTCACTGAGATGTTTGTATCTGGCTCACTGAGTTGTCTGTGTGTGGCTCACTGAGTTGTCTGTGTGTGGCTCACTGAGATGTCTGTGTCTGGCTCACTGAGTTGTCTGTGTGTGGCTCACTGAGTTGTCTGTGTGTGGCTCACTGAGTTGTCTGTGTGTGGCTCACTGAGTTGTCTGTGTGTGGCTCACTGAGTTGTCTGTGTCTGGCTCACTGAGTTGTCTGTGTGTGGCTCACTGAGTTGTCTGGGTGTGGCTCACTGAGATGTCTGTGTGTGGCTCACTGAGTTGGCTGGGTGGCTCACTGAGATGTCTGTGTGTTGCTCACTGAGTTGTCTGTGTGGCTCACTGAGTTGTCTGTGTGTGGCTCACTGAGTTGTCTGTGTGTGGCTCACTGAGTTGTCTGTGTGTGGCTCACTGAGTTGTCTGTGTGTGGCTCACTGAGTTGTCTGTGTGCCTCACTTCAGATATCTGTTATCAATCTGTGATTCAGATATCTGTGTGGCTCACTGAGTTATCGGTGTCTGTGGCTCATTGAGTTGTATGGCTTACTGAGTTGTCTCGGTGTGTGTCTCACTAAGATGTAGTTGTTTGGTCTACTGAAATTTCCGCCTCAATGTGTTGAGTGTGTCATTGAGTTGTTGGTGTGTGGTGGGGAGCGGTGGCGCAGTGGTTAGCGTGCTATTCTATGAACCCGACGACCAGAGTTCGATTCCCGTTCATACCCAACACCAGTGATGATTATCGGAACCGGTTCTGGACCTCCTCTCGGTCGAATCAGCCTCAAATAAATACCTGGTATGGTGTGTAAACGTTGCCACTTGGGAGACGAAGGCGGCCGGACGTGGTGATTGCCACCACCCCCTCGTGTGCCATGCCGGCCTTCATAGGCGCTCACTAACAGCACTTGCCCCAACAGGCTGTGCATGCTATACGGGGGGGTGGGGGTCTTTGTCTTGGTGTGTGGCTCACCAAGATGTCTGGATGTGTCTCACTGGGATGTCTGACTCACTGAGATGTCTGGCTGTGCGGCTCGCTGAGGTGTAAGTGTCTGGCCCACTGAGGTGCCTGGCTCATCGTGATATCTGGGTGTGTGTAACTCAGTGAGGCACGGAAGTTCCTGAGCAATGCCCTGGCAGGACTGGGCTCAGTGGAGTTGGAGAACATGCTGGAGCAAGTGCTGGACGCGGTGCAGAGACAACCACGTATGTGTCGCTCCTCCTCATCGAACCCTGAACTCTTTTCCATCACAGCACCTCCCATGTGGAGCAAATTGCAACTTACCTGAGCTTATGCTAATTAAAAAACTGTTCATCAGGAATCCTGATATAATGTAGTTTTTAGTATCCACTCTCTCTGGCCTCTCTTTGTGCTGTGAAGAAAGGCCATTACCCAAAACGTCACCTATTATATATTTATGAATTTGAAGGCCATAGTGTTATTGATTAATGTGTTGGGATTTGTGTGACAAGTGACCCTGTATTTGTGCGTTCCAGTGGCGTCCAGCATGGTGGAGCTCGCAGTGGTGGAGGCAGCTGTGCAGGAATGCAGATCGTCGAGCCCAGAAGAATCGTAAGAAGCCTCCGCATGTACTGCTTGCGTCTTCCACAGCAGCAAGCACCGGCATCATGCTTTGGTGCAGCAGTTCGGAACCCATACTCTTTGGTTCTTTTGGTAAAGTCACGTACTGTAGTTAGAAATAAAATAAAACAAATCACGAGGTTTCGATCGCAACACAAGCGGTCGCCTAATGACGACCGCTTGTGTTGCGATCGAAACGTCGTGATTTTTTTTCTTTCTAACTACGTGACTTTACCAAAGAACCAAAGAGTATGGATTCCTGCAGTCACGAAAGCTTCAAAGCAAGATAGTTCTGAACCCGTCTGTCGCACCACCCCGGGGGGAGGGTGTGAACGTCTCACAGCCTCCGATGCCTTACTAACCACGTTGACTAGAGGTGTGAACATGTGATCTCTGTGTATGGCAGCCTTAGTAACCTGCTGGGCGGAAGGTGGGGGTGGGTTTGGGGGACCAGTTGTCTTGATTGGGGAGGGTGAGGGCGCTACCATTCCAAAAAGGTTGAGAACCACTGCTTTCGTGGTGGAGAATTAAGGAGGCCTTTGCCTAGCAGTTGAAAGTTACATGTTAACAACAATGTAAATAAGTGATTCACCTTCTTTATTAGTTGATTTATGCCAATATTTTTGTGGCACTCATTAAAAAGGCTGACATTATTGGTCTTTATGGTTGTCTTTAGTTTTACAGATGTCAAGAACCAGATTTTCTGTTTTTCAGAGAGAATGTTCTTAACATCATCGGTGCATTCGATATCCCGAGGTTCATCTACAACCACGAGAGGAAAAAGTTGATACCGTGAGTAGAGTAACTCGTTCCTTTGTATTCCTTTGTACCTTTCCTATGCATTAATGTTTTCAACACTCCTCACAATTCGACTCGTCTACCTTCTGGAATTTAATACCCTATTTCGCCAGTTTCCTACGTACCAATATGACTACTTGTTTTAGAAAAAATGTTGTTCAATAGACATGTTTAATGCTTTTATATCAAAGACAAAACATTTTATCTAGTGAGAATGCCACTCAACATTCCTGCATGGCGATACAATGTTAAACATAGCATTGGATATTCATGATTCAATCTATGGCTCATGCAAATTGTGTCGTGTTCCATGTTAAAGCAGCATTTATCATTGTCCTGTGAGTTACATGGGTGTTCGCGTATGTGCACCCGCACAGGCTGGCCATGACGAACCACCCTCCGCCATGCCTCATAGCCTCTCCTCGAGACAAAGCTGCAGTTTTCCAGGAGCGATACGCCATCCTGCAGCAGGTGACCTCAGCAACAGTCCCTCGTTGCTGCGTCATAAATCCTCTTGAGGCTGTGGTTTACATTCAACTGCAGTAGTCTTTATCACAGATTTCTGTATGCTGAATGGAATCGGTGATCCAAGTTATTACTTGGATCTGCTCCACCGTCGCGTGACTAGAGACTCTGTGCTGTCTGATCTCGCAGCGGACCCACCGGCATGACCTCTTCACCCCTCCTGTGGTTGGATCAGTCACAGAGGAAGGACGCAACAAGTTTCAGGTGAACTGCTTGAAATCCATCTTTGTACATAGTTTCGTGGGATCTGCTTGTGTAACTGCAGTGAAGCAAGAAACACTGAACGTTTACACTACTGCAGCGAGTGAATTGGTACTCTTAATGTTTTAATACCAAATAGTGCATTGACAAAACAATAACAGTTTTGCAACAGCCAGAATCCAACATCCTTGTATTGAAAGTAATTGAAATAATGTATGTAAGGTCGTTTACGAATTGGTAACTGTGTGCATGGATTGCAGATATGCACCTCTGTACATGAATGAGGTTGCTTCTCCATAGTAGAGGTTTTTGTGTTAGATCGCGTAAATATATAAATGTGTCATTAAAGCCCGCCACCACCTGACACATCCAACTAGTAAGGGTTGTCACGTAAACAGAACATGCCAATTCGTCACTAGTACAGCACAGGTGTGTTGGAGAGCCAAGCCACAACCTTTTACAATCTGAGTACGACGTTTCGCCAGTAATTGTAGGTTGTCGCTTGGCTCTCCAACACAAACCGTTGTGCTGTACTAGTGACGAATTGGCATGTTCTATTTACGTGACAACCTTACTTGTGGCTGTGTCGGGTGGTGGCGGGTTTTAACGACACATTTACGCGATCTAACCCAAAAACCTCTATTATCGATGATATTGGTCGCGAAAGCCTACGTGTTAAACTGACATTGCCTCTGTTGTGTACTTGTACGATGCACGTGTGTGTTGCAGCTGAAAACAGTGGAGTTTCTTCAGGGCAGCACTGCCCGGTTGGGAGAGGTCATTGTGCTTGGAATGCTGACCCAGCTCAAAGAGGTTAATGGTCAAATGTTGACATCACAGCTGTATCGAGTCCATGTTATTCCGTGGCTCAGTTACCAGTAATTTACGTCTGAAATATTATGTATGTTACAAATTGCATTATTATTACTCATTGTTTTTTTCGGTAAAGTCACGTATGTAGAAATACAATAAAATTATATTAAAACAAAAAACAATCACGACGTTTCGATCACAACGCAAGCGATCTTCACCAGGTGTCAAGAACAAATCACGGAGGTAAATACAACAAAAAGATGAGAGACGAGAATTCAATAAACCTGAAAAAACATTATGTGAAGCACATCCAGTCAGGCCAACAACACAGTTAGACACTTCCTGGTGGACCACGAATTTCAGAAGAGTGTTAAATTTCGTTTTCAACCTTTGGATTGCACATACCAGCATAGATAGAATGAAAAATACGAGGTACACGGTCAGTAGAAATACATATACAAGTTCACCAAGAGATAAGGAGGGAGGAAAGACGGACAGGGAGGCAGAGAGAGAGATGAAGATCGCTTGCGTTGTGATCGAAACGTCGTGATTGTTTTTTGTTTTAATATAATTTTATTGTATTTCTACAGTCACGAAAGCTTTAATACTGCATTATTATTATTGGTTGAAATTATAAACCACCCCAGCTACTTTCTCCTCTTTCATTTTACAGGGGAAGTATTACCTGGAAGACCCCACTGGGACTGTGCAGCTTGATCTTAAGAATGCCATATCCTTTAAAAAAATACAGCCAGTAACGACCCATAAAACTGTTGATGCATAGTCACCCATATTAATTTTAAGCGTTGATATTTGATGATGAACGCTTTATGGTGCCGAGTACTTAAAAGTGCAATTATGTAATTGTTATATTTGCCAGCTAAAGCATGGATTTGATGTCATCGTTTTGTTACCGCAATAAGACTTGACGTACCACACCAGTTCCACAGCGGGCTCTACACGGAGTCCTGCTTTGTGTTGGCTGAGGGTAAGTTTCTTCTGCCAATCAGAAAGTGCACAATCCATTGCAAACTACTGCATTACTATCATGTATATTTTTCCATTGAAACATTGTCATATGTTATTAAATCCTTTTTGAAAATACGTGATGTTTTAATACGTGTGCCCTTCAGGTTATTACGAGGATGAGGTGTTTCACGTCAACGCGGTTGGCTTCCCTCCCACGGAAGCGGCAAAGATATCCAGGTGTGGGAATGGTTGCCGCCAGTGTGGGCATGACGTTACGTTTATGATACGTTCAAGATTTGGATCGGATGAAATGATCACACTCTCCTCGAGATTTATCTTCACCACTACCTGGTGTGTGTTTGTGTGTGCAGGACGTACTTTGGAGATGTGAATCTGTTTGGGGGGCCGTCGACCACGAGTGTGAAGGCCTCGGCAGCGCTGGCCAACATCGAGGAGCGCAATACTGATGCCATGTTTGTGTTCGCCTCGGACGTGTGGCTCGACCGCTCGGACGTCCTTGATCGGCTGAGACTCATGTTTACTGGTAGGACAGCCCTCGCAATGTGTGGAGAACAGCGCTACAACAGAAAGCTCTCAGCAGGCGGCAGTTATCCTATTCTCTGGATTAGAAGATTGTCTGGAGAGGAAGATACATCCCAAACTTTAGGAACATTTTGAAATGAACTTTTATAATCAGGAGAATATAGTTTACGGAGAGCCATCTTTCCAGAACGTGCTATCAGATGCAGGCAGTGCGCAGCGGCTTTTAATATTAAAAATATTGGTTATCACAAAAAGCTGGCTCTCGTGGGGTATACTCGAGTGATAGTTGTCTTTTGGAAGATTATTCTGAATAGCTGGTGGTATTCTGTGTTCGGGGTAGTAATGTCTTGATATGGAGAACCGTCTGAATGAGATTAAAATATATCTTTGGCAAGACACAATGTAGTCTACAAATTACGAGATGCACACCCCCAAATTTTTCTTTAAAATACGTGTAAACAAATGTATGATCCGGAGAGTGACATACATTTCATAGTCTTAATTGTTATTCATATAAATATAGTAACTTGTGTAGTTCCTCTGCTAAGGGTTGAATTTACATTGTTGACCATACACAGTTACTGCACATTGAATGCTGTATATGCAAAACTATTATTTGTGCAGTCGTAATGCGGCAATTCCAATTGACTAAGTACACTTTTAGCATATCTTGGTGTTGTTTACACTCGAGTCGGATGTACTTTTGTCAAAGTATATCAGCATCTTCATGATGGTGGTGTACATTAGAGCGGTGAGATAATGGAGAGTGGTGCCACGGTGGCAATATTTTGTTGACTCATCTTGCTGTGTAGACATGCAATTATTGTTTAATTCACTCTACTTGTGTCTTCACTTTCATGCAGGATACTCGGGTGCTCCACCCACTTGCTTCATATTCTGTGGAAACTTCAGCTCGGCTCCTTATGGCCGCAACCATACGTCTGTGCTTATAGGTAGTGCACACTTGTCCAGTATCAGTCCCAATGGTAGTACATTCACTTCTAATAATGGACCCAAGGGTAAAGCACACACGCATCCAACAGCAGATAGTGCACGTCCACTATCATACCCACGGGTAGGGTACATATGTCCAACAACAGACCTTTTTTTATATCAAGACTTGGGGTGACACCATGGAAAATATATTGTCTAGGTTCAGCTGACAAAGGTCCTCACTTTGTATTGGCATTGTGCATGAACACACAGCACATACATAGCCACTGAAAGCTACACGTATACACCTACCAAAGCAGCTTGATTTTTAACTCACTTTTGCCCTGCCCTTCAAGTGATGTTCTTTTCTTAACAGATTCGCTGAAATGTTTAGCCGACATCATTTGTGAGTTTCCCTCCATTCTTGAAAGGTAAATCAATCTAATTTGTTGAGTAAGAATTATCCTAAGTGGCTCGAGTGTCTAGGTTTACTCGCATGTGCTGAGGGCGCCTGTTTGTCTTGATGTGTAACGTGCCATCTTATAGTAGGTCCGTTCCAACAAACATTTCCCCAGCAGCTTAACCAGAACAGAGTAGAGCTTGCTTCCTGTGCCGTGGTATTTTTGTTTCAATGTAATGTTTTTACTTGAGCATATTTATCAATATATGTACAAGCAAATATAAGCATGCATGCATGCATTTTGTGTGTGTGTGCAGCAGCCGATTCGTGTTTGTTCCAGGACCAGAGGATCCAGGGCCCGGAGCTATTTTGCCCAGGTACTACACATGGCACAAGCAACAAGCTTGCCGCCTTGTACAGTGTGCAATAACTTTAATGAGGTGCTTCTTGGTGCAAGGTTTAATTGGAGGTTTGGGATTGAGCATTATAGTTAAGTTTAAAGAGTTAAGTTTAAATATACTGTATAGTTGATTGGGTAAAGTGATGGGAGTTAGGGATGGATTTATGAATGCAGACATTACTATGCATGGGTAACATTTAACATTTTTTATGTAGGTCTCCGCTTGCCGATCACATTACGGCAGAGTTCAGAAGACGCGTTCCCTCCGCCATCTTTGCCACAAACCCTTGCAGGTGACAGCCACTCCCAGTCACAACTCTTGCAAATTCACCACACTCATTCACCTGTGTCCTCACCCTCAGAATGCGTAGTTGGCAGGTGTTCAGTTCAAGCGGGTATGCACGTGTGGTCTCACAGGCTGCAGTACTGCACACAGGAGGTGGTGATTTTCCGAGAGGATCTGGTAAACAAGATGTGCCGGAACTGCGTGCGCTTTCCAAATCCTGGGACAGATATCCCCACCCACGTGCGTAACTTTGACTTTCACCTTTCAATCCATGACCTCCAATCCCTGATCATGATCTTCACCCTTAATTTTGTTGGTTCCATTCTTTCTTACAGTGGCACATTTTATGTGTTGCATTATTTCAATAATTAAATTTCTGACATTTCATTCCTCTTTGCGATGCATTGCAGTATCTTTGTGACCTTCACGTTTATAATAATTATCTCAGGTCTCCCTAGCAAAGTACGTGCTCTCAGTGGGCCCTCTCCTGATTGCAGTATTTGTTTTGTGTTTGGGTGTCCTTGTAGTTTGTGAAGACACTGGTGAGCCAGGGCCACCTATCATCATTGCCACTGTTTGTCAGCCCTGTGTTCTGGGGCTTCGACTATACCCTGTCCCTCTACCCGCTTCCTGACCTGCTCGTGTGTGCCGACAAGTACGACCCCTTCAGCATCACCAATACCGAGTGCATGTGCATCAACCCGGTATGCTGCCATTTCCACACCCATGGCCACATAGATTTACTTTGGCAAAATATGAATTCCTATTCATAACCCATATGTTATGTGCATTCCAGGGCTCCTTCCCTCGGAGTGAATTCAGCTTTAAAGTTTACTACCCATCCAGCCGGACTGTGGAGGACAGGTGAGACCTGCAATTATGATACACCTGTCACCTTGCATGCAGTTAACATTTTTGATTGATTTATATGCCACAAATACAGCGGTAGTGCTTGCCCCTTGATGGCAATATTTTTAAAAGTATTTTTGCCTTTCAATACAATCCAAGTGACACGAGAGAAGAGATAGATAAGAGATATATAGATGTCATAGAAAGACAAAATATACATGAAATAAGAGAACAGTTGCAGAAAAGACCGATGAAATTAATGTATTGGTCTTTGTTGTGTATCTTAGTATTCGAATGGCCTTTGTATGTGAACCCCTATTTTCTCATAAATCCAGGACCTCTTGATTTACTTGAGGTCCTCGGTTTTTGCTTGGCATGATTATGCCAAGCACCACCACTGCACATAGGGAATTGAAAATGTACACTTGTACTATAAAGAATGCTTGTACTCATACTGTATGGTGTGTGCGCTCTATTTTTTTCCAGTAAACTACAAGATATGTAGATGAAGCAACAAGGGAGGAAGGAGCATCATGATGTGGAAACAGAATCGCAACTCCGAATTGCACTGCAGTTGTGTAGACCTGAGCTGTCCCTTGTGCTCAAAAAGCAGTGGCAGTCATTCGTTCTGCATAGCTGTACTCACACACCTACGATTAGCGCGGTTGGCTGTGTACGGTGCAAAATAAGTTCTACATATTGTAGGTGGCGTACATTTACATAAAACCGATGCATTTAAATTCACATTTCCAGGATGTGGAAGAATCTGGTAAAAATGAAACCCATACTGCAAGCTGACAAACACAAGATTTTGGAAATGTATTTAATATATTATATGGGATGTGCTGCTATCATTACATACATATATTAATATTGAATAAATACATCAAGCCCACACGTCAACTGTTAGGAATTTTATGGTGTTCTGTATATGCTCTATAGATGCTCTCCTGTAATGTGGTTGTTTTTGCATTGTTTTTCATATTTGCTTCATTTCTTAACTTAATTTGATTTATTTTTTCCATCTTGGTGCCCTTCATTTGCACCTGGTTAAATAAATATGGTTAAACTTGTAAAACGCTGCTCGCTGTCTTATAATAATGCGTTGACTCAATATTCGCTGAAGACACCGGGCTCTGCTTGTTGAAACTTCATGTTTACTCAAATATGTAGAGCCCAGTTTGAAAGGATCACGATTTTGCCGTCAGCCAGCCCTCGTCAGATTACTCAATTCCCAACATCCATTGCTTGTGCTTTGGGTCAATGGCTTCTGTTTGCACTTTGTTGAGTTCGCATAGGGTAGCCATGAGGCCGCACTTTGGCTGTTCCACAAGTTCTGCTGCGATGGAGGGTGAGTCCAACCATCCATTGGTCTAGGCACCGCTTCCTGTGGCCCCCACACTCCGTGTTCACTTGGGCCATGTGGGACACAACCTATTCCCTCTTTTCCACTGCAAGTAAGCTAAGCCAGCTGAGAAAGTGCCAGCTTATTTTTCCACTGCAAAACCCAAGTCGTGCCACTAATGTCAGATGCACTGAATGTATCGCAATGAAGCTGTGATGGTCTTGCAGTCTACTGACTGCGTTATTTTTCGCACCCATGGCCCTTCTTAGCCGTAATGTCTCGGGAAGCCAAAGTTTCATGTTTTGGCTCTACAAATATAGCCAGTGGATATCCATACTGTATGAGAGACCCGCGCTGGCTCGGATATGCCCGTGGAAAAGTGCCGGCGACATCACGAAGGGCCCGATATCTCGCCGGCGAGCAGGTAATAATCGAAGTGGGGCGAGGTGGTGCGATTCTCTTGGCTCAGACAGAGCGCCCAGTCACGGGGGTCAGCCCACCCCCCGTTGAGCCGGGGCCGTATGGCGCCCTTCTCGTTCTTCGACCGGATGGAGAGCGCGGCGGGGAATAGAGCGCCCTCCAGCTGGCGCAAGACGCGCATCGCGTGGGCCCTCTCCTGCTGCACGCCGCACGAGTCGCGGCGGTGGTGCATCCCGCAGCCGCCGCCCGTGTGCAGGACGCGAGGCAGCCGCGTCGCCAGTACCAGCATGGCCCCGCGCGGGACGCAGTCGACGCTGGCGAGCTGCACGCTCCAGTCCCAGTTATAGTCGTCGCAGGTGCAGAATGCGCGGGCGCACCGCGCCAGCTTCTCGTAGCCGCTGCGCATCATGGCCATGCCCGTGTTGTGGCGGCTCGAGTGCCACGGGGCCACGTCCACCGCCTCTGTCCCTGCTGCCGCCACGGCAGCCGCCGCTGCCGCCCCGACCGCGGGCCCGAGCACGCCCAGGCTCAGTAGGTCGCAGTCGGCGCAGTTGACGCGGAGCACGTCGCCCATGGACGCTAGAAGGGCCAGGGCGTCGGGCAGTACGAAGTGGTCCTCCTCCAGCAGCAGCACGGGCCCCGGGTGGCCCCGCAGCATCCGTAAGCCACGCCACACGAAGTGCAACTTCCACCACCAGTGGTGCTTGGCCTGCGTGAAGGCCGCCTCGCGGTAGTGGCCGAAGCGGTCAGGGGTCGCGGCGTTTGTGCAGCCCAGGCGCTGCGCTTCGCGGGGACTCGCGTTCCGTGGGCAGTCGCGCGGGTCCGGGCCCGGGAAGGAGGCCGCGTGGAGCTGCGCGCTGAATGGGTAGAAGATCTGCAGCACCTGGCAGAAGCGCACCCCACGCACCACCGCGTCCACCTCCTCCGACACCTCGTCGTGGCTGAAAATGAGCAGCGCCGTCTCGATGCCCCTAACGGCGCCGAGCGACTCAACGAGCAGGCGCAGGTGCGCGGCGCGGGAGTGGACCTGCACAACCACTACAGGCCCGCCGGGCCGCCACGCCAGGGCGCGACCCGCGTTCCGCGGCCTCTGCTCCGCGTTCATCCGCAGCACCAGGCGGCGAATAGCGGCGGCGGGGTCCGGGCTACGGGGAGCTTCCTCGGGCGCCACCGGTGCCACGGGGCCCGGCGGGAACGCGGGGGCCTCGGGGCCTCGTTCGACGCGGAGCTCGGGTCGGGGACGCGCCCTCAGCAGTAACAGCAGCAGCAGTAGCAACGAGGCCCCAGAGGCCACGCGGGCCCACAGCACAGAGACGCGCATGGCCACATGAGGCCGCACGCTGCTCCTCCCCCCCAATAGCCCCTCCCCCACCAATAGACCCTCCCCCACAATAGCCCCTCCCCCACCAATAGCCCCTCCCCTTCTCTCCCAACAGCCCTTCCCCCACAGCCCGTGCCCCTTCCTCTACCTAAGCCCCCGCCCCCCATAATGCAATCGGAATGCGGAAGTTGTGACTTGGCTAACCTCTGACCCCGCGGCCCCACGACCCGGAAGCGCTGTAGCGCGAGGGAGAGCAGCCGGACCGTGAGTCTCACGTCCCGGACACGAGGGGGGTAACGAGAGGGGGGCACCAGGGGGGTAACGAGGGGGGTAACGAGGGGGGTAACGAGAGGGGGGTAACGAGAGGGGGGCACCAGGGGGGTAACGAGTGGGGGGCACCAGGGGGGTAACGAGGGGGGTAACGAGAGGGGGGCACCAGGGGGGTAACGAGAGGGGGGCACCAGGGGGGTAACGAGGGGGGTAACGAGAGGGGGGCACCAGGGGGGTAACGAGGGGGGTAACGTGCGGGGGTCACCAGGGGGGTAACGAGGGGGGTATTGAAAATCGCGATGGCGCAGGAGGGAGTACTGGAGCATGTTGTACCCGGGAAGCGGTGGTGGAGTTGTTGGCTAACTGCGCGGTGAATCTGGAGCCAACCCCTCCGCTCCCCGCGCCCGACCAACTTCACCTGAGTTCGATTCCCGGCCAGGAGACGCCAGTGGCGAGCGATATCGGAACCCGACCTGGGTGAAGTATGGCCCACTTCACCAGTTAGCACTGATCCCTACGACCGACACGGCAGAGGGGAGTACTTTATCCCGCAGTGGATTTGCAAAGGGCTATAAATACATCGAGAGTATGTAGGCATTGGAGACTATTATGGGGACGTGTTGTTTTATCGCGGAGAATTAACGAGCATTGAGTTAGTGGTGTGGGGGGGGGGGCATTCGGAAGAACCAGGGGGGTATACCCTCTCGAGCGCTTGTCTCGTCCCCTCAATCGGCGTCGCATCAATCGTGAAATCCTCGCGGTAACCCCCCACCCACCCCTCCCGTGTCAGGAGGACGCAGCGATCGCTCTCGTGCTGGTTCGGTTCGTGTCGCGGTGGAGCTCTCACGGTTGATCTGTAACCCCCACCCCACCGTTCCCCCACGACTCGTGTAGGACCCGAGCTGCCTCGGTCGCCATGTGCGACAGCCAGGGCCTCCGGGCTTCTGGGTCGGCGGGGGAGCTGGAGCACGTGGGGCTGCTGTCTGCGCACCTGGGCGTGCTGTGCGGCCGCGACGAGTTCAGCGACGTGGTGTTCGTGGTGGATGGGACGCGCTTCCCCGCGCACCGCGTGCTCCTAGCCGCGCGTTGCCACTACTTCAGGTTCGGGGCCAGCCGAGCCGAAAAGTTAAACAGCAATCCCCATCCCTTCCGTCTCTCCCCCCGCGCGCCTTACCACCGTGCATGGCCCGTTAACGTCGGTCTCTTACTCCCGAAGCCAATGCCGGTACACCTGCGGTGGCAAACGCTACCGGTTTCCACCGTTTCCACCGTGAGCAGTATGTACAGATGAGCAGTATCCACCATGAGCTGACACCTGAGCGTATTTGGTGTATGTTTTGTTGACGCATTTCGCCGTTTATATTGCGTGAATGTTCATTATCATTTAGCTTTTTCTTTCAAAATCATATCCTATATTAACCTCCCAATTTTCTCGAAAAGAGCGACTACATTGACCTTGCTATCATACATGTTTAAGATCTACACGTAGTATTCTTTAAACAAATCCATTAGGATTTGCCTCCCCGGTTGGTACTGATAAGTCATTTTGGGCCATTGCCTCAAAAGACCATGCTCCCCGTAGTCAGAATGAATACAATACACCTGTGTGAGTGCTATACATGAACATTACTGTAAAGGTATTGGTCTATCATAGATGGACCTGTCCCCTTATCCAGGTCCCGTGCACGAGTGACCCCATCGTTCAGCCCAGCCTGTGCATGTTGTGTAGCTTGTGGGGGCGTCGGTACTAACACTGAGAAGTGACATGCGCTTCTCTTCACCCCTGCGTACCTCGCTGTGAGCAGAGCACTACTTTACGGCGGCATGAAGGAGTCTCAGCCCGAGGCGGAGGTGCGCTTGGACGACACCACAGCAGAGGCGTTCGCCGTGCTGCTGCGCTACATCTACAGCGGCCGCGTTTCGCTGGGTGAGCTGCGGGAGGAGTGCCTGCTGGACCTGCTGAGCCTGGCGCACCGCCTGGGCTTCCCGGAGCTCGAGAACGCGCTGTCAACCTACCTGTGCTCGGTGCTGAGCGTGAGCAATGTGTGCACCGTGTATGACGTGGCCAGCCTCTACTCGCTGTCCACGCTGTGCAGCACCTGCGAGGCTTTCGCTGACAAGCATGCGGCCGGCGTGCTGCAGAGCGACGGCTTCTTCTCACTCTCCAAGGTCAGCGGCCTCCGTCGTCGTCATTCGTCGGCTCAATAGAGGGCTCCGTTCGATTGCGAGTCCAGACCACTGCTCTTCAGCTCACCTTTAAAGCCTGCCGTGGCCCCACATGGTCTGCCTCCTCACAGAACCTCACCATGGCTGTTTGTGCCCAGGGCGCGCTGCTCAGGATTTTGTCACGGGACTCATTTGCGGCGCCAGAGAGAGACATCTTCAGCGCCGTCGTCGCCTGGTGCGTGTGAGCAGACCACAGCTGTCCTTCCCCGCTTCATTTACGCATTGCCGTTTCAGATTTACCTTGAGGTTTTTCCGCAAACAAGTGCGTAGTGCAGGTGTTGTTGTTGTGGAGTTTGCTGAGAGAACCTCTGAAAAAGAAGGTGTGGTTTTGTTAACAACAACTTGGTGGTCTCTGCATGCAGGTTCCACCAGGTTTAAATGAATAGAAATTGGTACCAGCTAAGGCAACAGTCGTACCGATTTATTTATCGTTAATTCGAGTGAAGTATTTGATTACTTGCAAACAATTTAAATGGCTGTCGCATTATTTACTGTAATTGGTCATGTAAAGTAATTGGAAGCAAATACATTTATGCCACCTTAGGTGGTACTGACAAGCAAAGCGTCTGGTCTGGGTTCATGGACTACATGGCTCTCGTGTGTTTTATTATTTACACATTGCCTGCAACAATGAGTGATGAGGTGATAATCAAAGAATCTCCAAAATTAAAGTTACCTCGAAGATTTCTTTATTATTATGTAACGATGGTAAGAGAGTTAGCGCGTTCCCGAAGGCTAAGCAGCGTGCGCTGCGCAGGTGCGGGCACAACCCTGGGGAGGATGCCCGCGAGGCCGTCGCTGCTGTGCGGCTGCCGCTCATGAACCTGTCAGAACTGCTGGACCGCGTGCGGCCCTCGGGCCTGCTCTCGCCAGACGCCATCCTGGATGCCATCAAGGCGCGCTCGCAGGGACGCGACTCAGAGCTCAACTATCGTGGAGTGCTGCGTGAGTCACCCCCCCACCAACCCCCCATTAAATCAAAGAATTCGTACATTTGGTATTCACACCAATGTTATTGCGCGAAGATGTCACGAAGTGGCTGTTTTTCGTACGAGGGTGTGGTGTCACCAGACTGCAGTTTGAATGAGGCTGCAGTTCTTGCAGTGGGGGGGGGGGGAGGTTGCATGGAAATGCAGCAAATCAAACTTGCTATTCAGTGTCATTCAGTGGCCAACTCACTATGGGGCCAGAAGAAGTTTTTGTTCTTCCAAGTAAACCTCCGCATATTGTATCTGAGGAGCTACTCTAGGAGGGTGCAGATCACACACATAGAACGTGACAGGATTTGGAGTGCTGAGGATGGTTGAGTTTCAAGTTTTTGTTCGCGGTGGTCATTTTCTCACTCGGGTTGTAACGGATGCTCACCGAGGTTGTCGTTGCCCAGTGGCCGAGGAGAATGTGGCGACACTGCGGCATGGGGCCGTGGTGACGCAAGGGGAGCTAAAGGCGGCGCTGCTGGACGGCGACACCACAACGTACGATCTGGATCGCGGTTTCTCCCGTCACCCCATCGAGCCGGACACCTCGCGGGGCGGCGCCATCACCGTGCGGCTCGGCACACCCGCCATCCTCAACCACATCCGTATGCTCCTCTGGGACCGAGACTCTAGGTGAGCCGAGCATGCATGGTGTGGGGGTGCGCGTACCACAACTGCAGGGACGCGTTGGGCACACACAAACGCACCGCCACGGTTGAGTTAAAACTAAAAGTGATCTTGTCTGGCAGATCGTACTCCTACTACATTGAGGTCTCGATGGACGAGCAGGACTGGGTACGCGTGGTCGACCACTCCCGTCACTTCTGTCGCTCTTGGCAGCTGCTGTACTTCCCGGCGCGCGTGTGCCGGTGAGTAACTCCTCCACCCACCTTCGAATGCAGCATGACACTTGCTGTGTACTGTGTTTTCCAGACTATAAGATACACAATCTGCCTGGTATTTTGAAGCAAATGTTGGGCGGTGGGCATCTTATAATCTGTTAGGTGTGTTTGACCAGATTTGTATAACTTTATTGACACCTGGCACAAGTATGGCGCATGTCTTACTTTGCCGGAGTATCTTATAATCCGGTGAATATAATAATTGTGGTCACAACGTCCACGGGTAATCATTAGGCCTCGTTGAGTGTGGGTTTGTGTGTCCGGTGCTGAAGGTCTGTGGTATTGTGTGGGGAGCGGTAGTGTAGCGGTTAGCACGCTACGCTGCGAACCTGGCGACCCAGGTTCAATTCCAACACCAGTGACGATTATCTGAATCGGTCCTGGGCCTTCCCTAGGTCGACTCAGCCTCAAATGAGTACATGGTGCAATGTTTTAACATCGCCACTCGGGAGACAAAGGCGACCGGGCATGGTATTGGCCACACCTGCCCCTCCTGTGCCGTGCCGGCCTTCATAGGTTCTCGCTAACAGTACTTGCCCCAACAGTCTGTTAAGGCTATACGGGGGATCTTTCTCTTGTCTTTCTAGGTTCCTAAGGATTGTGGGTACCCACAACACGGTGAACCGGGTCTTCCACGTGGTGGCATTTGAGTGCATGTTTACGAACCGCCCCTTTGTGCTGGAAGGTGGCCTTGTCGGTAAGTGGTTCTTCTCACCGTTCCCCTTGCTGTTTTGCGAATCTGAATGCTGGAGTTGAGTAACATTAGTGGCGTGGCAATGCTATATTAGAGTTGCTTTTGCTTTAATGGTGTCGTGATGCTGTGATATAAAGGCGGTCACTGGATACTGCATTGCAAGCGGGGATGTACGCATTTATATCAGCTCTATGCTACCTGCCTGTTTACCGTGGGATCCCCTTGCATGCTTGCGTGTGCAGTTCCCCAGGAGAATGTGGCTACGATCGTGGCCAGTGCCAGCGTAATCGAGGGGGTCAGCCGCAGCCGCAACGCTCTGCTCAACGGGGACACGCGCCACTACGACTGGGACTGTGGCTACACGTGCCACCAGCTTGGCTCCGGGGCCATCGTGGTGCAGCTGGCCCAACCCTACATCATTGGCTCCATGCGGTGTGTGCAGGCAGTGTCTGCTGGTGGGGTGTGTGCGGCTGACGTGTGGGCATTGCATGTGGTTTGTGTGTGTGTGTGCGGTTGGTGTGGGTTGTCGCGTAGCAGTTAGTGTGCTACACTACGAACCCGGCGACCCGAGTTAGATTCCCGCTCAAGGCCAACACCAGTGACGATTCTCTGAACCAATCCTCGCCCTCCCTTAGGTGGAATCGGCCTCAAATGAGTACCTGGTGTGGTGTGTAAAAATCGCCACTTGGAAGGCAAAAGCAGCCGAGTGTGGTGCTGCCCACCCACCTCCTCATGCGCTATGCCGGCCTTATAGGTGCTCACGAACAACACTTGTCCCATCAGTCTCTTAAAGGCTATACGGGGATCTGTTTTTTTTTGGTGCGTGCAGGAATAATGTGCAGGCAATGTGTGTGAATGGTGAATAGACAGTGTGTGTAGGTGGTGTGTGGGCAGGGTTGTGTGGTGTTGATGTGTTAACCGTTGTTTTGTTACAGTTGGCCATAGTTATATTGTGCGAGTCCATTTCTACATAACCCATACATGTGTTGATAACATGTGGCTCTTCATGCTGGCTGCAGGCTGCTTCTCTGGGATTGTGATGATCGAAGTTACAGCTTCTACGTGGAGGTATCGACCGAGCAACAGACCTGGCACCGTGTGGCTGACCGTACCAAGCAGGCGTGCAGGTAACTAGCACAGTGCCAGCACACACGGTTCGGACGCTCTCTCTTGAGAGTGTTCTCCAGCTTACCTGCCAGTCACTCCAGGTATTCAATTGGAGCTTTCGTGACTGCAGGAATTCATACTCTTTGGTTCTTTCTAAAGACACAAAGAGAATGCTGTTAATGTTGTTGCATTGCTAAGACTGAATTGCGCATAGGCTTATCTGGCGAAATATTTCTTGTTTTAATTTGTGAGTCTTTTTTTTTTGCTCGTGTGCCTTTAGGTCATGGCAAACCATTACCTTTGACAAGCGTCCAGTGTCATTCATCCGTATTGTGGGCACCCACAACACTGCCAATGAGGTAACGGCACAGCTGCTCTGTGCAGGAATCTTCACTCGCGTTAGTACCCTTGTTTCCGTGATGTATCTGCCTCATGTTTTAACAATGGTCATGTTTTGTTTTGGACCACGATCTTTACAGTCGTTTTTTTAGAGTAATCATGCCTCGTGTATGCCTTGCTGCGTGTGGTACGTCTGCCGCACTACGTGTCTGTGCCGTGCGTACGTGTGTGTGTGTGTGGGGCGTCGGGCAGGTATTCCACTGCGTGCACTTTGAGTGCCCTGCAAGCGTCGGTCCCTACGAGGAGGATGGAGTGGGTGACAACTCGGAACACACTGGTGAAGCGGAAGGGTTGAGGGGTTCTTTAGTGGGGAGGGTGCGGGGAGGCGAGGGCGGGGCGCAGGGCTTGCCCAACGTGTACTCGGCCCAGCCGGCGCTTCCACCGGACACCTCTCCTCCTGGAGGTCCCGCAGCCCCTGCCCATCCGGCCGCAGATTTAGGCGTATTGGCCAGCCCGGTCTTGCCTGGAGCAGCGCAGGTGGAGAGCAGCGGGGGCAGCCGGCCTTCCTCCCCACTGGGGCATGCCGGGCACCCTGGGCCCCCGGCCTCACCGTCGGGGTCTTCCCAGGCCGGCTCGTCTCACTCGGCACCGTCACGGCGCTGGCGCTACTGAGAAGCTGTCCCTGCCTCGCGGTGCCTCGTGCCGCCTCGTGTCCACGGTTGGGGGACACGTTGGGCACTTTTAGTCGCTCGCGGGTCAAGTCCAAAGGAAGACGATTATGAAATGAAATATTGTCTGCATGCATTCCTCCTGCATGGTTTCCCCATTTGCATTCGAATGAAACAGCGTCTCGAATGGTCACCAGAGAGTACATATCATTCAGTCAGTATTCTAATACAGAGAAAGCATAATAATGTTAATATATTTGTTACCCTGAGCATCGCTACCTGAATTTTAGGACGCTGGTAAGCGGATTTGCCTGTCCCTCGAGTTGGCTGCCCACGGCAGGTGTACTTCTCTAGGTTCACATGCGGCGATTGCGGTTCCCCATGAACGTCGTGGAAGTCCACTCCAAAAGTTTGCACAAGTCCTGCTTGTTTTATGTTCGGAGTTTAAAGCATAGGCTGAAGGCTGGCCTTTAGAGGTTTGTGTAAACTGTAAAAAAGAAGTGTGAACTATAAAGGTGTTCTTGTGAAGAAGTATAAAGAGGTTCATGTAGAATATAAAGTCCTCTCGCTGAGCTCGCCGTGTGGCTAGTCTCGCACGACCTGATGCTGCCTCTCCCGGCAGTGGTGGTTCTGCTTGTGCAGGAACACCTTGTGTTGCACAGTGTAAGGTGTGCTGTGGACATGTGTATACTGTACTGTAGTTTCATAAATGTAATGTCCTCGTCAAAGTTGATATTTTACCATAATTCCCATATCTGTTAAATGTGAATATATAAATGAGGACTGCTTTGAAGAGGTATGTGCTGTTTGAATTTTGGCTTTAATTGAACAAAAGAGTTGTGTGATTTGTGTGTGTGTGTGCACAAGGAGAAATTCACTCCCCTGAAGTAGCTGACAGAGCTCAATGTACATGGGGATTTACAGACGTCGTGACAACCATCCCTCAAAACACGACAACCCTTGTCAATGTTTTGGGTGGAAGAACACGGGGACTGCATGGACAGTAGCGAAGTGAGGCCCATCTGCCCCAGCCCTCGACTTTTCAAACCTCGTCTGTGCTGATGCGAAGTGGGAGGGAAAATCGACGGAATCTCGGGTGCTGAGTGTACTTGGAAAGCTGGTGTTGGTAGAGACCCAGCGGACACACGACTGCCGCCGCTGCTACTGAGCTGATTGAGGTTACTTTTTTATCCATGGAGAGCTGTACACAGGACTCTTTATTTTTTTAGGGTCCTGCTGCATTGGTGTTTTAAGATTTATTCTGCCATGTTATGAGTGCTTAGACAAGTGGGAGCAAACTGGAGCGGCCAGACAGCTCCTTATCCCCACCCCCACGTCACCAACTGGCACTGACCAGCATGGTGAAGTATGGTCAAACCTCCATGACACGTGCAGTGTCGGATGACCTTCATCCAGCAGCAGATTTACAAAGGGCTGTACACTATTACGAGAGTACAGACTCCTGATGTGAGAAAAGTTTGCCTGATCACCCTTTGCTAGGAGTAGCCCGTTGCTAGGGGTAACCCGCTGCTAAGGGTAACGGGTTGCTAGGGGTAACCCGTTAAAAGGTTAACCCTTTTGAGGGGTAAAACGTCGCCTCGGGTAACCCGTTGCCAAACGGTAACCCCGTTGGCTTGTAATAACTCGTTGCTAGGGGTAACGGGTGGCTTCACGTAACCAGTTGCTAGGGGCAACCGGCGCTGCTCCGAGTGGCGCGGCGGCACAGCACCGCGCGCGCGATGACGTCGCGGGGTCAGAGGTCGCGGGAAGTCGCTCTTCCGGCGCTGGAGAACGAAGCCGTTCCAACCGCACGTAGCGGAGCGAGGAACAATCCTCACAACAGCGACAAGCGGAGCAATTAGCGCGGGCCCCTCTGTCGGAGCGAGCGAGCGAGCGTGATGGCGGACAGGGGAGACGACAAGAAATTCGCCGAGATCCCGAAGGAGTCGGTGCGCGCCATGGCCGAGGCCGCGGGGCTCGCGGGCCTCAGCGAGGCCGCGGCCGCGGCGCTCGCCGAGGACGCGGGCTACCGCGTGCGGGAGGCGGCGCAGGTAACTCGGGCGTGCGGCACCGACTCCGGCAAAGACAAAAGATCTCCCGTGTAGCCTGTATAACAGACTGTCGGGGCAAGTGCTGTTAGCGAGCGCCTATGATGGCCGGCACGGCAACACGAGGGGGTGGGTGGCCACCACCACCACGCCCGGCCCGCTTTGTCTCCCTAGTGGCGATGTTTACACACCGCAACAGGTGCTCATTTGAGGCCCAGGACCGGTTCAGATAAAAGTCACTGGGTGTTGGCCGTGAGCGGGAATCGAACCCGGGTCGTTGGGTTCGCAACGCAGCGTAGCGCTAACCGCTTCACCACCGCTCCCACACACGCGCGCGGAGACGCTAACACGCACTGGTTGGCAGACAATCCCTGGTAGGCACGAGCTGGCAGATACTGACTGACAATCGGCACTGGCTGGCACGCACTGACTTGTCAGACATTGACTGGCAGACACTGTCGGTCAGGCAGTGGCTGGCAGGCACTGACTACCAGGCACTGGCAAGCAAGCACTCGCTGCTAGGCACTGGATGGCACGCACTCGGAACTAGCACTGAACAAGCACTGATTGGTACTCGGCGCTCACTGGCACGCACACTCACTGACTTGGTCGTGACTGGATCACTCAACGAGTGCCCGTGACGCGGCAGCCAGCGTGAACCCGACGTTGGCTTGCACACCTTTTGCCGACCGTGTACCCCTGCCTATGTTTGAAACGCAACGCAACGTTCCATTGTGTACAGCGTCTAAATACGATTGGGTCTCACTCACCACGTCGTGCAGAGAACGCACGCACATCGTGCATTTGTCAGGCGTTTAACACGCCGAACGCACGCGTGGTGTCGTAATGATGATACCATAACTCCCGTTTGACGGGCGGTGGTGGCTATGCACATCGCCGGTCACAGTTCCTAAGATCACTGTTACATTGCATTTATGGCTTTATTTTGGTGATTTCTAAAAGTTTTTTGGTTTGGCCATGTTTTTGTTTATTGTAGTACGGAGTTAGACTGATGGCCTTAATCTAAGCTTTGTTGTTGTTGTTTGACTTTCATCCCACTGGGATTTTTGCACACAGCGTTGGTGTACGGTGCTATTTCAGGAATATTTTGATGTTTTTTCCTGGATTTTCTGTTTGCACATGCACAAAGTCACTTTAAGATGTTTTCTTGTTCATGTTTTTGTTTTTTTTGTTTATTGCGGTTGCACCCGATTCAAGAGCCGAATGGCTCACAGGGCTATACCAAATAAATGAAACTATGAAAACTATGAAACTAAACTGTAATCCGCCTGTAGTCCAGCGCTGCGGAGGCAGCAGCGAGAGGGTTGGTGGATCACCGCGCAAATGTTGTAAAGGTCCCTTCCCCGTGGGCGTCGATGAAGTGCAGTACAGCAAGTGGACTTATCACTGTGTGTTTCCATCTGTACGGGGATAGAGTATTACCCCCTCGCACCGCGTGGGTTAGTGCTGGATGCTCCGGTTTCCTTCCACTTCTATAAGCACTCATTAATTTGCTGAAAAGACACGAATAGTATCAGACGTGTACAACTAAATGATCCAGTAGAGGAATAGAAGTGGTAGGCTTCCGTAGTGTTTGAATGAATCGGTGACGGAAGTTCCATTCATCTCAGCACAGCTTCGTTGTTTATATTGACATGACGTTTGCATGGTGTTGAATTTTACCCTTTGGGATGCACATAGCGTACGAGGTCGAAAAGGGAGCCCCCCTTTCTCCCATTGCCTTGTGAATTTCGTTTGAGATTGCTAATAAAAATGCACCGTTGCCCGTGTGTGCGGTTACATCACTTTGCGTTTCAGAAAAGTTGCCAGTTCATGAAGCACGGAAAACGCAAGAAGTTGTTGGTGGAGGACTTCAATCGTGCACTTCGGTGGAGCAATGTGGAGGTACGACCACGACACGTTAGAAAGCGTCATAATGGTTGCCAAAATCTTAATGCAATGCATGCTTAATGCAATTCTCTTGACACTCGAGACGAGTATGGGACGAATGGAGGTGTGTGGGTTCGGTGCGATTGTTTTTCACAGGCGGTGTGCGGGTTCGGTTCGTCTGAGCCCATGCCCTTCCGCTGTGCACGAGAGGGAGAGGTGTTCTTTGTGGAGGATCGGGAGGTGGCTCTTGCGGAGCTGGTTCTGACCCCACGCCCACCCTTCCCCTGCGCTCCGAAGCACATGCACGGTCAGGATGGGCTCATAGTGTAAACCGAGGTCGATGTTCATTTCTGTAAATGACTGCTTGCGTCTGTAATTTTCCTCCAATATATTTGCCTAGCATTGGTATGTCCTAACTGTTTTTTTCTCTGTCGTGTATTTTCTTGGCTGTGTTTCTTACATATCATATTTGTTTGATATGGAAATACTGAGAATGTGTGTTGCAGTTGGTCATGTGTTTTCAATAAATTATCGGTATACTGATGTTTTTGATGATTGCTTCTGTTATTACTTTTTTATTGCAGTGCATTCTCTCAATTTTGACTTCAAAAGTCAACAGTGCTTATCCACAGGTGAGAGTCATCAAGAGGATGATTAGTTTCCTTTTTAAACATAACGTAGTTCAGTGGCTAATTACATCTCTGAATTCACACATAGCGTACACAACATTGTCAGGCATGGACACGGCTTGTGCGTGTGATTGTATTCATTTGAACTGCACATGCATTTCCTGACATTTTACTCTCACTTAAATTTTGATGTTAAGTATGCTGCGGTGAAATTTTGATTTAAAGCTTTCATGACTGCAGTAATTCATATTCTTAGCTCTTTCGGTAAAGTCACGTTGAAGGGAAACAATAAAATAATAATATATATATATAAAACGTGACTTTACCGAAAGAGCTAAGAATATGCTGCGGTGATTTAGTTTTTTCATGCACATTTACAAAAGCACCATTTATGCTCTGAGAAAAGTTTTGCCTGAGTCCACAAAGCCGTGGCTTCATGCTGTGCCCATCTCCCGATGGTGACGTTGCTGTGTCTTCTGCAGTGTCTGGTGGCCTGTGTGACGACATGAGCCAATACTATCAGCAAGCTGCACGGGCCATCCTGGGCTCCGACTTGCCGCTCATGAAGGTCTGAAGCATCTGCTCCTAACGCTAACCCTGCAACTTTGTAATTCTGACCGAATGAAACTTGTACCTTGAGGCATAGGATCCACAATCCCCCTATAAATACCCTACACTCATTTGTAATAATAATTGCCACCAACAGCTGGTATTATGTCCGGCCTTACACATTGTAGCCTGGAACTAGTTTCTCTTCATTAAGCGGAATTTACAGTGGTTTTACACTCACCACTCTGACATTTGCACTTTATACCAAGTGACGTCATAGTCCTATGATATTAACTATAAAACAACTTAAGTGCGGTCTTCCGGGTTGGGCTGCATGGGGAGTATTTAATCTGTCAAGATTTTGCCTCATGCTGCTGTGGGCATCTTCAATTCCACTCCTGAAGATGCCTGCTGCAGCGTAATGTCTCGTTGGTTATATATTTTACTCACGTGTTCCGTGTCAGTTTTAACACCAATGTATTCTGTGGTTCCGAAGTGGTTATCAGTGCTTTTTTTAAACTGAACTTTTTAATGTTTTTTTTTGTAGATTGCACTGCAGGACCTGCAGAAAAACCCGAAGATTGCAGCACTTCTGCCTTATTTTGTCAACTTTGTCAATAGCGTAAGTATGACGAAAATTTAATTAATGTTTTTAAGTAATATGATAAATTATTAAAAGACACTGATGTGTATGTATGTAGTTTAATACAGTCGATTAAAACTAGCAAATGTATAATTCCTCCAAATGGAGTGAGATACAAAAAATGTAAAAGAAAAGTTAATTCATTTTTCCAAAAGCTAATTCATTTTTCCAAAAGCACACACGGCCGAGTGCCGAGAGCTCCATGCATTGCTTGCGCTCCGTGGACGTGCGCAGGTCAAGTCTGTTTCCCACGACCTGGAGCAGCTGAACCGGCTGATGTTCGTGGCGCGGGGACTTGTGCTGAACCCGTGCGTTTACCTGGGCGCGCACACGCAGAGCCTCGTGTGCAGCGTCATGTACTGCATCTTGGAGCCTCTCGCCGCCTCCATCAACCCCCTCAACGACCACTGGGCCCTGCGAGACCTCGCCGCGCACCTGCTCGCGCACATCATCGCGTAAGAACCGCACTTGCGCAAGTCGCGCTGCTTTTGTCCCAATGCGCTCCGGTGCGGCGTATGCTGCGTGCTGTGTTATTGGCTTCGGAAAGATGGTATGATGTGGTTGGTGTGTGCGGCGTGCAGACTGTACAGAGATGTAGTGGTATGCGTTTGTGTGTGCGTGCGTGTGGGGAGCGGTAGTGTAGCGGTTAGGGCGCTGCGCTACAAACCTAGCGACCCGGGTTCGATTCCCGCTCACGGCCAACACCTTATCTGAACCGGTCCTGGGCCTCCCCTAGGTTGACTCAGCCTCAAATGAGTACCTGGTGCGGTGTGTAAACATCGCCACTGGGGAGCCAAAGGCGGTCGGGCGTGGTGCTGGCCACCCACCCCCTCGTGGACCGTTCCGGCCTTCATAGGTGCTCGCTAACAGCACTTGCCCCTACAGTCTGTTAAGGCTATACGGAGGATCTTTGTCTTTTTGTCTTTGGTGTGCAGGCTGTATGGAGACGTGGTGGCAGGCCTGTACCACCAAGTGTTGCTCACACTGCAGAAGGTCCTTGTTGATCCTGTGCGCCCTCTCTGCTCACATTACGGAGCCGTCGTGGGGCTCAGTGCCCTTGGATGGAAGGTCATTTCTCATGCTCTGATGAATCTACTTGGTCATTTATACACGAATGTATACATGCTATACCTCCGATACATGCACGTGCTTCAGGAGAACACGTGCCGCCACGTGATCCCACGACCGTATCTACACGTAATTTTTGAAAGTAGCAGTGTTGGTCGTGTTCAGATTGTGACAGTCACGAGAATAGATTGTATTATTGTACAGAATGGTGCTAAAAATATTTCTTAATGCGCATTGCTGCCTCGTTGCACTGTGCTCATTAAATTGATAATAAGGTATCGCTTAAAGTGGTGGTTGAACTCGAGGTGTTTGTTCTTGAGTTTGTCTGGTTAGGCATTGCTCCACCCGACAGGGCCCGCATTCTGATTAGCGCAGTCGACTGTATGTTCATAGTCGGGCTCACGTAACAACAAGATCGCCACCACGAGCAGCAGATCACGAGCGTTGTCGTTTCCGGTCATTGGCAGACAGGGGGGTGTAGCTCCCAACAAGCAGCGGGGAGGTGCCACACCATCAAGGCACTTGTAGACGATTAAGCAGAGTTTAGTACTCGGCATGTCTCTGTTACGCACGTTACGAGTGCTTGGTATACACAATACACGGTTGATGTGATGTTTGTACGGCAGTACGGTGTGCCTTCGGTGCATGGTGACACGGGCATCTATCGTCCTTGTGTAGGCGGTGGAGAGGGTGTTATTGCCTCACCTGCACACCTACTGGTCTAACCTGCAGCCGGTGCTGGATGACTGCTCTGTCTCCAATGGTCAGGTGAAGGCCGATGCTCACAAGGTCTACGGAGCCATCATGGTGAGCTATGCCGTGAAAGAAAAGCACTGACTGCAAAGATACAAAATCCCCCATATCGCCATAACGGACTGTTCGGGCAAGCACTGTTAGTGGGCACCTATGAAGACCAACACGGCACGGGAGTGGGTGGGTGGCCAACACCATGCTCGGCCGCCTTTGTCTCCCCAGTGATAATGTTTACACACCACACCAGGTACTCATTTGAGGCTGAGTCAACCTAATGGATGTTCAGGATCGGTTCAAATATTTGTAACTGTTGTGAGCAGGAAGCAAACTTGGGTCACCGGATTTGTAGTGCAGTGTGCTAAACACCACACTACTACGTTCCACTTAGCCAACCGCATGGTACGTAGCCAACCGCATGGTTGGCTCCGTACAGTGCGAAAGCTGTTCAACATACACACATACATGTCCACCTACTGCATCTCATATATCAGCATGTTCCTGCTTTGTCTTGAAAGTTAATTGCAAGATTTTATTGTCTCCAATTCTCCACTCAGAAAACCCTGCTTGATTTCTGACAGTTTTGTTAAATGAAATTTACATTTTTGTTATCTCTGGTGGCCAGAAATGATGCACTTAAAATTTAAATACTGCATTAATAATTAAATTTGCATGTCTTATCTCTGACATTAGTTATCCAAAAACAGTAGGGCAATTAGACGAATTCCTTAACAGTACTTGATTATATCATGATCAAAATTGTGGTGACAGCTGGACCACTTGTGAAAGCAATTATACAATGCAAGTTGTATTTATAAGTCATCTAAATGCAACTAGCGCACAATGCTGTACTGTCACAGAGGGCATGTTTATTTTTTAGTCAGTCATAGGCAGAGTAAAAAGTATTGTACGAGACCAGGCCACCACCACCTCTTGTGATGCTGTGATGTAATAATCCACCATTGTTCCATCTCCTCAGTGGACATCCTCTTGGACATATTCCATTCCTGGGCTGCCACTAATTATTCTTGACCATTAGCGACATGTCCTGGCCAAGCCCACTCTTCACAACAGTGTGCATGATGTCATTAACCTGCGTACGTTCTCTCACCCATCTGTTCCTCATTCTGACTCTCAATGCAATTCCAAGTGTGCATCTCTCCGTACTTTTTTTGTTCCGTATTTATTTTTTGTTAATGACCACGTTTCTGAATCGTGACTTAAAAAAAAAATTCCCTGCGTGGATTTAGTGCTGATTCGAGTTTCTGTCACGTTCAGGTTGCGGTGGAGAAGCTTGTGAAAAACAAGGTGGCTTTGTGTGAAGCGAGCGAACTGTCATGCGGGAGGACCGCGACGGCGTGTGAGGTGTCACCGTGCCAGAGTCCTGTCCCCAGCCTTCAGCCCGACTTCACGTTCGGGCCGGCGAGCCACCTGCTGGGGCGTGGCGGGGGAGGTGGGGGAGAGGGCCTCCTCCCAGCCAGCCTGCCTGCTCACGCTGGCACAGCATCCCTTCCTGCGCTCTACACGCAGCTTTACCACTTGTTTGGCGACGGCCTGGCGCTGCGTTTCGGCACTGGAGCCAGTTCTTCGGTGCCACTGGGCGACGACGGTTTAGCGGAAGAAGCCGCAGCTGCGCAGAAAGCGAGCTGCATGGCTTCTTGTGAAGGTGATAAGGGAAAAAAGAAGATTCTGCTCAATCTATGCTTGCAGGAGATGGCCCGAGAACGTGATGGAGGAAAACTCGAGCCTTCCAAGTCGCCTCCGTTCAGACCAAATATACTACGCAAATCAAAGTCTGGGACGCGGCAGCGGCAAGAGAAGGGAGGCCGGATGCGTGCCGCTTATGGCGTGCGGGATGTGTTTGAACAGCCTGTCCGGCCAATCTACCCTCAGCAAAGGCTGCACGTTAAAATAGCTGGAAACCTCGTGTCAGTGAGTGGACGGGGAAGAGTGTTCATGTCTGATTTTCCACCCCACATTGCAAAACAGAGCTCCAAGTATGGCCAGAAACTTTCAGCCATTGGACGATTAAATAAGCCAGTCAAGAAGGCTTGCAAGTCTGATTTTTCCCTTTGGACTCCGTTGTAAGGAGGCGCCAACAAGACGCGTTTCAGTTGTTTGAAGAGAGGTGCGTGAAGGGGAAGCAGAGAAGAATAAAGCAGCTCCGGCAGAGATGACACTAATGTTACTACCCACTTACATTCTGCGTTGATGGCTGCAATGCAAAGTGGGATGACCTGATAAACATGACTTATCCCGCACTAAATGGGCTGCTGCTGCCTTGATGGCCCATCTTCATATCACATTGACCTTTTCATAGGCTACTGGGGTAAAGCGTCTCCGAAATTTCATGGGCACCTAATATTCCACAGTTGATACGTTTATATATTGTTTACATATTTGACCTTTTTTGAAGTACAGTATGCATACTTGGGACACGTGCGGTTTGTGTATTTACTTTACGTATGTAATGGGTGAGTGGCACACGTCACAAACATTTGAATGTATATACCTTGTTTTTTTGCCTACTCAATAAACCAACAGAGCAAAGGTTCTATAAAGGTCGCTTCAGGTGGCAGGGTACGTACAGAGGATGCGGTACGTGGTGGTTCTTCTTTCACCAGCTTGTTTGCCCGTCCTATGACGGAGCTGGCTCAGGGTGTGGCTCAGCAGGAAGAGCTGGCTCAAGGTGTGGCTCAGCAGGAGGAGCGGGCAGCGAGCGAGCCTTGGACGAGCCCCCTGGTGCTGGTGGTGGTGCTGGTGGTGCTGGTGGTGGTGGTGGTGCTGGTGGTGGTGCTGGTGGTGGCAGCCCCCACCCTGCAGGTTCAGCTGGGTGGGGGGCGGCGGGAGCGGAGGGTGGAGCCAAGACGATGATGCTCATAGAGCCCATCAAGATGGGCGGCATCACCTCGCTGGAAGAGATGAACCTCAAGGTGCTGCAGTTGAAGAACAAGAAGCTGGCGGAGCGTCTGGAGCAGCGTGAGTCCCTGGAGGACGAGCTGAGGGAGCGCATCGAGCAGCTGGAGAAGCGCCAGGACACGGACGACGCCGCGCTGCTCACCATCAACTCACTGGGTTGTCTTGTGGTTCTTTCGGTTTAAGTCACGTAGAATGAGAATAAAATAATAAATTGATCAAATAAAATAACAATAATATTCTCACGACGTTTCGGCCACAACACAAGCGGCCTTCATCAGGTGAAGGGACTTTACCGAAAGAACCAAAGAAGATGAATCCTTGCAGTCACGAAAGCTTTAAATCGAAATTTGTCTTGTGGTTGTTGTTTGACTTGCATCCCACTGGGATTTTTGCACACAGCGTTGGTGCACGTGTACGGTGCTATTTCAGGAATATTTTGATATTTTTTTCCTGGATTTTCTGTTTGCACAGTCACATAGTCACTACAAGATGTTTTCTTGTTCATGTTTTTTGTTTGTTGCGGTTGCACCCGATTCAAGAGCCGAATGGCTCACAGGGCTATACCAAATAAATGAACTAACTAAAAAAAGCTATCATTCTTTCATATGGCTGGTGTAGATGCAGAGCAGCAGCAACAACTACAATTTCACATTTAGGTGATCAAGTCAGATAATCGCGTCAGGAAAAACTGAGTGTATCGCTGTAATGTCTCCTTTATATTTGTGGATCCGGCCATTGTGAGTAAAGAATATAGAGGTGCCTCCAAGTATTACTGTCTCCGACCTGCGTCACTACACAAACAAAACTTTGTTTTGTTTACACATCCCATCAGCTACCGCCGGCCTTCTGTGAGTGCATTGCAATTTCAAGATTAAACCTACATTGTGACGTCATCGCGCGTTTCCGTCTCGGGCTGCGAGCGGATGGCGTCACTCCACGGGTTTCTCTCTCGCGCGATGACGTCACACCAGAGGCGGTGGCGGGGGGGGGAGTCCCCCGCGAGGTAACGGCACGCCAGAGGCGGGGCGGGGTTTGTACCCCGCGTGGTGATGTCACACCAGAGTCGGGGGTGGGGGGGGGTTTGTCCCCCGCGTGGTGATGTCACGCCAGAGTCGGGGGTGGGGGGGGTTTGTCCCCCGCGTGGTGATGTCACGCCAGAATCGGGGGTGGGGGGGGGTTTGTCCCCCGCGTGGTGATGTCACACCAGAGGCGGGGGGGTGTCCCCGCGTGGTGACGTAACGCTCAAAGCGGGGTGGGAGGGGTTTGTCCCCCACACGGTGACGTCGCGCCAGAGTCGGGGGGGGGCGGGGTTTGTCTCCCGCGTGGTGACGTCACGCCAGGAGTGGGGGGGCGGTCCTCTGCGTGGTGACGTCACACCATGGCGCCGCTCATCTATTTCTGCGGCAGCGTTCGTGGCGGGCGAGGGGACGCGGCGCTGTACGCGGCCCTCATCGGGCACCTGCAGAGCCACGGCCGCGTGCTCACGGCTCACGTCGGCTGCCAGGGGCTGGCGGCGAGCGGTGAGAGGCCGGAGCGACGCGGTAGCTTTGAAGGTGGCGCTTCGGACTCGGGTGGTGCACCTAGCCTGGCACGAAGCGCCGCGGTGGTGACGCTCACCGCCACTTGTGTGGGTGCATCATTGCGTTTCGTCAGAAGGGCGGGGCGGTCAGTCACGTCCAATGTTGTACTCTACCGCACTTTTTCAAGTTTTCAAGTTCAAGTTTCATCTATTAGATGTAGCCCTGTGAGCCATGCGGCTCTTAAGTCGGGTGCGACCGCAACAAACAAAATTTGAACACAGAGAACATCTTAAAGCGACAACGCGTAACAGAAACATCCTGGAATAAACCAGCAAATATTCCACACGCAAAAAAAACTTATTAAAACGCTGTGTGCAAAAATCACAATGTGATGCAAGCCAACAACAACAACCATAAGACAATTTAGATTTACCAGATTTTAAGTGTTCTATCGGTGAAGTGGAGGAGGCGCTTTACGTGTGAACTTACACGCCGTTGAATGTATCAAGAACCGTTTGCGAGTTCCATCGAGCGTAGCACGCCTCTTAACGTGTAGAGGACCTTTCCTAGATTTGAAGCTTTCGTGACTGCAAGGATCCATACTCTTTGGTTCTATTCTGTAAAGTCACGTAGGTAAAAAATAAAACAACAAAAATCACGACGTTTCGGCCACAACACAAGCGGCCTTCATCGAATTCGCGAGCACAAATCAGATTTGAAACACGGCAGAACGAATTCTTCTGCCGTAGCTGATCACTGTTACAACGCTGTGGATGATCACGATATAATTTCTCTGATACCAAGGTTATTTGCAAGCCCACGGGTTTTTATCAGAGATTTGTTCACGAGGCAATTCAGATTTACAAACAGACACAATTTCAACCGAGAAGATGGTTTCAAATTAAGCAACCATTGGAAAGATGTTCTAAATCGAACCAAACATTAAACTAATTTTCAATGGTACAGTATCTTTTTTCAAGTAGTGGTACTCCAAACTTTCGCAGCTTATTAAAAATTCCCTTTTCACACCACCAGCATGTTGACTCTACCTTGCCCTCTCGCCAGCCTGCACATGCTCACCCCCTCCCCACCTTTCATCATGCTAAGTCCGCCTATTAAATGCAAATTTTTATGCTAATTCCTTTGTCAAGGCAACTTAATTACTCTCACACAGCTTAAAGGTCGCGGTCTGAGCTTGGCTGTGTTTCACTCCAGCGCTGTCCTCGAGACAGTCTGCTCCCTTCACCTGATGAAGGCCGCTTGTGTTGTGGCCGAAACGTCGTGATTTTTGTTTTATTTTTTTACCTACGTGACTTTACCAAATAGAACCAAAGAGTGTGTAGAGGACCGCAGAGCGTTGGCAGTGTTGTTGACATATTTTGAGTCATTTGCATTAGGTCCAGTGTTGTTTTCCACTGGGACAATGGTCCATTGTATATATAAAAAAAAATCGGTAAACGAATTAAATTGTTACAGTAGTTATGTTGCCGTGCCATTATCCTACGCAGTGGATTTTATCTTAAAATATTTCACCAGGATAAGCCGTTGTGTGAGAGAACTAATGTACATTGTTGCAATAGTGGCCAGAATCACGCTCACCTGGTCTTGCCGGAATTGAATGCTATTGTACCGCCGCTTGTGCATTTTGGTGTAAGGCAGAATCAGAATAGGTTTTCCCCTTTTTTCTGGCAACAAAACAGTTGTGTTGAGATGTTAAAACACAAAACTGAAACCTTTTACAAGGAATCATGTCTGCATTAACCACAATACTTGTGGTCAGAATGCAAACAAAAAGCATACTCTGATAATATATTCATTATATTTTTGGTTCTTTCGGTAAAGTCACGTAGAAGGGAAACAATAAAATAATAAAATATAAAACAATAAAATTATCACGACGTTTCGACTGCAACACAAGCAATCATGATCAGGTGTGAATACCCCCCTCATTTCCGAACATAGATGGACTCGTCCATAATAAAGGTTTTTGGGTTAGATCGCGTTTATTTATAAATGTGTCGTAACCCTCCACCACCCGACACGGCCAATCAGCAAAAAAAGTGTCACGTTGACAAAAGACAAATAATTCACTACTTTAGCCCACCGGTGTGTTGAAGAGTGAATCCACATTTACAGTTTGAGTACGACGTTTCGCTGGTAAATACATCCAGCAATTTGCCCGATGATGCTGGATGTATTTACCAGCGAAACGTCGTACTCAAACTGTAAATGTGGATTCACTCTTCAACACACCGGTGGGCTAAAGTAGTGAATTATTTATCTTTTGTCAACGTGACACTTTTTTTGCTGATTGGCCGTGTCGGGTGGTGGAGGGTTACGACACATTTATAAATAAACGCGATCTAACCCAAAAACCTTTATTATTAATAATATTGGTCGCGAAAGCCTACGTGTTAAATGGACTCGTCCATCTGAATAACTGCCAAATCGCTCTCCGTGGTGCTAACGTTAAAAAAACCGCCACTTTTTTCAAATTTTTTTGCTGTGGTTTTCACACTTGATGATGATTGCTTGTGTTGCCGTCGAAACGTCGTGAGAATTTTGTTTTATATTTTTATTTTATTGTTTCCCTTCTACGTGACTTTACCGAAAGAACCAAGAATATGAATCCCTGCAGTCACGAAAGCTTTAAAAAAAATATATGCATTGTCTTTTAAACTGATTGGTCCACACCAGAGACAGCTTTCTTTTGAGCCTCGTCTCCAACGGTGTTAGACCAGAGGAGGTCCCATGATGTAGCTGCTCACCCCGATAGGCCTCGGCAAGGTAAGGTAAGGTAAAAGGTAAAAACAACGAGCCTACCTTTACCCTACCTTTTACCCTTACCCCATGCAAATTACCCGATTACAGGGTAATTACTGGGGTACTACACATGAAAAAAGGTTTATAACAGGCAAATGCTAGGTAAAGTGCTTTATTCACATAGAATACTCTCGATTATTCCAATTTGACACGCTTTCTTTAAACTCACTCTGTTGTCGTATCCTCAAATCTTGTAACTCAATTTTAACCCACTTCCCAATGTGGTTTCGACTGCAAACTTGGTATACTTTTGTCATACTGATGACAATACTATATTCTATCATTAAAAATAAAATTAAAATATGTTTAAACATTATTTTTTTATGTTATGTTTCGTCTTGAGTCTAATTGTCCACTGTCAACTGACGTTGGCTGTAATTGCCCACGGTCCCTTACGTTATGGAAAGCTTCGGAGCCATTTCCTGGAGTCGTGGAGTTCTGCCATTACTCGTAGATTTCATAACAGCGTGTTTTTAAAAAAAGTTTTTTAAAAAATATTACTTATTAAATGGAGGCCACGGACTGCGCCACGGAGCTTTTAGCAGTAAACAAGGCACCGTATTTACCGGGTAATACTTCGCGCTACCTTTACCCTACCGGGTAATTCTTCCGCGCTACCTTTACCCTACCCTTTACCTTACCCCTTGGCATGGCGACACCTTTACCCTTTTACTCGGTAAAAAAGGTAAATTACCTTACCTTGCCGAGGCCTACACCCCGAGCTCTCATTACTCTGATAGTGGCATTGCCCTTGGGGCTGTACGCCTTTTGGCGTCCTCTGGTCTAACACCGTTTTGAGACGAGGCTCAAAAGAAAGCTGTCTCTGGTGTGGACCAATCAGTTTCAAGGAAAATGCATATATTATCAGAGTATGTTTGAATTCTTACCACAAGCATTGTGGTTAATGCAGACATGATTCCATGTAAAAGGTTTCAGTTTGGTGTTTTAACATCTCAACACAACTGTTTTGTTGCCAATGTAGAGGACTAGTTAGGGACATAGCGTCACGCTCGCTGGCAGGGGCGGTGACGTCACATGTGGATGACGTCATGTCTCGGAGGGCTACTTCAGGGAGAGCCCGTGACGTAAGCGGGGTCGTTGCGGTGGGTGGGAGTTAGGACCAGGGCTAAGGGGACAGGGGTCTGGAGAGAGGCCAGCATAGGAGCTAGGAGTGGCTGCGCTCCTCGGTCGGCCGAAGTTGGCTTAGCCCTCGGCCAGCGCAGAGGAGGCAGCCCGCTGTGCTCGGGAATAGACAGGGTGGAAGGTCCGAGTGGAGGACCAAGCCTAGGACCCCTACCCCTGGGAAAGTGTTGCACCCTTATAGTTAACTGGCGAAAGCCCTTAATAAAGCACCGGTGCAAGCCCTTACCTTGAAAACTGTCTCCGAGTCGTCAAGAGCTTCTCAACACCATGAAAAAAAGGGGAAAACCTATTCTCATATTTTGGTACTGGCAAAGGAGGTCCCATGATCCAGAATCAGAATATTTATTTATCGTGGAAAAATCCGAAGGGCTATGAAGCGCTCCTTTTCTCCACAGATGTGCAGTCCTAAACCGTGTGTGTGTCTTGGTGACGATGCTGATGATGTGCAGGGGAGGCGAATCTGGACGAAGCCTACATCTACAGGCGCGACATGGAGTGGCTTGAACAAGCAGACGGTAAGCTGGATGGAGCCAGTGGCGCCGTGTCGACTGTAATGTCACCTAGATCCGGAAGAACGTCGATGAACAGAGTGGAACAGCGTGGATGTCCAGAGTAAACGCCTCGTTCAAGACGACAAACATCGGTTCCCCCGGCTCTGACGTTTTCTCGAAGATACCGACGGCACCATCAACCGCATCAGAACGTCAACTCGCATCGTTGTTTTTGTTGTTGCAATATGAATATACGGTACGTACATTATTTGCATAGGAGAGATGGGTTAATTAACGTAAGATTTTGGATTTTTAAGGACAAGTTTGTGTCTGTAGAATTTCAGATCAGTAACGTGCTTTTGTAAAATACGTTTTCCCGCTAACGATAGTGACGTCGCCTCAAGGCATGTCACATCTCCTTTGGCAGGAAATGCGCACACGTGATGTCGTATGCGTACAAGTAAAAACTGGGATTGTGCGAAATTTCAGATGGGCTTTTTATTGGATTAATCTGAAAAATCTGGACGGAATCCCTTATCGCATTACTGCACTCCGCAATAGGATTCATCCCACGATATCCGTAGAATCGGTGACTTATGCTTGCGTGGTCGTGTGCCGGTTGTAGTTGTTGTTGCAGAAGTGACGCAGCCATCCCTTGGAGTTGGGTACGAGATTGGTCGCGCTGTTGCCATGAAGAAGAACATTCTTTGCTTGTTCCGACCATCTTCCGGGTGGGGTAAGACATCCGAAGTTTGCTTTAACTATTCAACGAGGCATCGGCTCTTCCCCCGTTCAAGGCCCATCTCAAAGCTCGCCTCCGTCATTATCCATTGCACGTAAATGCCCTCGGCTTAATTTAGCATCCATTGCTGAACATTTTCCTCGTATAGGCTTTGTGCCGTAGTCGTTACATGCCCCCCTCCCTTGCTTTCCGCACATGTCGTTTTACTCTGCATTCTGCGCATTGGGAGGTAGCTTATGCATTAAGACCGAGTGCTCTAAACACATTTCTACGTGTTGTTTGAAACCAATTGGTTTTGTGGCCTGCACTGTTATTGTTACTGTGGCAATTTCTCGTCATCTACAGATATGATGTTGGGAGGTAGTCCATTTAAACACCGTTAATTCCAACGGCACTAGCTTTGCATAGCTTGCGTCAATACTCACCCGTCTCACCACACATACCCATCAGCCACTCGCTTGACAATCACCACGTGATTAGTGCGTGGTGTCTGGCAAGTCAGCTCTGCACAACAAACATGACCTGAGCAAATTTTGACAGCCCACCCTATGGATGGATTCATATGCAATGAATACCTCATTCACTGCATCCGTTGGCCCTGCCTCTTCCCACAATGGCCCCGTGCCCCGATCAATCGGCTCCTCCCCCCTTCCCCAGTGCCATCAGCAGCTTCAGGCATGGGTTTTTTTTTAAAGGCTTGGCATAAAGGTTTGTTAGGTTATAAACATCGCAATGCGATAGGTACATGGATTTTGGTTAGAATGAGCCTGAATTCGACCGTGGACAACATTTACTCATGTAAATGCCGACAAAATTTAACTTTATGCAATACAGATGCTATAAAATTCTAAGCAAACCACTGTTGATAAGACAGAAACGTGTTTTCTAGCTCTACATAAAAAAAACTTTAATCGTGCACTTTGCCTCTTATTATTTGTGAACGAGCTGCACATGTAATATTAACACCAAATGTAATTGCAAATGTCATCAGCCATGGCCAATCGACTGCTGGATGAAGGCCTCCCCAAATCAGTATCACCTCATGATCCACCCCTCGTCACATTGTAAATGTGTAGAACTGTTATTAACCATCCTTTGTGGTGTTCAGCACGATTGAACCACTTTCAAAAAAGGTGGCAGTGTATTTCCTTTGGTTTGTGGGTGACCAGTGTTCTTGTCTTGCAGCATTGTCGGCCATGATCCGTGGGACACAGGAAAATGAAGGCGTGCAGGTGAAAGATTATTCGGAGGAGAAAGAAGCGCGTGATATTATCACACAGTTTTTAAACACCCTACAACAGCCCACTACTCTACCTTAGCATCACTGAGCCCCGGGTGTCCTACTGTGGCCTCACTTTTTTGTCATGGAATATGTACACATTAAGACAATCTATGGTTTGTATGATTTTTACGGTTGTAAAATATTACAAAATTACCGACGAGTAACGTATGATCACTGGTTGAAGGTCACAATGGAGTTTTCTTCTCGCGCATCTGCTGCTGTGCAGTGGAATAAGTGGGCACCACTCTTGGTTCTAGTTCACAGTTGGTCCAACGATTTCTATAATCTTGTTGCACTTACACACTGCTAAGTTGCGACAGGTAAGCTTGACTGAAGCTAGCAACAATTCAATAATTACAATTAAAACTTTTTTTGAAAACACTGCTGTTTGAGCTCAATTGTTTTGTGTATTGACTTTACATTATCCTCACCCAATTATTTCATAAACTTTACACCCCTCATCCTCGCTTTATCCTCGCCTCTTTACACAATCCTTCCTTGAAACGTCCAACCTGCACTAATCCCATCCTCACATTTTCTCACTGCCACACAACGCCATAGCAAACCCATGGCTCCCTTCATTATCTATTTTCACAGTACTTAAGTTCCACAGCCCTTGCCTGGTCCGCAAGGTGGAAGTGTTTCCTTTCTTGATCATTTCACAGTTGAGATCTTGAAAATGTCTTGGCATTGCTGCCAAAAAACCCCACAACTGATGTCCACAAAAGGCAGTGGGTCTTTAGCTGTCATAATTACAACCAATGTTTCCTTCCTCGATGCCCTCAACACTTTCAACAGTAGAATATCTGAAATACACTTGGCTACCGAAAACGCTATCGATATTGCTAAATGTCCTGCACCTAAATATTTAAATTGCTGTTCATTACTAGTGAGCGGCATCTTTCATGCAATCTTAGCTGGAGTAGGTATGTTCTTTTGCACCTTTCGTGGCCAACTGTGCTCATTGGAGTAGACGTGTGTATGAAGATCCTAGCATTTCCATTGTTCACCACGACTTGCAGATGATCTTTATTATAAAAAAAATGTACACACATTATTCCAGGTAGTCAATGAGGTTTGCACAACGAAAGCATTGCATGCAGTCATGTGCCATGTTTGTAGCATAATCGTATCCATGTTTGTAGCATGCAATGTAATCTTACTTGTACAATATCTACATTGTGTGCATATATACATATATTAAAACAAAAATATCCTATGAATGTTTTAAATGTCAGGTCATACAAAAGCATTTTTTTGTTGTAAAGGGTACAGTGAAAAGAGTGCACAAAAACACAAACGGTCATCGCTAAGCATCTACCAAAGTGGGAGAACAGGTAAACGCCAATGTTCATTTCTTGAAAGTCATTCCGACAGCAGCACCTGAAAAATGTGTTGGGCCACCACTGCCTGCAGCCTTTCCAGACAGTTGCTACTCGCCATTCAAGTGGCGAGTCATGTGCTCACAGGCGACGGAAACCTCGGGTATGGCACGTAGGTCTGGCTGGAGTCGTCCAACGTCTCCATGTTTCAGTCATTCTCCACTGGACTTCCCTTCGGCTGGGCTTGGTGATGAAGATGTTTGTGATTGGCTGAGAGTTGACAGCTGGACAAAGTGCATAAAGACAAAGGTCCCACGATTTAGCCTTAACAGACTGTTGGGGCAAGCACTATTAGTAGCAACTACGAAGGCATACGAGGAGGTGGGTAGCCAGCACCACACCTGGTCGCCTTTACCTCCCCAGTGGCAATATTTACACTGCACCAGATACTGATTTGAAGCTGAGTCGACCTAGGAGAGGCCCAGGACCAGATTAGATAATCGTCACTGGTGTTTGCTGTGGACGGCATCGAACACCGGTCACGGGGTTTGTAGCGCAGTGCAATGATCGCTACAATGCCACTCCCCAATAATGCGTGCACACGCACAAAAAACGCTTTCATACAAGCACACGTATACGACAATGGCAATGTCATTGGTAAAAAGCAGTCTACGAATCAAAAAAACATGTAATTCTCAAGGTGAATAGAAAGTGGCAGTGTTCCCTCATCGGTACAATGCAATTTTACCTGTTGGAGTTGCAAAGAGTTTACTGGAATCTGCAGTGCTGTCCCAGAGCTGGTGAGGACCACTTGAGGAATGCCTGTCCCACAGACAGCAGCATCGACACGCAACACCTTAGCATGCTCTAGCACACCGCAACACAAGCCCAATACAGCACACACCACCTGATAATTGAACATACAACAGAGGAGTCTTGCACAGTTGACGATTTAAGCACCGTGGATGACTATGCGAGGGCCTGTGTACACAAATTGTTTTCACTGGTCCGATTATGTTGGCATGATCGTTACAAAATGACGCTCATTCAACAGCTTTCAAGATCCAAGAAGGTTAGTGACTATATGTATGTTGAGGTTAGATACATTTCAATGCAAATTAAACGCAGCACAAACAACCCTAAAACTTTGGAAAACCGATAATATGTAAAATGAAACCCGTATGTATCACTTTTCTGTTGTAAACCGATTAAATGCTCTTGCATTAGGACGAAAGCAACAGTGGATGCATTCGTTTAAAAACGAGACGTGGGCACACCAAGTCAACCTGGCTTCTTGGACCCCACACTGTAATTGGAATGAGCACCATTGAAGTGAACATTGTATTTCTGTTTAAATATATATTAGGAAAACTAGGAGCTTTTAACATTGCCATTGGGGAGTATAAGGTGGGTCCCGACCAGTTCTAATCAGAATCCTTCACCTGCAGAAACTCAAACTGACAATATTCCATCAGTTATGTCATGTCAAACGTCCAGATTTGCCACGGCGTTTCAACTAATCAAAATGCAGATATAATGCACGTGACAATGTGCACTTGGCTACGAAGTGGATTATGAATATTATCAATTGCTCCCTTCGGGTGTGTTGTCAGCGACACAGCCGTGCATGTACGTTGCCTGGCCTGCCGGGAAGAACCGTGTTCAAGGATGGGGGATGGGGTACCTTGCTCGTGCGTGCCAGCGGAGTGCGCGTTGAACGCGTTGAGAAGGGTGAGCCCTTCGGAAGATGTGGCGTACATCACGCCGTGGGGATACATCACGTGGCCTCCGACCGTCGTGGCACAAGTTGTGGGGACCAGGGCTGCCATGGACACTAAAACAGTGACGACCGCGGGGGGGTAAATGAGCGACGCTCTTCTTTGAATCACATTTTAGATTCCGTTTAAGAAAATCTTAACAAACCGAGAATCATTTACTGTATTCTTAATACATCTTGCTCTAAAGGAAAGTATATACTTAGGATAGGCGACGTTTTGGATAATGGTCCTTCCATTGACAAAATGTGTTTTATTTGTCCTTGCGCATCACTGCCAATGCTGCATCGCATTTAGTTTGGGCAATATTGTTGACACTGCAATTCGAAGTTGTACAATATTGTGCAAGTTCTTTACGGTGGCACACCTCTTTCTATTGCGATGCCAACACACGACTGTAGACGAAATGTAGCAAAGTCCTTTTCAGCCATGACAATAAGAGCGGCTGAGATCTCCCCATGCTCCCTGCTACACACCTGTGGGCGGAGACTCCACAACAGTGAAGGTGCTGCTCGATGCTGCCACCGCTGCTGCTGTCTGACTGGTTGGTTGGAGATTGACATGTCCATTGGTTGGCTGAAGGGTCACATGACCCGGCTGGATCTGAATGGCCTGCAGCGGCATCTGCTGGGCAACTCCATTTGTCTCTGGAGGAGTAAAACCAATCACTTTAAAAGCACGTCCTCACCCGGCACATCAAGACAGTTCACCCTAACACATGGCATCTCGAGGCACAAGCATGTCACCGCATTACAGTGCAACACACTGCACCTACGTGGTATCTCGGGGTATACTTCACTTTGGCACTCGGCACCTTCGTGGTTCTTTGGAGACTTTCTATACTTTGCATGATTAGCTTACAAAATAATGGTGTTTCATTAGGGTTGTACATGAGATACGCCCACAATGCAATACACGTCTCACAGCACGGTAGGGCATGAGAGAACAGGAGGGACCGAGCAAGGGATGAATGGAAGCATTTTATGGGGCCCAAAGACATGGCATTGAAGAGGAAACTTTTGAGGAGAGATCTGACAGCAGAGAGAAGGGATGTGGTGGAGTTGCCTGGAGCCCGAGCTCCAGAAGGTAACTGTTTTTTTATTAATGTGCAAGTCCAGTTTACACAACCCTGGTGACAATTGTAGGGATTTTTTTTTTAAATCTTCAATGTGTGGTCCATTTTTCCTCCAATTGACACCCATGTATTAACACGGTCAAGTGAAAAGATAAACAACTCAAAATGTATCATTGTAAAGCTCTTGCACTGAAGCACACAGTCTATGGTCATCCACGAGGGAGAGGGAATAGTGTGAAGGCAAAGCAAACCTATGGAAAGAATTTGTGCTGCAGAGGAGCCTGGAAATCGGAATACAGTGTGCTGTCCGCCACATGATGGAGGACCAGGAAGGGTCAGCTGCTGTGGGAGGGATCCGATTGGTGTTCCTGGAGGCAAGATAGTACCTAGAGACATATCAAATCCAATGATTAGTACATTTTGTATCTGCGCCATGCTAATAGTGCAAGTCTATCACGAAAGGCGCTTTGTTTCACATTCGATTATAGCCTGCAGTAGTTTCACAGATGGTAGGGTGATGTTGCTCTATGGTTAGGTAATGTGCCAAATAATTTAAGAAATTTGGACCGTGAAGCTGACACACGTGGCCTATTCTTTTTGGAATACCATCAAAGCCTCGTTAACGACTACTGTGAAACAGTGAGAGCACATTTTTTGCCGAGTACACGTGCAGTATTAACCAGGGGCGGCTGCTGGGCTCGAGTCGCGAATCTCTACAACAAGCGGCAATCGTGACATGAACAGAAATGTGCATGCACAAGTGAGGTTACAGCCCCTTTAAGTTCTAGCATGGCATCTTGAAGCCAAAATGGGGTGGCATAGTTGTACTGCGGAGGTTAGAACAGCTGCATCGCTTGCACTTTATCAGGTAAACCTTTAGCCCATCTTAATCTACTCCTATACATCACGGCACATTGGGATATAGACGAGGGCCTTCATCCCTCTCCAAAGCCCAGGAGCTGCTATTGGTGGTGAGGCACTAAACGGCATAACGATGCAGGTGGACAGACCGACTCGAGGCAAATGCTGACCGGGCATGAGCGTGATGGCATTGGGTAGCACACTGGAGCTCTGGCAAACTCCTTGATTGCCTCCTTTGCTGGTGCCGCTGCTGCTGGCACTACTGCTGGTATGGGTGCCGAGCACAGGCGCCATGTAGCTGGTGATGGGGAAGGCAGTGCTGCTTCCAAACTGCACGCTGGTGGCGGC